CATCCATCCAATGACAATGCTGCTTCAGTAGCGACAACAACATTTAACTTTTCAACAACATCACTATTAAAATAATATTTTGACTTTGTCGTCGCACGTTGCAGACGAACAACACAACTCTATTCCCGGCGTCGCAACCCATGAAAAAGGGAGTAACACCGTCACAAGCGATGCTGTAAGCAGAATTATGGGAAAGATTAATGTCAGTTTCAGACAATGTTGGCTGGGACAGCGTTGGAGTGCTGTCTGCACCTGCGTGGGTCACGGGGAGCGATCGCGTGTCAATTTTTTGTGCTGCTGAATTCGCCCCCCCCCCCCCCATTAATCTGGTTTTCACGCCAGCCATTTTAATCCTATTGTAGCCACCTGGATATTTCTTCAGGGAGTTATATAAGTGTGCCTTCTGCCATTTCAAATGCCATTTATTTGCGCAGGAGAGCCTTACGGAGTCTCAACACTTTTACCCAAGGGTCACGCGTTGTCTTGTTTGGACATTTCCTGTACGAGTAGTATTTGTGGGTGCCGCAGTGTCAAGATGTTAACCACCTCGCCTGGTATAGATGTGGTCATGGGTTCGATCCCAACCCTGATGATGCCCGCACATTTGGAGTTTCTCTCCCATTGGTCGTGCGGATTTTTCTCCGGATCCTCCGCTTTTTCCCCTCCACATTTAGAAACAACATGCGTTTAGATTACTTATCTGGCTGCTATAAATGTCCACGTGAAAAGCCACTTGGTTGAGCTTTCATTTGTGGTCTCTTCTGAAAAAGAGCTACATAGATCAGTGGGCCTTACCTGGTGGTAATATTTTTTTAATATATGAGTTTTTAGTTTGTTTATTTTTTTCCGTGCGGGAGGAGGTTGGAGGATCCGGAGAAAACCTGATGCATGCCAGGGAATAAAACTCTGCAGTTCTTTCAGATGAGTTGACAAACCCACTTGCTCTACTCACCCACTTCCTTGCCTCGTTTGGGAGTTTGGAAAAACGATGTTGGTCTTCGAATTCTTTCCTCCCAAAGTGCTGGACATCGTTTTCAAGAAGAAAGCCATTGCTTGCTTGTATTAAAGCTCAATTTTCAAATATGAGCACAATACATCCAAAGTAAACAGTAATAAATAATATAAACAACAATAACTGTACCCTGCTTAAGCGATAGTAAATGCAAATGGCTCTTCCCCTGGTAGAATAAAGAACCCATATGTGTGTGGATTCTGTAATAATTTCCACCACGCGTTTATCCTCCGAAGTGTTGAATTAGCAATAATAACAAGAATAACGTTCCAAGTCGCATGACGAGATGAAGGCACACACCACATGATAAAGTAAATGACATCATTTAGAGGAGAGGGACATCATCTTGTTACCTCACCTATAATGACATTGCCTTTGAAGCTATGGATAATTCTTTTAGCACAGGTTTATTATTGCCAAAATTTGGGGTAACCCCCTTTGATCATTTTGGCCGGTGCCAAATGGCACAACTTTATACAAAAACATTTGTTCGTATGGGATCGTCTTCAGAATTGTTGTAACCCTACGCGACATAGACAGACAGACATGCTGACAAAACCCTTAGTTTGTTGGGAAGTGTTATAAAAGACACGCATCCGCACGAAGCCCCAACGTCGCAACGCGGTGTGCACCCGGCACTCCCTCTCCGGCCACGACGCCGGTGGGCTCGTCCCAGACGGGTAATTGCCACCCGGTGGGAGCTGTGTTACCGACCACGTGGATTCAATTTTCACTCGGTGACGTTTTTTTGTAGCAATGCTTCACGGTTCACGGTCGGCGCCACGATCATTTAGCAGAGTCCGCTGTGCGGCTGCTGCGGTGCTTCTGCTTTGCCGCACGGCCGCCCCTTGCCCTTTTAACGTCGCGGTGGGGGGCATTGGCCATGTCCGTGATCGGCCCGCAACCCTTAAAGTAGGCATTTTGGGGGGTGGTGACATAATCTGGCAGTAGCACATTTGCCCCCCCCCCCCCCCCCCTTGTTGCAGCGGTTCACCATTCGAGCCCAAGGCCATCCTAGTTAAGACTGTGGGTGCATTAACCAATAAATTATAAACAGTTCGCTTCACAGTGGATGGGAAAGGTCCCACGACTTTTATTTGAAAGTGAGTTGGCAATGTGTGCCAGCAACACGGTCCATATTAACGAAATTTGAAAAATTAGTCTTGAATTAATTAATTGGAAAACACATGGCAATCGTCGCTCCCGACTGCGAAACTTAACAGGACCCTCCCGAAAGAGGATTTAAGACTTGGTGATGCTTCCTGAGTAAACAAATGAACTAATGATGTTTACTGTTACCCATAATGATTCGCAGCAACGCACAATGAGTTTGTGTACTCTTGCTTTTGAATGGGTTTCTATATATTCTTCGTGAAGTGTTTTAGCCGCGTAATACAGCAGCATGTATATAACAAGCCTAATTATGCATATTGCATCCTGGAGGTTGTCACTGGTCCAGAGTTCGTTAGCTTAAACAAATGCTTTTGGATCATTAGTCTGGAAAGCTAATAGGATGATGTACTAAAAACATTTTAATGTGGAAACAAAACGTATGTTTGTTTGTATTTGCTTTTACCCCTAAAGCACGGTTGGGAAAACCTCTGAGTGAGCCATACCTGGCCTGTAACTTTATTTCATACGCCCCCCGGCCACTAGCTTTACATCGCTGCAACTTCACTTTTTAATACAATGTCAATATAGTGATATCACTAAAGCAAGCCTGACTGTGATATTGAAGGCTTTGCCTTGCCTTGCAGCCTTTGGGATACATCCAAAAAATTGAAAGGTCTTGATGTGTTTCGTAGTCTCTTCATATATGCTGGAGCAGCAGCGGGACTCATTCAGGTCTCACTTTGAATTGAGAAAATGACACGTGATGGATTGCAAGTGGGGTCGGTTTTTGATTGTCATAAAATTGCCCTGCTATGAAAGCAATTGAAATACCCGTTGGCCATTGCATCGTGATTGTCCACTATCAGCAAACGGTGGAATAATGTGACCAGCGCATAACGCTGGCTTGGCAGGGCGGATAAATAAATGGAGGTAGAATTGCGGCCGTCGTGAGGTTCAACACGGCAACATAATGCGGTACGATTTGAATTTGTATAGCATCTAGATTCAACCGCATCGCTGTACACAATAGTGGCAAGGTGCCTTACAGGGAAAGGAGGTTTAGGTATACTGTAAATTCTCTGTAAAAATGTTATTTTATCTCATTTGCAGCCCTGTGAATAGAGCCGGCTGCTGAAAATGCTTTTTCTTTCCCTACTACATGTACCATGTGTTACAAACATGCTTGAGAAAGTCACTCTGACTTTGTGTGCAGTTAGAGTGAGCAGCTGTCAGCTAGGCTATAAATACGTGAGCGACAGTGATGGTTAGCGTATGCTTGACACATTTCTGTCGGCTTAAAGAGGACCGTGATGGAGCTGCATGACCGCAGGCGGGCCTGCCATGTGCGAGCTCTGTCTTAAAGTCAAAATCGACAGTTTTTCAGCGATGTCGCCGTCCACTGCAGAACGGTTATCCTTTGTAACTAAAGCAATTCCCGCTTGGGCCACGGAACGTGGCGCGTTTAATGGGTTCTGACACGTGAGTTTTGAGCTTTATTAATTAGATGAGAAAAAAAGACTTGAAAATTTCAGTCGGGTATTCCCACAGCCACATACGCTGCCGTGCTGTAACTTACAGCATACGGGACTGTCGATCCTGAGGTCTCTGGTTCGACTCGATCCCTTGGCGTGTGGGAGTTGAAATAATGGGCAAAGTTTCTTAAACCCAAGCCTCTGTTCTTCACCAGTATCAATGGTTACACCACAGTTACTCGATCGCCAGTTGCACGTGTTGGGGTAAATTGTGGGTTTGTCCACCTATTTCTATACTTAGCACTCCTTGTGTTTTTGTATTGTTTGTTTTAACGCTCTGACCTGCCCCTACTGAACATATGTGAAAAGAGCTTTATAGCTCATGGGATTCCTCCAGTATAAACACATTCTGAATCTGTCTGGCCAGCATTGAAGAGTAGGCCAAAATACCCCTTTAAAGGGATCTCTAGAGCTAATGGAGGCCCTTCCACCAGCACTGGCATGAGTAAGCAATGAAGCCGTCCACCTGAGTTTGATTCCCATTGCACAGACAGAGTACCTCCATTTGACAACTCACGCTGACGAACGTGGTGAAGTATGGTCATGGAACCCCCGCGATTGAATTGTATGAGGCCCACATTCACCAGTCTGTTTTCAAAGGGCTGTACAAGATATTATTTTTGCCTATACATTACTCGAGTAACGTCACTTCTTTGACATATTTTAAACATTTTGGGGTTTTGTCACGAGATAATTTGATGGTGTGCTTGACTGTGACTTTGCCTTTTTTTTTCATTACCAAAGCCAGACAATTGTCAGACAGTCTTGAGAAATTACCTGCGTGTGTAGCTAGAAGATAAGAGCAGTTGGTTTTCTGAGCTGTGTCTTCTCTTTCTTAAAGGTGGAGTCCCGCGTACAGTATTCTTAGCCAAGGCCCAATGCTCGTAGAGGCGCCGGGGTTAGATGCAGGTGCTGGTGCCCGCATGATTCTTCTTATTCATTACAATATTAGTTATCTGTGGGCACGGGAATCGCAGTGCAGAGAAAGCTCCGAGACGGGCATGCTGCGCTAGCCCATGATACCTATCATCCCTGAATTTGGTCGACAGGGTTTCATCACGTGGTAGTGTGTGGTGGTTGGTGCTGCACCATGCTGCGAACCTGGCGACCTGAGTTCGATCCCAGCCCGTGGCCAAAATAGGTGACGGATGTCGTAATCAATCTTGGTCTTCCCCTCGTTCGACTTGGTTACAAGTGGACACCCGGTGCGGTGTGTAAACACAGCACTGGGTGGACCAAGGCTGGCTGTGCCACCCCCATCATGTGCTAACAGCACTTGCCCCCACGACAGTCTGTGTCAGCTATACGGGGGGATCTTTGTCTTTGTGTGTGCGCGCGTACAGGCTGGATCCACGCGGTGCTCACGCCCTACGACTGCATTGCCTTTGGGGGAAACTTCCTGCACAGCCTTAACGTGGAGATGCAAATCAGGTTGGGACAATGCGGCCGTGCTTTGAGCCGATCCCTATGGCCCACACCCCCCTTCTTCCGCTCCCCCTCTCATTATGCCTCGTCACTTGCGTATTGCACTCCAGCCTCGTCTGTTAGGGCTAGGCGGAAGCGCATATCTCCTGCTGAAATCGCCGCGTTTCACGTGTCACTGCAGTTAATCAGCCCCGCTGCGATGTGCCTGGCCTTGCGTTGGGATGTAATGGGATTTTTACATTGGGGGGTTCATTATTATACAATTTAAAATACAAGGCTTTCTTCAAGGTTGGTCTTGCCAAATTCCCAGAATGCCATGCCACATATATATGGGAACTGAATACACACAGAATACTTATGGTTAGTGTTCAAATGTCTAGCACAATCATCACTTCACATCCCACTGGCAGTGGCATGAGCAGGCAATTTCAGGGGTGCACCGCCTTTACCCTCTGTGTAAAATAAAACTTGCAATTCAAGTATGTGTGGTATTGCGCTCTTTTGTTTGCAGGGCATATGACATCGAGACGAGGCTAAAGACACCAGAGGTGTTCAAGTTCCCGAACTTCGAGTCGATGTGCTGGTATGCCGGCAAGAGCCTCCTGGAGATGCTGAAAGGTACCGAGAGTGCAATGGATCATGCTTGCCTCCCTCCTCCTCCTCCACTCCACCCCGGCCTTTATCTAGCGAGACGATTCCCCAATACACCGAGCAGGTCGGAGTCGGTCAAGATATTCCAGAACTGTTCTCACAACCCAATTTTGACAAGAAGCGCAATTTGGTTGCGAGGTTTGTTCTTCAACTTACCGGTCAGGCAAGATGATAATAATTGGCGCGTCGTTAAATGCTCGTACGAGCAAGTTTTATTTGTTTTGCTATGTCGCTACGTGTAGGAGGGTTGCGTTTTGGCCAGATCGTTACAACGTGGCCTATCCCAAAAATCAACTCTGAATTGTAACATTGGCTACAAAAACCTATTTTGGACTAAGGCTGACATTTCCCCACCGTCCCACATCGGTTTAGGTCAGAACAGAACATATCATGGGGGAGGGAGAACGATGCGCCATTCCGAATCGCGAGTGCCAGTGTTGTGACCATTGCTTGCCTGCTCGTTTGTACATGTGTGGATTTATGTGCGTGCAGGGGTAGTGTAGCGGTTAGCGTGCTGCACTGGGAATCCGACAACCGGAGTTGACACAGTTCGACCTCAAATCACAGTTCGACCTCAAATCAGTATCTGGTGCGGTGTGTAAACATCACCACTGTGGAGACAAAGGCGGCCGGGCGTGTCCTGTGCCGGCCTTCATAGGTGTTCGCGAACAGCACTCGCCCCAACAGTCCGTTAATGCTATATGGGGGATCTTTGTATTTGTGTGTGCGTGCAGAGATGCGTGAAGACGGCGACTGCCCGCGGACCCACGTCATGCAGGGGGCTCGCTCCCTGCTCCACGCCTTCCGCGCGTGGACTCAGAAGGAGGTGAGTCTCGCGGCACCCGCCCTGTTCGGCTCCCAGCGATGGGGCTACCTCGGAGTTTTGTCCCGGTCCTTGGCTCATGACAGCTCCTCTCGAGCCGAATGGCATTGGGCTGAGACTAAACCTCGCTCTCTACTCCATTTCCTTCACTTTCCCCACCCTTATTTATCCGTGCCAAAGTTAGGGTAATAATTTGCATGTTTAGGGCGCTTGCTTAATTGCCTCAGCAACTCAAAGCGCCATACATCACATCTCCTCTCAACCATTTCAATTCTCAGGTGTAATTTAGCCGAGGTGACCTAGGGGGTTGACGGGGGGGGGTATAAGGGGGACCCCTCTGCCCCCCCTCAGTGGCGCAGCGGTCCCTATGCTGCAAAAGGTGAGCAACAGCATTGTGCGGCTTAGTGGGCATTAGCCTGCCATCAGGGGTGTCATTGCTGTTGGTTTTTCAAGTTAAGCATCTTTGCAAGTAGTTCTCTGATATTGAGCAAATTTGGACCACAACACCGGCACAAGTGTGGTTTACTCATTTTCACATAACATCACAGGATCATTGGTTCAGCAGTTCCACTGCTGGATTATTTTTTCCGCCTGAGGACGACCGCTTGTGTTGCGATCGAAACGTCGTGATATATTATTATTATTATTTTCTACCTACGTGACTTTACCGAAAGAACCAAAGAGTATATTTTATGTTTAATACACCGGCAGTATTAACCAGGACAATCACGGGGCTTGAACCGCAGACCTCTTAATAACGACCGGCAAATGCACTAACCGCTCGACCATGTCACCACCCCAAACTTGATTTGTTACTCTCAATGTTTGTTATTAAACGTCATTGGACCTGTGTTAACAACCGAACGTGTGAGGATAAACTGCAGTAAACACGTACGTATATCAGGTGCACCACAAACACAACCTTTCATCAGTGGCTCTCTTCCCCGTGATGGCTCTGCTCGTAACATGCTGCTACTCCTGCTACTGTGCTTGCACTGTCCCTTACGCTCACCTTGCCCTTTGCAAATGCTGAACGCTGCTTTCTTCTCCCCTTTACACGGACCCCTGCTGCCTACCTGAACCGCAAACCTGACCTCAACGCGCTTTACCTAACACTGCCTTTTTCTATTTTCACAAACTTTTAGGCTGCAGCTAAGGCGCACAAGTATAACGTTTGTTATTTTTCATATTCTTTGAAACGTTACCGTAGCCATGTTATCTCTGAACATGTGAGGAAAAACTGCGATAAGCGTATGTATTTCAAAATGCACAACGAACACAAACTTTCACACCTCGAATTCCGCGTCTTGAAAATCGAGTTTGTCGGTCCGTGTGTAAAATGTGTGTGGTTGCTGCCAAATAGCGACACTTACGATATGTCATACAGAAGAAAGTGTGACTATCAAATGGATATCATGCAGTGAATATCGTTGAACATTTTTCTTTTGAAATGTTTTCTTCTCGATCAAATTTTTCTGAATTGGCAAACAGGTTTTTTTTTTAATGCTACATAAATAGCTATTACCTGTGAAGTTAGTGCTTTGTAAAGCGTATTATAATTGAGGGTATGGCGATGATACGTCATCATATCCGTAATTCGTTTATTCATTTCCCTGTGTGTTTTAAGTTTCTAAGCTTGATAGATTTAAAAGTTGCAATTAATAGAAAGCTTCTGGCAGCCTCTTGTCTTGTAAACTGCGGCTGAAGACCCTTCAAGGAAGCTTTGTGCTGGAATTTAGAGCACAGCTCATCATAAATGTCATTAAATGCAAAATACAATAACGATGGTAATTGTCACATTGTGAATGTTGCACACATTGTGGCAAATAATTTAAACCCTAGTCCCGTGTGTACTGCGAGTATGTGCGCTCGTGCACAGTGGAAATCGAAACCGTGGTGCATTGGATTGGAACGCATGGCTTGTGATCGGAAGGTCGCAAGTTTAGGGGTTGTTGACAGTGCTTCATCCTTCTGAAGTTGATCAACTCGGCAACCCTTTTGCTGGGTGGGGGGGGGAGTCTGCAGTGGTTGTTCTGTGGGCATGCTCGCCCTCGCCAAAGGAATGTGGAATATCCATCACCGGTTCGGGGCCATGAACTGGAACCGAGCGGCACACAACGGCCATTCTAGCTGGAAACCAATTGGAATGACCTTGACCCGCATTGTGAAGATATAAACCATAAGGGGGGGGGGGGGGGGGAGAATGGGCACCGGACGCATGTAACGAGTGGGCATGTAACGATCAGGTGGTTACCGTCGGTACCAACCATTGCGTTGTTAGCGTAATACTAGAGAACATTTGATTCGTGCAAGTTTTTTTAATTCAGTTATTCCTTTAGCCTATATTGGTCGCAGTGAAATATACGGGGGAACAAAGAAGGCAGACGGCATGGTTGAGACGTCCGATGTTTGTTGTCACGCTATACAGGCTATATAGTACGAACTATCAATATGACAGGACAGATGTGACTACAGACAGGTAGTACAATTCTTGCAGACAAGACGGTACAAATGAGTCCATAAAGTGAGACCATACAGACAGTGCAAGTAACAAATGGTGAATGATATTGCACAGACAAAAGGGTACACACGATGCAAATAAAAGTGTAGAGGGGGGAGACAACATATGAGGCAGTTCAAACAGTAAGAATGAGTCCGTAGAGATGAGACTGCAAATGGGACCGTATGGACAGTACAAACAATACATTACATATGGGTCCAACAGTATGGACTTTACAAATGAGACAGAAAAAAACGATACATTACAAATACGACTATTTAAATGAGCCCCATAAAGTAAGGCGCGACCAATTCCGAAATCCAACTGCGATTCCAAGACTTAACGATGGAGTCACTTGATAACGTTAGGAGGAGGAGGAGGACTTGATCGTTACGTGCCCACGGGACGTAGCAGAGCGGTGCACGAGTGACATTACCCGTTGTTGGCGTGCGCCGGCAGAACGTGGAGCAGCACGAGCGCGAGATCCCGGACAACCTGCGGCCGGGACAGCTCATCAAGGAGCTCGGCAAAGAGCTGCAGCTGGGGGAGGTGGGTCCGTCCATCCATCCGCCCGTCAGCTCGCTTGTGCACAGAGACGCGGTATTTACCGGGAAAATAAATTGGTGCTGTTTTATTTCGTTTCGTAAATGACAAGCTCAACACGCTGGCCAGTAACACAAGGCCCTAATGGGATAATAAATCCCATTAGCGGATTACGTTTTTGGCGCGGTCCTTCTTCATAGGCGAGGTATGAATATAGACCATTGCCCGAATGGATACTAAACCAGCCAGCATAATAAAGGTCGTTACAGGTTGCTGTGGGGCGATGTTGTACTGGATGGAGCAGGGCTACGTTTGTGCGCTCCACTTTTATCAACCCGCACTGACCAGCGTGGTGGCGAAATGTGGTCAAATAACCCCAACAAACAACCTGCATGGCGTGGGGAAGAGGTCCTCATCCACCAGTGGATTGACAAAACGGCTGTACCACGTACAGTCTACCTGCTTTGACCAAAACCATACTTTTTGAACCATGTTGCTGGATAATATTGGCCTGGAAATCCAATAGGCTCATGGACTAATATATACATCATTTTTAGGTGGGCACACACAACGGAATTCTACATGTATTGTTTAAATTTTTTTTAACAACCCTTCAAATGTTAAACGGCAACCATGGCGCTAACGGCATGCACGCGCTGCCGTGTGCGGTTGCGCCAACAGGTAAAGGTGACCCGGAAGCCATGCCGCCAGTTAACAGGCACGGGCGAAGGGCGGAGGGCAGTGCTGAGCAGGACCGCCGCCGGGAATCGGCGCGAGAGGGAGCGTGAGCGCTGCGGTGCCGGCGGCCGGAGGAAGGCGAAAAAGAAGACGACGAAGGAGAAGGTGAAGGTGATTCCCAACCTCGACATCCTGGAGCTGCACACCAAGGAGACGCTCAGGAAGATGGTCATACCCAAGAAGGAGAAGGTGAGACCTTGGACCAGGGGTCAAGCAACCTGCGGTTCCGGAGCCGCATGCGGCTCTTTCAGGACCGCTTCGTGACGTTGTTCACGTGCATTGCGGCTCTTGAAATATTGAAGTTTTTTTTTACCGAATTAAACAAAAAAAATGCCTCTTGTTATTTTGTTTGCCAACCTTTGCCTTGGAAAGACACTGGACTGAAGTGCCTCTACCCTAGGCACCTGTCTGAATGAAGTACCCTCCACCTGCATTTCACTTCTCGAAAAGCGTGAGGCATCCTGGGTAGTGGGCTAGGAAAGTGAGGTAGTGCAGTTAACTTCTCGAAAAGAGTGAGGTATCCTGAGTAGCGGGCTCGGGAAGTGAGGTGGCAGCCTTCCCCCAAACTCTTCTCGGCACCACGTTCAGAGGCCTGCGTGTACGGAATAAAGATTGATTTAGCCGATGAACGGCACCAGCTACAAAACGTGTGTTTTAAGCATAAGATCTAATGGGCTTAATGGTGTCATCGTCGATTGTCTCTGTGCCACACTGGGCGTGGACTGCAGTGAGTTTTGGAGGCCAGATGCCTGGTGCTTCAAAATTGCTGCCGATTAAAATAGTTGGTTTTAAAAATATTTTGTCAAATGGATTTTAAAACTCAGCTGACCCCCCCCTCCTCCTGTGCTACCCCCTTCTACATCCCTCCCCACTCCCAACCCTGCACCGGCGGCAACGGCAACAGGACGACGTGCCGAGCTCGCTGCTCCGCGTCGTGTGGAGTCGTCCCGGCGAGCTGGCCATGATTGAGCCAGAACTCCGCACGCCGGAAGCTCGTCTCTCCTTCGTGCTAGCCAACGGCAATGCGAACAGGTGAGCACCAACTAATCACCTTCTAAGTGGTGATTTGATAGATTATTATCACCTACTTTTCTATGGCAAGCATGAAAGACAACAGCAGGTTTTCAACTTTGTGTTGAGTTTGGAAAGCCATTCGATGGTGCCTGTGGTTGACCAGGTGGACTTCGTTTGTATCTCCAGCAAGATCAAAGGCACTTGTTGGGCGAGCATAAATTAAGCTTAGATCAAACCGGAAATTTCGTGGGAGTTACGAAGTGACGCTACCACTGTTTATTTGTTAATTAATGGTCAGTGTCGCTGAACGATTTACACGAATCTCAAATGCGCACCAATCGACGTTCGCCTTCCCCCCCCCCCCCCCGCCTCGCCTCGCCGTACCGACAGTGGCTGCGAAGGGCGTTTGCCATGTAAGCGCAAGTGCGTCCCGGACAAGGCGCCCACGCGCATGTCGGCACCGGGCTCCACTCCGCCGGCGGGTGGCCCCGGCGGCAGTGCAGGCGGCAGGGACGCGTACGCGTACGACTCGGACGAGGGCGCCACCGCGCGAGCCGGCGTTGGCGCGTCGCCGGCGCACAGAGCCAAGAGGAGCGACGCGGAGCCCGCCGAGTGCGGTACGTGTGGTCGCGCAAATGATTCGTCGTCGACTGTGGTCAACCTATTGATGGTTGAAGCCCCCACCTCCCCCCCCCCCCCCCCCCAAAACTGCCGCCATCTCTCACGCTCGTGCGCACACATCGTCATCATCAATCGGAGTATCATCAATCGGCTATGATCAATCGACTGCTGGATGAAGGCCTCATTCCATCTCCTTTCAGTGGACATGCATTCCCTCCCTTTGCAGGAAGTTGTTTGCTGATCTAGATCTCGTTTGCAGTGTTCTTATTTTAGCCTAAACGGGATTTTCCAGATGCTTGGGTTTTCTTTCGGCAACTTCTGGTAAGGCTATTTTAGGAAGAATGGTTAAGTACAGTTTCCAAATTTGTAAAACTTGAGAATCTTCAATAAATGCTAAATTTGGGCTGTGACATTAACACCCTGGTTTGTACAAATATCAGTGGGTTTTTATTTTAACTTTGGTAATTTCACAATTCATCATAACCACACGTGATCAAGTTAAGCAACGCTCAGGCTGCGTCGATGTGCTCAGTTTAAAAAAGTGTTTTCGATTGTGTCCTGCTCAGAGGCAGGAGGGAGCAGTGCTGTTTGGCCATAAGCATGTGCATGTGTGTACGTGTGTTTCTGTGCTACGATCCATCTAACCTGAGTGGGATTCCCACTCGGTCAACAACAGTGACTAATATCTAAATTGGTCCTGGGCCTCCCCTAGATTGCTGTGGTTTGTAGATATCAATCACTGTTGCGGTGTGTAAATATCGATCATTGTGGAGGCAAAGGTCGTGTTCTAGCCACACCACCCACACCACCCCCACCACCCTTATGGTGCAAACCACACCGCTCCTCTTGATCACCAACAGCACTTGCCCCAACATTGTTAAAATTTACACGGGGGAGCTTTATCTTTGCGAGCGTGAGCAGACGCGCGTGCACGCATGTGTGGGGGGTGTGTTTGGTCGTGAGCGAGTGCGTCCGTCCGTGTGTGTGTATGTGTGGGCGTGTCCATGCGTGGGTGTGTGTGCCCAGCTGGGCATGGCCCAGTTGGTTGCTCCCAAAACCGCGCACGTGCGCGTTGGCACGTTGTGAGCATTGCGGTCGCTGACGTGTGCTCCCATCTGCCCCACAGCTGCTCTGGGGGCGGCCGTGAAGACGGAAGGAAGTGACGGACCTCGCGCGCCCAGCCCCGCTTGCTCGCCACGCCACCCCACCTCCTCCGGCGCACCCTCCCGGGTTAGCGCTGCCCGGCCAAGCACTCCCAACACCGCATCCCCTCCCCCTCCACCCACACACACACACAGGGAGAGGACGGTTCCTTTGTCTTGATTTTAATGCACGTGACGACAGTTGGGAAAATGTGTCAAGAGTCATTGTGATACCATTTCTAATCATAAGCCAGTGAGCTTAGAAGTGAGGTATTCGCTGACCTAATTCTTTACAGAAAAATCTGTTTCCACCAATTATATTCTATTTGGGCTTATCGATGTTATGTCACGGGTATAAGAAGTCTGCCATGAGACAAAGACATTTACAATCCTCCTGGTTATATAATGACCTTTGAAATTAGATATTGCAGATCTTCTGTGAGCCTTTCATTTCCCCCTCGCCCACACTAGGCTCTGCACCCTCTCACTTGTCCTACTATAGAGATACCTTATCACATGACAAACTAAAGTTTAGGCATCTTCAGAGCAAGATATATGCCAATTAAGTGAAAATAAAATGTTATATGTTGCCTTTTGTCCTATTCTGTGAATGGACTGAGACTCATCTCTATGCTTGATGGGGTTAAACACACGTGGTTGAAACACATTGTTCGTTATATGCCATTGTCTATCGGCTGCTGGATGTTGATCTCCCCATTTTCCCTCTATCACTCAGTCCTTTAATACCACAGTATCGACGAATACCAGAATTATACACAATGTGGTTTGTGATTTCTTGGTGGATGTTTGTACATCTGTCAATGGATATCATGGGCAGCTTTTTTTTTTGGGCAGCATTTTCTTGAAGCCCCCCAAACTGTGGACCAGATAATTCTCATTTGCAAGTTGCACCATGCAGATCACACACTCCTGATGAGACTAAGAAGTTGAAACCAGTTCATGGTTTGGATGCTTGTAAAATATTGCAGGAATGTCGGTTCATAAGACTAATGTGACTGCTGGACCCGGATGCTATGTAATGGTTGAGTGTTGAAACAAGCAAGTTAAACATCAACAACATTGGAAAATCGCATTGAGCGCCGTTCCTAGAGTGACCTGCTGGGGGCACTAGAATCGCTAGCAGTCAAGTATCCAAACTACTCTGGAATGTACACTCCCATATAGCTCGGATATTCTAATTTTTACTTGAACGCTCTGATTTGTTTCCGGATTGTACCACGCATTGTTCATATGTACAGCGCGCATTCTAACCGGAAAACACATCGGAGCTATACGGCACAACCGCAAAAGCAGTAGCTTCTTATTTCTCATCTCGGTTGTAAAACGGACACTCGTGCGTCTGCTCATCACAAACACCACGGCCCAGGCTGCGTCACCGCCAGCAGACCGTGCTCAGCCCTCACACAGTGCGGCCTTTTCTTTCGCCGTCAAGGTTTGGCACGCAAACTGATTGGCTCCCCTTCCCCCGCCGCAGGATCCTGACGGCAGCCGGGACGAGCGTGTCAAAGGGCGCCTGTGCGTGGTCGTCGTCAAGAAGGAGAGGGAGGCATCGCCCGACACCAAGGAGACGGCGGCCGCGCCGGCGCTGGCCAAGCCACGGGGCGAAGTGAAGGCGCGCGTGCAGGAGTGCCCGCAGGGCTCCTTCCGCATCAAGATCGAGGCGGCGGAGAAGTCGAAGGGCAAGGAGTGCTCGCGGCCGATCTTCTCCATCAAGAAGGAGGGCTGCGGGCGGCGTAGCGGCAGCGGGGACCAGCGTGGCCGGGAGCTGCCCCAGCAGGGACCGCTGCGCATCAAGATCGAGAGGCGCGACAGGTCGGAGGGTGCGGAGCCCGTCATCAAGGAGTGCCCGCGCGTCGCAGAGGTCAAGGCCGGTGGCGGCAGTGGTGGAGGTTCACGGGAGAAAGACAGGGGGCCGCGTGGAGAGAAGGAGCGATGCAAGACCGCCGATAGGGATGCCTGCGGCGAGGGAGTCCGGGTGAAGCTGAAGATCAAGGAGCATGTGATGAGGCCCGAGTCGGAGCGAGAGGACTGCCCGTCGAGAGGCCACGTCCAGCCAAAGAAGGAATGTGGCAGCAGCGGTGACTGTAGCAACCCGAAAGTGAAGGAATCGATCAGTAGCAGCAGCAGCAGGCAGAAGGTGGATGGCGAAGCAAGGTCCCAAGGCCTAGCACACGTGGAAGAGAAGGCCAAGCACAATGAGCGGCGGGTGATGGTGCCCTCCGGTGGTGGGGAGCTATCGCATGGCAAGGAGCACCGGCAGCAGCTCTTTGCGGAAGGCAAGGTGGGCCAGGAGTCCCCCAGCAAGGAGCTCAGGAAAGATCCCAATACCCCCAGGCAGCAGCTGAAGGAGACATCGGCAGCAGCCGCAGTGGCGACGCTCGTCAAAACGGACAACGGGCATTGCCGTGCGGGAGAGAAGCGGCTTCACCAGAGCCAGTCCGGCCCGACCGAGGGACCACGAGCTGAACCGAAGACGGGCGGCGCGGAGAGCGGGCAGAAGGTTCCACCCTTGAAGGAGCAGGCGCAGCAGGCACAGCAGGGAGCAGGAGAACCCAGGATTAAGGGCTGTGGGGACAGGGGAGAGGTGCAGAAGAATGGGTTGAATGTGTTTAAGCAAAAGTCGTCTGAGAATGGGGTTAAGATTGATGCGAGGCAGCATCAGCAGCACAAAGGCCCTCAACAGCAGCAACAGCCTGAACAGCAGCAGCAACGACATCACGCTCAGCAGCAGCAACAGCAGAAGCAACAATACAAACATCCTCAACAGCAGCAGCAGCACAAACATCCCCAACAGCAACAGCTTCATCAGCAACACAAACATCTTCAAGAGCAGCAGCAACCCAAACACCCAAGACAGCAACAGCAGCATCAGCAGCAGCCCCGGCAACATCCTGCACGTCCGGCCTTGTGGCTCGACATCAGGACAGAAGAGAAGCCAGCGGACAAGGGCCATTCGGCAGTGAGCGATGGCGTCGGCGCAGTCAACAAGCGGCACATCCAGGAGCTCTGGCGTGGCCAATCGTGGCTGGAGACACAGGTTAGGGACAAGCAGCAGCCGCAGCAGCGGTTTCACCAGCCGCAGTTTCAGCAGCAGCCACAGAAGCAGCTTTTACACCAGCAGCAGCCATACCAGCATCAGCAACCAAACCAGCAGCACACGGCTAACGCTTGCCTACCGGATGCGGCAACTGCTCGCTCCCGACAGCGCTCTGGCGAGGAGCACCTAGCGAAATGGATGCCGGGCGCCGAACCTGGGAACTTGGCATTTGGCGGTGGCGGTGACAGCCTGCTGGAGCAGCTAAGGGCGGTTTGTCAACAGGTTGGCGGACAGCAGGGGCCGGCTCGCAGGGCGGAGAGGAGGCCCAGCGAGCAGACGGGCGCCGTCTGCAGCGTTATCAGGTAAGCCCAGCGGGGCAATAATATTCAGAGTTAGGGGGGCAATAATACTAAGCGGGCTAGACTGTGGCGCAGTAGGGTTTAGCACAGTGTGCTATGTATTTTTTTTTTAAATCAGGAGTTGTGCACATCTCCAGGGTGGGAGTACTGATCTAGTGATGAGCATTACTCATTTGGAATACACATAGCAATCATCGCCGCCTCAGAGCACTTGACAGTAGTCATGAGACTCGGTGAGGGTTTGCTAGGTCAACAAGCATACAGTAATGATAATTAGCTCACTGCGCTGTGAACCCACCAACTTGTTCGATTTCCAACATCGATGGCGAGTGATATCCAGCCCAACCTGAGCAGCGTGGTGAAGTATGGTCAAACAACCGTATGATTGACATGTCGTCGAGAGGACCTTCGTCCAGCAATGGATCGACAAAGCGCTGTACGGATAATTATTCTCCTCACGTACACGATGCTATTTATCTTCTACTGTTTATACATTTGAATCGATGCAGGGTCGCGCATATCGTCGTGCGTATTGTCACGTTAACACGTGTTTTTTCTTTTTACCTCCGGACAGGGCCACACCTACCTCTCCCAACGTCGATGCAATCCAGGGCATGCTCGCCATGGTCAACATGCCCATGGGCCCCATTGGGCAGGCGGCGACGCACACGGCGCCGCACGGCCCGTTGTCCCCGCCGCCTCTCGCCCCCGGCCGCCTCCCGATATCCCTGCCGTCCACGGGCCGCTCCTCGCACGCCAGTGCACAGTCTGTTCCTGCCGGCTCCCACGTCACCTCGCCGTCCCGGAGGCACGCGGGCCCTGCGGCGCCGCCGTTTCTCAGTGCATCCTTGCAGCCGGAAATCCACCGAGCCACGTCGCCGCCCCCGCCGCTTGCCCCGCGCGCCATCTCTCCGCCGCTGACGCCGGGCGGCCACGCGTCGTCTCGGCCCTCGACGCCGGCGGGACACGTGCGCTCGCCGCCAGGGTCGCCTGGGGAACACGCATCCTCGCGACCGCCGACCCCCGGCGCCCAGGAGACTTCGCGACCCCCGACCCCCGGTGGGCAGGAAGTATCGCCGCCGCCGACTCCAGGGCGCCAAGTGGCCTCGTCGCCACCGCCCGTGCCGTCTCTTTCCGTGGGGACGAGCGTGATAGCGCGACCGCCCCCCAGCTGGGAGAATGTCGCAGCGCAGCAGCAGCATCACCAGCATCATCATCAGCAGCAGCAACAACACCAGCAGCAGCAGCAACAACACCAGCAGCAGCAGCAACAACACCAGCAGCAGCAGCAACAACACCACCAGCAGCAGCAACAACACCAGCAGCAGCAACACCAGCAGCAGCAGCAGCAACAACACCAGCAGCAGCAGCAACAACACCAGCAGCAGCAGCAACACCAGCAGCAGCAGCAGCAACACCAGCAGCAGCAGCAACACCAGCAGCAGCAGCAACACCAGCAGCAGCAGCAACAGCAGCAGCAACACCAGCAGCAGCAACACCAGCAGCAGCAACAACACCAGCAGCACCAACAGGAGCAACAACACCAGCAGCACCAACAGGAGCAACAACACCAGCAGCACCAACAGGAGCAACAACACCAGCAGCACCAACAGCAGCACCAGCAGGAGCAGCGTGTAAGTCAGGCGTCACCCTGGCTTCCAGCGCGATCGAGCTTACGTGACGACTCTTACAGCAGCCGCCTGAACCCCAAATCGATGCCCTACCGCGATACCGAGGGCGCTGTCTCAATGGGTGTTACGCAGAAGGCGGTCATCGACAGCCGTACGGCACCCTGGTGCCCTCCCCACGAGCAGCGAGTGGGGCCGTTGCCCCCCGAGTCAGGCGGCTACTCCTACGCCCACGCGCGCTACTCAACGGCGGACTGCCTCACCAGCGCCTTGTACGCACCGTTGCCAGCGGACGGCGGGCTGGCCTCGCGTCCTGGCGACAACCGGCCCCAGGCTCAACGGCAGAACTCGGTGGTGACGGCAGCCAGGACCGTGATCTTTGAGGCGCCCCCGGTCTCGCGGGCGCCAAATGGTCACATTGTCCACGGCGACAGCAGCAGCACCATCCCACCCTACGCTAACCGCACGCTAGCAGGGTACTACGGCCCGTACGGTGGCAGCGGTGCCGCTATCGAGAGGCACCCAGCGCCGGAGAGGTGTGCTACAGCGCAGCCTCCACCACTCAGCCCGTGCAGGGCACCGCTCCCGGTGCCAGGAGGGCACCCGCTGGCTAGTTACCACGGCGCTGGCGCCAGACCTATGCCATCGTACCACCCACCACCGCCGCGAGCCGGCGCGCCGAGGCAGGCGATATCCGGCCGCCCCCCCGGGAGCTTTGACGGCCACGCGCTAGGCCATGTGGCCCCGCCGCCCTCCACCCTGTACGACAGCCGCGTGGCCGTGCGTCCCCCGGTCTCCGCGGCGCCGGAAGAGAAGGTTCCGAACCCGCCGCTGCTGCTGAGGGGACTGTTTGACGTGGGGGAGAAAACGAGGATGAAGCACAGCCAGTCGTTGGAATCTGCCTACAGTAAGACTCCTCACTTTTGTTGCGCGTTTATGCCATGATTACGAGCTGCTGGATGTTCTGCTGCTGGACTTACAACTCCATCGCGCAAAGCAGTAGTTGAAACTATGGGCATGGTTATTAAATCTTTCCTGGAGTTTTGTGGCCAATGAAAGCAGAATTTGTTGAAAGGTGTTTGTGTTTGACCCATGATTGGTCGACAGCAGGGCTTGCTTTCAGCCAGGTTCGTCTGAGGGCGACCACCTGGAAAATTATTCCACCCAGCACACCACGTCCTGTATACCTCTCACTCTGGTTGTTGGCTACTGTTGGCTTTTCTATGCCAGTTTCCTAAAGATCACTGGAGCGAAACCTGCCCAAAGAAAAGTTATGTGGCCTTGCTCATAGTACAAGGAATGATTGAGACTCTTTACAACAATATTTGATTTTAAAAGGTCTGCACTTTTTCTGACAGTAAAATAATAACAAATAATCATAGTTGTGAGTTAGTTTATTTAAGTTGTTGAGCCTGCTGGCCAGGATTTGGCAAAACTTTGCCCATTTTTTTCATCCAGGCATACTAGAGAACACAGCCTCGGTGTTTCTAACCGAAGCACTTCGAAGTGCAAACACTTATGGAAATGAATGAACGCGTGTTTTCGGCTGACGATCCCTTTGTTCCTTCCCCCCTCTTGTCGTTTGTGTTTTCTGCACAAGTGTTCTCCTCTTCTGACTCGGAAGAGGACGAGCCGAAGTTGATGATCAGTGAGACGCTCTCGCGGGAAGACACGTGGATGCCGAGAGGTAACGATAGCTCACGGCCATTTTGCCCTCTCTCAATCCGCACATTTCTCACCCAAAATCCTCTGCCACCACCACTGCTGTACTCCGTTATTTGAAGTTGAAAGCAAGCGCTCTGAACGTGTCTGTGTTTGTAGTTCTCCCTTGCAGGGCGACCCTTCGGCGAGAGCCACCTGGCACAACGCTGCTTGTGTGTCTGAGAACGTTACTCTCTCCTCTGAAGCCGCCACCATGCGCTGCTGTCCAAAAACTAAAAATACAACAACCTCGATTCGGCTCCTCTTGGGCTGTTAGGAACAACGACACGCACAAGTGTGCTGCTCGCGAACGGCAGGAAGGCACGACTCCCATCGTGCCTTGTGTGCATGTCATGTGGCCATTGTCTCTAGGTCGCCAGCTTAAAAGTGAGCTGATGGCCTTAGACCCCTGGTTCCCCACCATTCATGGACCCACGGGCGACCGTCAATGCTCATGTTTTAAGCGAGCCAACAAAAATGTGTTTTTTTTTCGTGAAAAAAATCTAATGATCTGCAACGGTTACATTTCCCCATGGCCTTGCAGGGGGGGACCCACTGGTCTAGAAACAATGTGATGGTCACATGGTGCGCATGGAAGGCACGATGAGAGTCGGGCCTGCCTGCTGTTAGTGAGCGGCACACCTTCGCGTGTTGTTCTTTGTGTTTCCAGCCTGCACGCATTCAAATAGTTTCGATGGGTTTCCTCATCATCTACAAATGTGCATTTGAATTCCGCTTGGCTGTGCCGCTCTTCCCAAGCCCGTCCAGAGGGTACGAGGCACTGAAGAAAGCCATCATCGGTTTAATGTCCGGGGGAGAGATGCAGCGTTTGGTAGATGCGGCACGTGCCGTGGAGCTGCCGGGCATCGCCGGGGACCCTCGGCGGCTGCCCGGGAGCGGCCGTCGCTTGTCAGCTTTTAATGCCTCAGTCGGGAGAAACTTGCCAGAGACGGTAACGTCGCCTTCCACTCGCCTCTACCGATCTTGCCACTCGCTGTCGGGTGGGGGGGAAGGGTTAGCGGTGGACTGAGAAGTTTTCACTATAGGAATGTCACTGTTAGCATAACAATTATTCCAATTGATTTCTGTTTACAGGGTAAAAGCACTGTATTGTAGATTTTAAGTGAACCGCAGTGGCAGATAAATATTTTAATTGTAGGTCCCGAATCGTTAAAATGACTCGATCCCACAGGGGTGAATCGTCACATTCCTAATGCCCAGAATGGCCCCAAGCGATCCATCATTCTTGCATTGATATACGAAGTTATAAGCTTACAATTGGGAAAAGGCTTAATTGGATTGCCTGTGTTTACACACAATAGCCTGATTGATATTGGCTTTTCAATCTTGCCTTGCAAGCCCTCCTAATCAAGGTGAGATTGGTTGCTCATGCAGAGAGTCATAAATAGGACAAAAAATATTTTTGTAGCTTCTTGTGGACGTTCAATGCATTCTGGTCTCCTCCCACACGCAGAGACTACTCGTTCATCAGCCAATCATCCCTAGATATTCATACATTTGGTATGTGCACCGTTCTTACAGTGCAAGGCCATCACGTAGGTGCTATGTTTCACAGACAAATACAGTCGCAGTAGTTTGATAGTCCGGGGATGATGTAGCTACGTGGTTCTACCCATTAAGGTAATTTGCGAGTAATTTTCACATTTTTCTAATGCAAACTTCCCAATGCAGCAGGAGCCAATTGAATATATTGCCTCAAGACCCAAGTCGGAAGCGTTTCCTGGATACGTAAATGGGTCTCTTCTGCTGTTGTCACTGGCGGTACATAACGTTGTCGTTTGTCACCACCAGATGAGCTGGAACTGGAAGCGCCGCGCCGCGACTGGTCGCTGCAGGCGGGGCTCAGGACGGCCGAGGCAGAGTGCCGCCTCACCCAGGTGAGAGATCCAGCACCCTGCACCTCACCTGGCTGCTATCTCAAGATAGCATGGGGGGGGGGCATCACCCCCACCCTGCCACTCCCCTAACACCTCCGGGTTGGGGTTATGGGTTCGGAGTTGGGGGTTTTGGGTTTGGGTGAATAGTTGGTGATTTTGGGTGAAGGGTTGGGTGTTATGACTTAGGGGTGGGGGGTTATGGGTTCGGAGTTGGGGGTTTTGGGTTTTGGTGAAGGGTTGGGGGTTATGAATTAGCGGTCGGGGTTATGGATTAAGGTGGGGGGTTATGGGTGAAGGGTTGGGGTTTTCAATGAGGAGTTAGGGGTTAGTGTTTTAGGTTGAGGTTCGTCATTAAGGGTTTGGGTTGGCATTGGAATCTCTGCAGGTACTGGCTGTAAACAATATTTAGACTCCAAAATCCGCTTCAGCAGTGGCTGTAAACAATTCAGATTTCTGAACGGCTACCATAACGCTACCACCCCACTGGCCAGTGCTGGATATTTGACGCTACTCTGCCCTGTGTTGTACCATTGAACCGGAGTTACCACAAGGGGGCGTAAGACTGCCTGGTGATGGGAAAGGAGAGTAGGTGGGGGACAGATAGTTCAGGGGTTGGAGAACGGGTAGGCAGATTGTTATTGACAGTGAGAGAGCACCAAACAAAACAATTTGAGGTTTAAAGTGAAGACTATAAAATGTAAACACTGAATAATGCATTCACACATTTATTTAAAGTTTAACTACTAATTGTTTGTCTAGAGTACAATAGACGGCAGTTAGTACAGTGGGCTGTAGATGACTTTGTCTTGAAAAATCTGAACTCTTCCACAACATGAATGGTTTTCCAGAAGTTCTGTTGAAATGTAATCTTTGTGGCGGGGGAAGGGGGAGGGTCACAGAAGGTGAATAATAACATTTTGAGCACAGCATCACAACGGGCACGGTCGCCGCTCCCTCTGCGCAGGAACTGCCGCTGTCGCCGCCCATCAAGAGGCTTCGGCTGTGGGACTCCGACCGCGCACCATCGGATGGGACGGGTCAAGTTTGCCGGACCGGCGGCGCCGACCGGGAGCGATCACCAGACTGCGTGGAGGACGACAGCGACTCGTCATCGGCGGGAGGCGGTGGTGGCGGCGCAGCCGATGGCAGGACGGCGCTGCTCACTGGACTGGAGAGCCCCACCGACAGGGGTGAGTGCCGGCGCCGCGTGGGAAATCGGGGTGACCAAGATGACACCGGCGCACCTTCAGGGCTTTGCTCAGAGGCTTTGCGTGCTCCTTTGAATGCAGGCAGTGGAAGAAGAACGTAAAGTGTAAAGGGCTCGCCGACGGAAGTGATGACATTGGAGTTTTTAGACGGATGGAGTTAGAGTTAGGGTTATATGGGCAGGTTGCCTTCGGTTGTTAGGGTTATGGTAGAGCTAATGTTTGTGAGGCTAGTTCTGTTTTGGGGTCGGGGCAGGGTTCGTGCTAAAGGCTGGTTAGGGACAGGTTGGCTCGTTTGCTAGGGTTTTGTGTTTCGTAGGCTAGTTGGGTAAGGGGATAGGGCTGTTGCCAAGGTCTGTTTGATTAGTTACAATTAGACACACAGGGACGGGTTGGGTGAGTTAGTTAGGATTAGGTATGGCTAGTATGTCTAAGCTAGACAGCTTAGGTGGTAGGGGGAGAGCTGGTGAGGTAGGTAAGGGTCTGGTTGGCTCGTTGTGCGTAGGATAATGGAGGGGGTGGTATGGTCTTGTTTCCCATCGTTCTGTTCACCGCACGTAGGCGAGTTTGCCTGTTGCACTCCTGGCTGCAATGTCCTCCATTCGGCTTATATTTGTAGCACTTCACAAATATAATTTATTTATTACTCCCAAATTGCATTCCAGTGGTGTTATCGACTTGATATCTGGACGATGATCGCATTGATGGTGATGATGACGACGATGTTTCGTCCTTCTCCACAGGGTTGAAACGTCCTAAGAAAGGGATGGCGACGGCAAAACAGCGCCTGGGGAAAATCCTCAAACTCCACAAGAACGGCCGCATGCTGCTGTGAGCGACGGGGGCGCCAAACCTCGCTGCGGACGCTTCTGCACATTCAGGGCCTTTGCTACGATCACGTCGCACCGCCGTGACTCACTTTGAGAAATGTTTTTCTTCGTCATCGTTTGTGTATTTTGTCTTGTTTTTCCGTTTTGTACTTAACGAACTCGAATTATTATTATTTTTAGTTGTGCCGTCAATTACGGAATGAGGTGTGCGCGATGAATTGAATCGGTTCTGGTGAAGTGGATTGAATTTATTTAATGGAGCTGCTTGCAGTTTTCAGTCTCTGGGGTCTATTTGGTGCTGTGGAATTGTCTGGATCGGACGAGATCACGGGTTTTAAACCGGGTCTCCCGATCCCTTCTCAACCTATTGCCTGAATAATTGTTGCTCTGGCTTTGGTGCTAATTGTAGAAGAGATGATTTCAATTGCGGTACTCCTGCCTGGTCACTGTGGGGGGTTATGGGGGGGGGGATGACAGCTCCGGCAGGTGAGCTCTCTGCTCCCGCTCGTCTCAATGTGCACGTTAAAAATAAATGCACTGCGTACCCGGTGTGCAAGAGAGGAGGAGGGAACCGAGCTTAGATACTTGCACATAAAAGTGCTTTTTGAAGCTGGTGAACAACCACGAGCGGAAAAAGCCCGCTTTTAACGTGAGAGCTGACAAAAAAGTAACATTCGTCATTATTTTACACTAAAATCCCACCATGGGAGGGCTGCGATTTGCACTCGAGCGATCGTGGGGCGTGGGCGCGCTGCGAGGCGCGTCCACGGCAAAGCAGAACTCGACCTCACACGGAGTGAGGAGGGGGTCCCACGTTTGCCGCGCCGCTCGAACCGGATCTGGTGTGTCTGCCAGGCTATGCCGGGGCCGCTACGATATCACGGTTGGGAGCAGTCTTGTCTAAAATCCAGCACGCGTGCACGTTTTTGTTTATTTTGTTTGTGGCATCCAGTTTTATTCCGCGTTTGGAGAAAGGGGGGGAAATAACAGGCGATACGACGAGCAAGATAAACGTAAAATGCGGATCGCACGAATGCACGACATGTCCGTGTTGGAAACTCATTCTCGGAACCGGTGATTTTTTTCCCTCGTTATCTTCGACGAAGTGCTCAGGTCTTAAAACACTCGTTTTTCACGTTGGACGCTGCTTTGGTTTTTGTTTTGAAAGTCGTCGCCGGAAGTTTCTCAGAGTTGACGTTTGTCTGGGGTAGAACCGCAGTGACGCTTGCGTTGCTTCTCAACCCGGTCACTCTGCCCGCACGCACGTACGTAAAAGGGCGTACCCACGGTGAAATATGTTCCTAGTTTTGCTTCCACGTTTCCCCGTTTTAAAGGGCAGGTTTGCCCTTTACAAACTCGGAAGCGAGTTCTGGAGTCTTCTCAATATAGCGGGGACTGATTATTGAGAACAATAAACCTAAAAACTAAATATTCAAAACTGCTTCCACTTGAAATGTGTGCCACAGAACCGTAACCGATCCATTTTAGGCACCACTGTGTTGCAAAATGGTAAGTGTGGCTCAAACGCTTTATTTCCTTAATTTAATTTGCATTCTTAAGTTCTCGTGACAAAACAAGCATCTCTCCGATGCGTTTTCCGATTGTATCGTGAGATGTTTGGCAAGGTGTCTTGGCATTTTGCATCACGTGCTGAGACTGAATTCAGTTCCTGAAGCAGCTCCCCAGCACAATTGCAAACAAACCTTTGCAGACGCAGAGATGCCATGAGACTGACCGCAATGTAAGGAAACAACAAACGCATCCGACCGTTGGATCAAATTTCCACTCCGAGTCGTGACAAGTCATGGAATTGACGAGGACATTAATTGTTCCGCCCCTACCAAAGCGGCTTTGACACGGAATGCCTAGGCTGACGTGCGTGCAGAGTTGGGTGATGTCGAGGAGGTACGCAAATGCCACATCGACCCCGAAATGTTCAGAATTATTGGGGTTTTATTTTTCTTTTGTTGCAGCTGGCTGAACAAGCCAAAAAAATCACGTCTGAATCAATCACCACGGTGGCTCTTTGGTTGTAAATACACGTTGTAATTCTAATCTTAATGCGGAACAAACTTTTTTTATATATAAACAGTGATGATCATAATGATGGCGTAGGGGAATAAATAAACTGTGGGAAGTTACGGAGAAGAGCATGTTTTACAGCACAACAGACCATTGCTCAGATTCTAAGCTGTGGAGGTGGAAAGCCGATTGTTGAATTTAGGTAATCCCTGTAGGAAGAAGTCTGGTGGATTTCGCTCCTCGGTTATTCATTCAGGTTTGCCATGTGTACATACTTGTTACTAAATTGCCAGTAGGGTTGCATTGTAGGGACCCCTGTTTGCCCTGTTAGTGTTATTTATCTGTTGGGACAATTTATTTGTAAATACCTAATCGAGAAATTTTCAATTTCTGACCGGATTTATTTATTAAGATTTTTTTTGTTTGATATTTTTTTGTAATGGCTGTCTTGGCTTTTTTTATTTTCTCTACGTTGAATTTGTGTCCATGTGGTTTTTTGGGTCGTTTTGTCTCGTTACGTATGATGCCCGTGTCGGTCTCATCTCGGTGCTTGTGCGGGCGCACTATTTAATAATAAGACGATGTATAAAGCAAACACAACAATGGAAAAGGATGATGGAATTTTGTAGAAGCGGACGATTTTATTAAATTCACAAAACAGTATTTTTTTTTCTTAACCCGCGAACGAACACACGAACAAATAATTATTGCGGCGGGTCCTCGGCTCAGGGACAGCGGCGGACCCTCGTGGGGGGCGCGAGGGAGCTCAGGTCTTTTCTCGCTGGGGACTTGGGGAGGGGGGGGGGCCCAGCAAGCCTCTGCGAGCCCCTGCCGCACCACCCAGGGGAGCGAGCGTGTGTTTCAGTTGTTGGGAGCGTTCGGTTTGGGGCTGTTGTGTGCCGCGACTTGGTGCCCAGCCGTTGAACATTTACCCACACGTCCAACTGCCCAGCCAATCGGCTACCCACACCCCCATCCATTCACTTATCCCCTCCCACTCTACTTACTCTCATACATACCAACTCAGCTATCCACTTACCTACTCATTCAATAACCACTTTCATCTGCACACTTCCCCACATCCCTTCGTAGCAACCATCACATTCACATAGCCACTCGATGTATTCACACACCTGAGTAGACACTTGTATTCACACCAGCCCATGCACTTATCTGCTTGCTTATCTGCCCACTCACCATCCATTCGTGCACCCATCCTCTCGCCGATTGCCCTGCCTATATACTCATCCACTCTCACATGAATCCACCTATCACTCATCTACATGTCTACTACACCGACTCGCCTACCCATGTACACACCAACTCATCCTCTAATTTATTACCCAACTATTCACTTGCCCAGCCACTCAACCCACTTACATGCCCATTTACCCATTTACACCTCCTGCCACTAACCTACCTACCTGTCTCCCCATTCGCACGCCTCTCCAACCCACTCACCTGCTTCCAAGCCCAGCAATGAGGGAATGTCGCTCGCTCTCAGGACCTCACTCGGCCACTCGTCTATGCAACGCCAGGCGGGGGCGGGGGCGGTGGCGGCGGTGGCGGAGGCGCAGACCCCCACCCACCCACCCCCTTCCCGCCCCAGAAGGGCAGAGCCCACCGCCCCTTGCCCAACGCTCGACAGCAAAAAAAAACCCACAACAGCAGCGTTCCGTACGACCTAAACATGTCTTGTCTTATGCCGTCTGTTAATTCCTTACAATTTACATGGTGCAGGGAGGGAGAAATGTATTTGGCGATGGCAGTGGCCAGTTGCATAAAACACCTTCAGTGACATTGTATATCACTCGTTTTGCATTGTTGTAGCACACTGGTTAAAGTATATACAAGCCAAAACTCTTGTTCTGTCCACATAAATAAAATGTTCTTGTCCATCGGCCCATCGGCTTTGCAGACCAATACTCTCCGAGCAACATTTGAAGCAACAATCTCTGGTCCCGTTTCGACATGGGTCTCGTCAGCAGTCAGGCTGGCTAATGTTCACCTTGTTTCTGTTTAATTGGTGCAAGTTAAGGGTGAAAAAGGGTATTTTATGCAACCGCCCACACGCGACACCCAGGCTGTTACGGTTGGCTGAGGCAAAAGAGATAGTGGTTTTAAGTCGGGAGAGAGTTTCCCTGTGGCCAAAATGCCACAGGGTAACGCTTAGCCCATTTGAAACTATAGCTGGTGAAAAGGTGGTGGTGGGTGTTTGGGGGCTGATGAGTCACAATGTATTACTAATTACATGTGACCATAACAATGGAGCCTTTAATGCGATAGAAAATAAATATTGCCATTTGCGTGATCAGAAGTTGTTCCACGTGTAATGCCCCATTTTGTGTTTTTTAATTGGTACACCGGGAGTGCCAGGTTTTTCTGATGGTATTTTATTCTAGTTGCGCAACATGGTTTGACCGATCGTTTGCACATCTGCAACATAGTCATAGGGCTCCATTAACTTATCGGCGATATATTTATTCTCCGTTTTTTTGCAACAACATACTCATGCATGGAAATGGTGTAAATGTATTAAGGTGGTGGTTGGGGTAAGATGTCAATCTGGCTCCGTGTCTTTTCCTCAAACAAGACCAAGGCTCCGATCATTTCAATTAAAGGCCCTGAGCCAGTGATCACAATTTCACAATCATGTGCCAGGCTTCGGTCAACAGAACAAATCGCTGCTGGCCTCCCGCAAGTGGTATTTAATTTAGCTCTCAGCCTCTCATTGCGTTGAATACTTTCCCCACAGCCCTATCCACCTCGGGCGTGAAACGGCCTCCCCTCTGGTTTTATTTGCAATGTAATATGGGGACAATTGTTTTATTCGCGCCATTACAGCAAGGCTCTCACGAAGGTGCTACGTTTCACAGATGGATGTAGTCTGCTAGTAGAGGGCAATGTTGCTACGTGATTTCAACCAATTTAAGTAATTGGCGCATGTGTATGGCTCCAGTTTCCATTCATGTGGCAATGAGGCTCCATCAGCCCCCACCCTATCCCTCCAACCTGTATTTCCGACCTCATTGCACTGTTCGTATGCGGCCACGGAACGGGGGGACGTTTTGAGGTAACACAAAACCCAAAGGACAAGCAGCTCTTTCAAGGTACCCACTAGGGATGTTCTCAAATTTCGGATTAATCTGAAAAGTCCAAACAAATCTGTCTCCGGTACGAAATTTCGGATCATCAGAAATTTGACGTTACAAAATGTGACATCACTAAAGTCCCACCGCAGGAAGTAATGTCACGAAAGGAACTTTTTGTGGCATTGGGCAATGCCACTATTGTCGGCGCTAAAAGACGTACACGTTTTACATAAATGTAAATAATACAAAACGCAAAAGCGATCCGAATTTTTCCTTAAATTCAAAACCTTAAATATTTTCATTCGGAACTCATCCCTATTACACACCGAGGCTGTGTGTCCCATACTGTCTGGCACAAGTTTGAAGCTTCCTAATTAAATACACATTTAAAATCACGATCTGGACACGCTGTCAGAGCAGTGTGGTGACGTTGCTGCATTGACGTTGCTTAAAGCGCTCCAAATAATGCAATTGACTATCAAGTATTTTTCTGGGTAACGAAGCTTCAAACTTATGTTAGCCTGGCACACGCAGACTTGGCAATTTATTTAAAAGATGAGCGCTGTTCTTTGGCTTCCTTGAACGATGGAGTCATGACGAGATGCGCGTCGGGGCAGGCGGTGCTATAATGAGAAAGTGGTGCTATGATGGCGAACGATGCACTGGTGATGCCACATTAGGGGGTGAGCTTTGGCCATAAGTATATTTCATTGTCCTCGTGCCCAGCTTTATCTTAAACCCTGGCCAACACTCTTGCCCAAGGCTGCATGTGTATGTGACGTGAACGCTACTAACTCTTACCCCAATACGAGCATTAGTCATCTATTTGTCCTAATTAGCTTCTTGACTGCTCACTTTATTTCTAGCATAAACTATATCGCAGCTCATACCCAAAAATCCCAACCCTATCCCCTAATTGTATCATCCTTATTGATAACCGCAAGTCATTACCCTAGAAACTCCAGCACATCTTAATCCATCAACTATCGCAAACACTAAACCACATCGCATGTCCACCGGTGAGTCTATGCCCTGTGTGAATGTAGTTTGTGGGTGTAGACCAGATAGTTTGCTTGTTGGTACCATCCGAATTGGCAAAACTTTAGTGCTATATTTACTTAATTACGTGATATTTTTATATAAATTAGAAGCTAGACCATAATTCAGACTTTTGAAAAGTTGAACTTGACAGTCAAAAATGCAATCGCACATTGCCAGATATATAACATGGACATTGTTGAAAGAAACGGAGCAAAAACTTCGAAGTGCGCAAGATGCCTCGGGAGATGCACGCTTGGAATTGGTGATAAACACGAGTAGCACATGGATTAGGGGCACAGATGTGAATCCGAGACACGGTGGCCGTTGAGACGAGTGGGCCTGGACAGAGCACGTCGCTAGTAGTGATGATGGCCGGTGGTGTGGTCGTGGACTTTTATCTCCCCAGGTGTGACCATTTTGAGACGGCCGAGGTCAATAGCTGGCGACAGGAGAGAAACGGCAGGCCGAACACATGACAGATCATACATATGACAGATCAATATGAAGGGATTAATAAAGGTAAATAACGTCTTAAGGCTTAAAGACTGGTGGAATCCGATGAGCTATGAAGTTCTTTTTTCGCAGAAGTCATGAAAAAAACAAGTGCAAATTAACTCATTAGGCAGAAACATATTGGAAACCGTTTCATTCAAACTTTCATTCATTATCGACGATCGTTTAATCGAGATTAGCCATATACTGCATAAGCAGGACCACGTTGGTCCATGTCAATATACATTATTGTGGATCAATGAGCATTCTGTAAGCTCGGCAATGGATTAATTTTGTTTCACCCTACGTTGCAAGGGGTTAAACGCACTAAACTTCATGGCAGATCTCTTGATAGCTTTGAAAAAAAATGGACACATTTAGGTATCCCTGTCGGAAGGTATCTAGATTTAAAGTCTAGGTCACAATTATTGTTACATTGATCTATGTTTATATTGCAAGGCCAGAAAGAATGGAAGACAGGATTTCATGTGATCTGAGCTGTTATAAACAGATGTATAGATGACACAGCATCTATTATGGGCAATGAAGGTGGGTGTCAAGTTAGTAGTGAGTTCGTGAAGTAAGACATTTCCGAACAAGTAACCGACTCGATATGTAACTTCTTTGTTAGGATTTGTACGTGTGCTGAATGTCAGGTGTGAGTTCAGCCAGATGGCCCGAGATATTTCGCAGGATTTTCCATTGTAGAACCGCAAAGCGTTTTTTAAGATATTGTGACAAACGTTGGGGATCTAATGGAACATGTGGCTAAGAAAAGATAAGCGTTTGGTTTTGTGTTAAGCAGAAGTTTTGAGGAGATAAGGTCCCTTTGGCGTCTGTTAGAATCCAGTCAAAACTACTGGACATCTGTTAAAAAAGAGCTTTATAGCTCATCGGATTCCTCCAGTATAAATACATAATTAATTTCATCTCCCAATGAGACAGGCATGTGTAACATCGTTGTCAGCGTAGAAGTGCAGTATGGAGAACATCTTGAGCCAGAATTTGTATTTAAATAGAGAACAGGAGCAGGCTCAGTATTAATCCTCGAGAAACTCTTGGAGATTGACTTTTTGAATATAAAATGTTGCTGTCTTCTCGAGGTAGTTTCAAAGCCAGCCAAGGGCCTTTTCAACGACTTAATAGTCCGTCATTATTTAATTCTTTTGTTACAAAATGTGATGATCAAGTTTATTTTGTTTAACTAGGTGAGAACTCAAACAGACCAGGATAGAGACTTGAGTTGCAACGGTGACCTGGTTCACCAAAATTATCGGACGAATGAATGCTCTTGAAAAGTTGAAGATAGCCAATCATTATTTTATCTATAAAGCAATATGAATCATTAGATAATATAGTAATTATTTGGTTATGTGGAGAGCGGATATGTGAAGGGAACTTAATCCTATTGTGTTATATTCTTAATGACGATCATGATTATTTTTTATAATTTAGTGTTCTTCGGGTACTATGTCCTGGTCTGCAGCCTGACTACTTTGAGTTACATTTGAGTCCTGTCTCTAAATGTGAAATGACTAAATTGACAAAATATCCAAAACTTTTGACAGTTGCTTGGAATGCAAAAAAGCATGTAGTCATTTCAAATAATTAGACACTGAGTTGGATAAAACTGGCAGTGAAAGAGATTGTGCAGAGGTTTGAAAGAATCCCATTGGGTGCCGTTCAGGAGAGGATTAGCCACCACGGAGATGGAGCGATGACTTCGGTTCATGAGTGACATTTAATCGTGGCACAAAGCTCATACGTGCCGTAATGCAACGGTCAGCGTGTAGGGAGGGCTTCTCCCAGCAGTGGATAGACTGGCTCTTCATGACGACAGTTTTTCAACTTCAGATGGTACCAATATCAGCTCTGGCTACTGGACTTCATTTGGCGATATTTGTGATGCATTTGTCCCCTGTTTTATCATTGTCTTGGGATGATTACTCCATCCTATCACGGCGCCTGGACCTGTACCTCTTTCCCCATAGCTCATGCACAGCTCCATTGACGTGTGACGAGTGCGATGGACACTGTGTGTGCGTTTTGTACTATTAATTCCTGGATTTATTTTAATTGATCACGTGGGCTCTAATGGACCCCGCCACCTATCCAGAATTAGTTCTGGAAATAGTGTCTTCAAAATGCAGTGTCCAGGTATTACACCATCTGTAGCAATGTTGATTATGCAGATGATAATTATTGTTTAAATTAAATTGATTGCACGGTCGGGTGAGTGTGTGGCAAGTTAATCAATTGCGATGTTTGTTTAATTGTAATAGATAACGATCCAACAAAACGAATCTCAATGCAATGCAAAAGGTTTTTGGTTTTACAAACTGCATTTATGCTTAAGCCTCTGCCGCAACTTTTGCAATGTTTTTTTATCGAGTCGCTGAATTTGTTTTGTGAACCTTATCATTTACAAAGAGAATCGATCACTGCAGTCTTTTGTAACGGAACAGCTGCCGCCTGTAATCGACATAGGCGTGGGCGATTCCACGTGCTAGCGGGGGACGTGGGATTCGTCCGCACGGCGGATATCGCCCCCAGCGTCTCACGGTATAGAGAGGGCTCATCAATGCAAACATTCATATCCACTTTTGTACGACATTGACGCAACAGTGTTTCACACAAAAGCCATAAGCGCACTCCTTTCCCTCGCGTGCGCGATGGAAGGGCGCCGTAAGGAGGTCTGAAACGGCACACTTTCTCAGTTTTGCCAAGACTCCGTTGGGCTACGTTCACTTTCTTTAAGATCCGTTGAAGCGACCCCCCCCCCCCCGTTAACCTGTCTAGAGTTATATTGAAGTCATTGCCATCGCTGATCTCAGTGTTGGGAACAACCATTCACTTGCATAGATCTCTAAAGGCCACCTCCGTTCAATATAGTGATGGCCTTTAACTTTCATTGAGGTGGGGTACGAAGGCGATGTCCGTTCACTGTCCTCAACATTGGTTACTCAGCCACTCGCTGGAATAGATATTTAAAATTACATTAATTCACTCTTTTTAGATATTACAAAGGTGACCTCAACCAACTCTGTAAATAGAACTCAGTATTTTTGCAATATTTCCAACCGTTAACTTATGGATATAATTACAATATGGTTATATTTAGGGTCTAAATGCAAAAAATATTGATGCTTTACAGCAACTATTGAAACTATTATACTTCAACATTGTAAAATCGCGGGAGATGGGTTTCTCCCTGCTACACCAACGGCAAATTCACGGCATAGTAACAACAATACTAAATAACAATCGGAATAGTACAACAATACTAAACGATCGTGAACACGCGGACACGCAAGTCGAACACGATCGCAGAGGTCGCTTAAACGGGTCTCTTAAATTATCGTCGGCGAGTCGCCCACAATGCTCGGCTCGCTTGCGAGCGATGCTGTAAGCCACTCGACAGCGTATTCAAGCGGACTCCGGGGAGAGCGCTCTTCCAGTCGAGGAGGCTACGTGGAGCCGCCGTGCGTACGAACGTCGTCGGTGTCGCGATTACGTTGAGGCCCTACGTCGTCGTCTCTTTTCGGTTTTAACGTTTTTCCTTCGACCCCCCAATCCAAACAGGGCCGTCCTATAAAACGGCCGCGCGAAGGTGCTAACCGGCTGCGGTGGTTTTGTTTCGTTTTCGTGACTGCGCGTCGTCCTGGCAGGAGGAGGAGGAGGGGATGACATGAGAAGATGATGTATTGGGGTCGAGCGTGGTCGGTTGTATATTTTTTTGGCCCACCGTCTCGGCGTTCACCGAGGCTCTCCCGGTTGGCTGCGTGACGCCGCCGAGACGGCGTGCAGACACCCTGCACCCCCCTCTCCCACTGCGTCCTTGTCCGTCCATCCGTCGTGTTTAGGGGGTTTCGTTGATTGAACGTCTTCTGTGACCTGATGGGTGATGGGGGGGGGGGGTTATTATTATTATTGTTGGTATTGTTATTTTTCCATGTTTGTGGGGGTCTTGATTTAGAGTGTAAACTAGAAGGACTTGAAGTTTCTTAACGATAATTTTAAGAATGTTGTGTGTTGTACAGCTTTCTGTCGATGGAGTGTTTTTGACAGTTGGATAGTGGCAGCTTTAAGAATTTCTTTTGTGGAAAATTTGAATTTTAAATAAATTGGTGGGTGAATGAGTTTATTTCTCGTTTTATTAAATTATCAGCATTAACTGACATGGACTATCCCATTTTGCTAATGGTTTTGCATCACATTGGCATCACAAGACAAAAGATCCCCCGTATAGCCTTCACAGACTTGGGACAAGTGCTGTGAGCCTGCACCTATGGAGATTGGCACGGCACACGAGGGAGTGGTGTGGCCAGCACCTTGCCTGGCCGCCTTTGTCTCACACCACACCAGATTTAAGGGTTAGTCGACCTGGCACATACAAAGGACAAGTCTATATGACTTTCTTATAGGCTTAATATTTTACTTGTAGGAACCTCCTGGTTACACCAGCCCACAGGGGATTATTGTGTCCGTCCGTCGTGCATGCAAAAATGGGAGGGGTGGGGCTGGGTGGGGAGGGGAGGGTGGGGAGAGGCTGGGTGGGGAGGGGCTGCTCACCCCGTGGTGCCCTTATAAAACTAAACGTTTAACCTACTCACGCCGGCTTGTGGCCGCCCTCACAGTCGGGCATATTAGCGGAATACGCCACGCCGCCGTTGACCCTGGCCATTGACCGAGCAATCCAACGTTCCTCCCAGCTCCCTCCGCAGGAATGTGTTCCATTGGAAATTGCACAATATTTTTACTGGTCTCATGCTCAGAGCACTAATGCAACATGTTTGAGCTCCTCCGTGTTTGTGAAACGCACAGCGTTGTGTGATACCGTTGCATAAATGGCGTAATGTTAACACGAAACATTATTTGCGCTTATCAGTTGGTGTCGGCCACGGAAAAGTGACGCGACATATAACCCGAACGAACTGGCAGGATGTGTTCTGTAAAGTAGTGTGACTTGGCTAAAGTTGGGCGCACACTACATTGTCTTTCTAATCTTGTCGGCAACAGCTGCCAGCAGTGGGTTTTTGTTGTTTTACAAACTCACCCCAACTTAAAACAGTCGCAAGGACATCACGGCACGAACCAAACCTATTTGATTACAAACCAGCGGGCGAACGACCTCCCCGGCAGCCGCCCCCCATCGTCACGCGACACGGGGAACGCAACTTCACAACCACCGCATGGGGCCCCATGTGGATTACATCACTTTGTTTTATAATGCGGTACGGTTTTTAGTATTGTGTATTACAGCTACGGTAATCGTCAGTGTGTATAATAAAGATATTTTTTGGGGGGGGGGGAGAGGGGGTTAGGTCACATAAATGTAAATGTGTCGTAAACCCACCACTAACAACATCGGTGTGAATTTTGATTTAAAGCTTTCGTGACTGCAGTAATTCATATTCTTAGTTCTTTCGGTAAAGTCACGTTGAAGGGAAACAACAAAATAATAAAATATATATAAAACAAAAATTCTCACGACGTTTCGACCATAACACAAACGGTCGTCTTCAGGTGTGTTGGTTTTCAAATACATCGTTTAAAATACATTTATGCAAACCAACACACCTGAAGACGACCGTTTGTGTTATGGTCGAAACGTCGTGAGAATTTTTATTGTTTTATATATATTTTATTATTTTGTTGTTTCCCTTCAACGTGACTTTACCGAAAGAACTAAGATTATAACATCGGTGTGCTGAAGTAGTAACTAATTGGCACTTTTATTTTTCTTTATGTGACAAACCTTACTGATTGGTTGTGTCGGTTGTTGGTGAGTGAACGACACATTTATATTTACGCCATCTAACCAAAAACACCTTTATTATGGATAATATTGGTCGCGAAAGCCTACGTGTTAATATTCAGTAACTGTTACAGCGTCATTTTTGACTTGGATGTCGAACCTCACACAAGTATAAAACAAGCCAAAAGTACCAACGTAAAGAAAGAAAACGTACAGCGCTTGCGCGGTAGTAAGCACACCAGGCGAACTGAGTTTGAGTCCAGGTTACGGTTAACATGGCTACATGTGGTCAATGGTCTCTCTGGAGACCGTGGATTGCTCAAAGCTCTCCGAGACCTCCCTGATCCTGTTGACACCACAGACCACTCCACTTGAGTGCCTCCATAGTCATGCAGGCGCATATATCGTACATCTCTCCTGGTTCCACTCAGTCCTCTAAAAATCCGTTGCCTCTATACGGTACTTAGAATAATAATAAGTTACATTTGTGAAGGTAATATCATCCCTAGATCCCAATGCACGCCGTGTATGGAAAGCAGGAAATAAACATAACCAGGGGAAATTGCAGAACTAGGGAGTGAAGCCAATTTTAAAGAGGTGAGTTTTCAAGACCGATTTAAATACCTCTCACGACTCTAATGTTCCATAGTCCGGGCCACGATCGACAGGGCCCACAACCGGTATGGTAGGGAAGGCGAACGGTGGGGTCGGTGAAGTGGTTATTTATTCCTTGGGTATGTGTATGTATGTTGAACATCTTTTACACCGTACGTAGCCAACCGAGCTAATCGGAGGTGCGGGGGAAGGACAACAAACTAAACACAAAAATCCGTTCTAAAGAAATTAGTTAATAGCTCCAGTGGCTTCCTAGTATCGGATGGAAGAGCGTTCCAGACGGCTGCAGAAGCGCATCTGAAAGCGCGCGATGCAGTGGCCGTCTTTGTTCGATGGTCAGTCAAAAGCCGCTGCTGCGAGGATGACGGAAGTTCGTGTGATGTTTGATGATGAGATCCGGCTCAACGTCGACCATTGACTCCATGAACCCAACCTCACTATCCGCTCTCATATCCTGCCTTGACGCGTGCTCATCTTGGATTGGTCCTCATTTTATCCAGCACCAAAAATATGAGTGCAATAAAGTACTCCTCGTCGGCAAAAGAAGTCTGCACTGTGAACAACTCGAGTTGCAGTGCGCAACCTTCTACATTCTAATATCGTGCTGGCAAAGAGTGAGGGAAACCCTGCAGTTGTCATGGATCCAGAGCTCTCATCTTCCCACGTCTCTCAACTGTACAGGACCTCACACCGCCAATCTGTGCATCCACCGTGTCCTCCTCACCCCAGCTACCGCTGAGACTCTGCAGGCATTCATCATCATGCCAACTCAACTTCACATAGTCACTTTAAGACACATAGCCACTTTAAGATGTTTTTTCTTGTTCGTGTTTTTGTTTGTTGTGGTTGCACCCGATTCAAGAGCCGAATGGCTCACAGGGCTATACAAAAATAAATAAACTGAAAACTGAAAACTCGCGCAACAACAATCTCCTCCGTGGCCCCTCCGCGTCGCCTCACCTCCCCGCATTCAACATCACAAATACTCCAGGTGATCAAAAATGCCGCTGCCAGAGTTCCCGTTCGCACCTCTGAACAAGACCACGTGGCCCCAATTCTCCGATCTCTCCACCGGCTCCCGATGCACGTGGTTCGGCATCACCATCGGCCAGATCATCCCTGATTGACCTCATCCAAAACGGGCGGTACATGTGGCTGTTCGTTTCATTATTACATTATAGTAATAAGTGCATTTAATTTATTATCGCAATATACCACTTATATAACATGATTCATTCGTAACGGATGATTAATGAATTGATGTATGAATATCATGAACGAGTCTTTTGCCCGCCCAAGGACGGGTGTATTGCAGTAAATCTGAAACTTGCAAGCGAAGAGCAGACCGCGACGTGATATTCATTGCATTAATTGGTGTGCAATTTGTAAGGGTGCGGTGACACAGACATTTATTTTAAGGTTATAATCCCTTGTTCATCATGACGTACTTTTTACTTCGATGTCTCAACAGCGTTACGGAGATCACGTGACGTGAGGGTTCTGCCTTTGTAGTGAGGGTTGTGAGTTGACGCCGAGGAGGGGGGAGGAGGCACCTCGCCCCCCCCCCCATGTGGAGTGACGTCACCCGCTAATTATTAATGGCAGGGGGGAAGGCTGTTCGATGCGGAGTGACGTCACCTTCTCATGATTATTAATGAGGGGGGTTTCTTCATGCGGAGTGACGTCACCCGCTCATCATTATTAATGAGGGAGGCTGTTCGATGTGGAGTGACGTCACTTGCTCATGATTATTAGTGAGGGGAATACTCCATATTGAATGACGTCACCCGCTCATGATTATGAATGAGGGGTGGAGGGGTGCCCATTTGAGGACGTCACTTGCTCATGAATATTAATGAGGGGGGCTGGTCGTGGTGGAGTGACGTCACGAGCGTTAAGGACATCCCTGGGTGATTACAGGAGGTATGAGTCAGAGTGAACACTATTTAATAGGGGTCATGCCAGGGCAGAGGGTAAAAACCCTTGAGATTATTCAGAAATCTGGAGGGTTTTTATTTTACCCTCCAGACTGACATGGCCCGCTTTCATTTGCTCGTGTCAGAAAAGCAGCATTCATAATTGAACCATCACTGCCCCGGGGGTGGGAAAAACCGCGTAGCGACACGAGTCTTGCCTTACCGACAACAAAACTAGTGGGTCAATCGATTGGCCTCGTCGAGAGCTACTCGGGGCACTAAGTTTCGTAAAAAGTAGAAAAATTACACAAACACGTTAAATTCACTGCGGGGGCAGGCGGGCTCGCCTTGGCAAAGAAGCTGAGGATCGACGGCTGACCGGAGGGCGTCGTCGCCGCTCGCGACTGCGGCAGACGCCCCCCCGGGGCTCGCGTTTGGCCGGTGGGGTGGCGCCCATCGTGTCGATCGCCGCCTGCTGCTGCTGCCGGCGCTTGTTGGCACGGCGAGTCTGGGCGGGCGGCGCGTTGCTGTCGGGGTCACGAGCGGGGCGGACTGAAAAAAAATAATTATTATTGACTCGATTGTTGCGGGACCCCAGGGTCCCGCCAAATGATTCAATTGACGAACCGTCCCAACTCTAATTAACACTTTAATAATAATTGACTGAATATTCACATTCGTATACGGTAATTAGTACATCTGTAATTATTTTTCCTTTGTGATCCATGTCACGTGATTGGTAATGTGATACTGTCTGACAATAATTTTTTTGTAGTTTTAACACCCAACAATAGTTTCTTTTGGCTGAATTATATGTTTTCCTTTTCTAATTTTTGGTGCAAAATTAGACCCCTATCCCGCTCTCTTAGGGGCAAAGACAAAGATCCCCCGTATAGCCTGAACAGATTGTTGGGGCAAGCGCTGGAAGCGGGCACCTGTGAAGGCCGACACGAGGGGGATGATCTCTTTGGGCCTCCCACCTGATCACACTCACAAACCAATCTCGCACTTTAAATGGTGGGAGTGCCGGTCCCTTCTTCTAAGAAAGTCAAACTCAGTTTTACTGGTAGGAACCTCCTGGTTACACGAGCCCACAGGGGATTATTGTGTCGGTCCGTCCGTCGTGCATCCAAAAATGGGAGGGGTGGGGCTGGGTGGGGAGGGTGGGGCTGGGTGGGGAGGGTGGGGCTGGGTGGGGAGGGTAGGGCTGGGTGGGGAGGGTAGGGTGGGGAGGGGCTGGGTGGGGAGGGTGGGGCTGGGTGGGGGGTGGGAGGGATGGGGCTGGGTGGGGAGGGGAGGGGCTGGTCACCCCGTGGTGCCCTTATAAAACTCAACGTTTAACCTACTCACGCCGGCTTGTGCCCGCCCTCACAGTCGGGAATATTTGCGGAATACACCATGCCGCCGTTGACCCTGACCATTGACCGAGCAACCCAACGTTCCTACCAGCTCCCTCCGCAGGAATGTGTTATACATAGCGCCATTCGACACAAGACCCACACAGGGCTTTACAACATATACCCAGTGGGAAAAAAACCCCTCAAAACCCTTAACATTAAAACTAAGAGGGAAAAAAACAACGATACACAGAAGGATAGGCAAGAGAAAGTAAATGAGTTTTCAGTTACGAACAGTGCCGGATTATCCTAGTAGCAAAAGTAGCATATGCTACGGACCCCGCGCTAGATGCTTTCTGGCTATCAATTCCTGTTCAGTGATTCTGCACTTGCTCTATTACTATAGTACTATACCGCCTTCAACTTTCATGAACGACTGGGCATTTGAGGTTAGCGATTTGTCGTATTATCTGGCTGTATAGCAAATGAAATAATACAATTACTTTACTATGCACATTAAAAATGTTATATTTATGTTTTTTTTATTTAGGGCCCCTTTATAACATATGCTACAGGCCCCGCACTAGCTTAATCCGGCACTGGGTACGAACCCTAAAAACCTCGATCGATCTGACGGAGTCATCTCTAATGGACCGGGACAAGGCGCCTGATTTTCTGAAGGCTCTTATCAATCCATTTAACGCAGATTTGTCCTTCCGTCAGCAGTGGCGGCCAGCGAGCTTTTGCAGGGGCTGCGCGCTGTAACATGATGTAATCATGGGCGGAGTTTGGGGCGGGCGGGGAGGCAATAGGGCAATGCCCCCCCACCCCAGTAGTTTACAATTAAATAATAATAAATCAGATGCACCCGCGATTCCGAATGTGAGTGATAAAACGAACCCCCTCCCCAAATATAGACGTCAAACTCCGCCTCTGGATATAATGTGTTCGAGCATGGATCGAGCAGCGTTCAAGCATGGTTAAACATTTGTCGACGTCTGTTTAATAGAGCTTGGCATCGTTAACAAAAATATGTAACGACGAGTTGCCAGTATTCCTTAGATGGGGCAAAGCCACGCCCGATTTACTAATATAATGAGCCAAGAATGTCTGTGTGTAACGCGCGTGATATCACTCCACGTCGACCAGACCCCCTCATTAATAATCATGAACAAGTGGGGTCCTGCACATGGACCCCTCCCCCCGTCATTAATAACCATGAGCGGGTGGATTTTTACACTAACGCAGAAGAAGATCGAGCGAAAATAAAAATAAATTACGCTAATTCGCTTTAAATTTGACGTTTCTGTATTGTAGGTGAATCAAATAAATAATTCTACGCAGCAACAAAGTGAATTTGGTGCCTTTTTATTTCTTCAGCACTTGAAACAAAAGGTAAGTCTAATTTATGCTTCTAATTTATGATAAAGTAGACATATCTCCGTGCTCTTTCTGATATTGTATCTAAGTCAAATTTATTCCAACCCCAACGAGCGAAATCAGAAGAAAATACAGTATCAGAGCAGTGCGTTTGAACAAATTGAAGGTAAGTTAAATACACTGCTAAAGTGAAATGCAGTGAAGTGTTTGATGACATACTTTCGTGCAAGATTCACTGCCATTAAAATGTAGACAAGATACAATTATACTCTGGTAATTTTTTTCGTAAATATTACAGCTTCCGTCCTGGGATGGCCAAACAAGCTAGTATATATGATGGACTGAAATATATGTTAACACATTTTCTTGCTGTGGTTTTCACACCTGATGATGATTGCTTGTGTTGCAGTCGAAACGTCGTGAGAATTTTATTGTTTTATATTTTTATTTTATTGTTTCCCTTCTATGTGACTTTACCGAAAGAACCAAGTATATGAATCCCTGCAGTCACGAAAACTTTAAATAAAAAAATAATATAAACCATTCACATAATATTAATAAAACAACATATTATTAACCATCAACGTCATAAAACAATTATTATAATATACCACATTAACATAATATAAAACATTATCATAATATATCACATTAGCATAATATATTCTTCGTTCTGTCGCGGATTCATTACGTCGCCGTTCACAGCGAACTCGCCCCTCCCCCTTACCACCCTCCCCCCCACACAATCTCAAACCCTATTGGATGCTGAAGCATTGACAAGGGGTGGCCCCACCCAGCCACCCACCCACCACCCGGAGGTTTTTTTTTACCTCTGCCCTGGCATCACCGCCTCCGATCCGGGTACCCCGCGCGTGTTAACGCGGGGAAACATGGCGACCGCGCGCGTCCAGGCGAGTTGCGGCTCCTCCACCACCAACCACCACCAACCACCCCCCCTTCCCCCATGCTCGGGCGACTTACACATTGCTTTTATAGGAACCCCCCTCGAGAGAGAGAGTCAGGCCCCCCACTGGATAGTCGAGGAGGAGGGGGGGTGTCTCTGTCTCTCTCTCGCTGAGGGGTGGGGGGGACTCGTTTTGTCTCTCCGGGTCGGGGTCTCCCTCCTCCTCCTCCCCCCCCCACGGCCGACGCCATTTTTCGCGCGCGGCCCTCGCTCCGCTGCGCCGACGTTGGTTGCTTCCCAGGGTGTTTATTTCACGTCTCCTTTCGTTTGTGTGTGTGTGTGGGGAGGGTGCTTTTGCCGCCGCGGTTGGTTTCTTGTTGTTTGATTGAATGGTTTGTGTGGAACTGGAAGCGGCGTTAAGGTGCGAGGTAGTGGAGGGAGGGGGTGGTGGTGGTGGCGGCAGGCGGCGCAGTTGGCGATGTTTGAGACGGCCGTGGGGGTTGAGGCGGGGATCTTGAGGCGGCCTGGCGGGCGTGGGGAGGCGGTAGAGACAGCTAGGCTAGGCCGAGGCTTTCCGCACGTCCTCCTCCTCCCCCCTCCCACACGCCCGCTTCGTAAATCAACCCGGTTAGCATTCTCGTTCTTCTACGTTCCCTTTTTTTACAAATATATATTTTTTTTTAAAAAAAAGTGCACGGCATGGTCCTCCTCGGTGGTGTTGATGTTTTAAGGTTGATGTCTAGCAACCCTCGCGGCGTTACTGCCGCCGGCGTCTTTTGCCCGCTTGGCTGCTCGCTAAGCGAATCGCGCGGTTCGCTTTTTTGCCGCCACTGCTGCTGGTGGTAGTGGTGGTAGTAGTGGTGGTAGTGATGGTAGTAGTGGTGGTGGTGACCTCGGGAGTGACGCGACAAGAAGAGACGCCGAGCGGCGTTTCATTTCTTTTCGGAGATTTATCACAAGTAGTAGTTTAACGTTTATACTTGAGCGGCGGCGCCGGCGGCGGTGGTGGTGGTGGTGCGGGGGTTTGTTGCTCGTTTTATAATACAATTACGCGCGCTTAAGCGGTCACGTTTTTTTGTTGGTGTTAAAACTTTTTGTTTGTTTCGCTTGTGATGGTTTAAGCGCTGTCGAAGATGACGGGGCCTACTCGTATAACAACACCACCACCCGGATTCGCGTCGTTGCCGACCTCTCAGTGGTGGTGGTAGTGGTGGTGGTGGCGGCAGCAGCTTCGCTTCCCGCGTCTCCCATTTAATACGATGCCCAGGAGCTGCTTGGTTTAATTAACGAGTTAATTAGCCTCGCTGCCCTTCCTGCCACCGGAGGTGTTTCGGCGCGTTTTTACTCCGCTTCGAGCCGGTGACGAAGTTCGTTACGGACCCCAGGCCCGCCGCCGGCCTTACCCTCTAATCGAGTTTAGCTTCGTGTTGAGCTAATGTCATCATCGGTTAGTCCGACACGGTTATTAACCGTAGTTAGTACTGGTTAGTCTCGCGCTATATTTGCCATCGGAGATGTGTGGGGTTTTTTTTTTATTGTACGGCTATTCTTATTCGCCATTCGGTTAGCCCTTTGTTGAGATTGTGTTACGGTGATAGCACTAGGCCCAGCCGTCACCCCTACGTGCCATAAACCAGATCTATGAGCCTCGTGTTAAGTCGATGTTAGTGTCAGCCGGACCCAGGTATATAATAGCCCCACAGCACGCGCTCATTGTTGTGCTAATTTCCACATTTGAGGCGAAAGTTGCGGAATTGGTCTGACGTACGTGGGAAGCCTATTGTGCTAGGGTTTAGGACTAAGGCCTCGCCATAGCCCGAGTCAAATTGAGCTTCGTGCTGCGGTGATGTAATCGATCAGGTACGTCTATATTGGACTATTTTCATCATCTTCGTAGCATGTGTTTAGGCCACGATTCATCATTTGGTTTCGTGTTTTTACTGGGCTTGTGTTATGGTGTCAGGACCAGGCCCCAACCAAAGCCCCATACCATAAACCATTAACAACCTCGTGTTTGGCTGATATGGTTAGACCCAGGTAAACACATTCAGTTAGTTTCGTCTTGGGCTTGTTTAAGCTTCAATCCGTGACACTACATTGGTTTCATATTTGTGTTGTGCTCGTGTTATAGTGATGGTCATGCCCAGCCATAGCCCAAACTCCAAACACAGACGCGGGTAAAAACATTGTTAAGTTTAGCCTAGTGTCAGATGGTTGATATGGTCTTGGCTAAGCCTATACGTAGTCATACCAATACTGTACATTGGTTAGCTGTTTTGCTGTACTCTTGAGGGTGGGGTTTGATGAGGCCCAGCCATGATCATAAACTATGAAACCAATTTGAGCCTCGATTTGGGCTGATGTAAGTGGCAGATCCAGGCATAACCGTAGCTGTTTTATTTGTTTTCTTTCATCGTCATGCAAAAAAAACATTACATTGGTATACCCTTGTGTTGTGCTGATGTATGGGTTTTTCCCAGTCTTAGCCTCGCTTTTGATGTCACTATCAGTGGCAGGGTCAGGCATAACGCAAGCTCTGTTTAGCCGAGATTTGTGCTGTTTTAATAGTTTCTGGATACATCTGTGACTCACATTTTGGTTTAGGCACGTGTATTGCTGGTGATGGTGTTAGGCCCATTCGTGGCCTTGACCCAGTTTCGCCTTGTGTTGAGCTGATAAACATCGCCAATGTCAGACCAAGGCATGATTAGGCTAAACCAAATTTGGCCTAATGTGCTGTCATGGTCTCGGACTACATTTGTCTTACGTTGGTTTAGGCTTGTGTTGTGCTGTTAGGGTAAGACCTAGCTATAGTCCTTATGCAGTTTGGCCTTGTGTTTTGCTAATACAATTTAGTGGCAATTCCAGACATAACATGACTGTTGAGCCTTACTTTGTAAATATTCTTACAAGCTAGGGCTACATTTATGAATGTTATGTTGTTTTAGGTTTGTGTTCTGCTGGTGTTTGGGTTAGGAAGAGGCATAGGCCCACCTAAAGCCATATTACAGTTGAGCCTCATGTTTTGGCCGATGTCATGGTCTGGACTTGGGTTACAGCCATGAATCTGTCTTGGTTTAACCACGTGCTTGTCAGAATTAACATTGGTAGCTAGTTGTATGAGAAACACGTTATGTTTCGTTCAGGAGGAAACAAAGTAAGGTGTTTTATGCAATAACCACAATTGTATAGAAATAGCCATAACCCATTTTATTGTTTAACGGTCTTTGTATGGCCAGGGTTATCTCTCTGCTGTAAACGTAACCTTCTTTAGCCTTGTATTTTGATGAAATAAGCAAATTTGGCCTGTTAACCAAAAGTTAAAAGCTTGGCAGGATTAGAAGTACACATCGAGACTGCCTTTGCTAAATGCGTGTATTTGTAAACATGTATATCTGCTTGTGCAGCTGATTGAAGCCACGTGTACACCACACATACACTTTACATTTGCTTCTGGATGTTGCCCTACCTTGTGCTATTTTTAACGGCGAGAGCGTTGCTTGTTCGTTATCCTCACCTGGCGTCGTCCATGGTGGATCATTGGCTCAGTCTAATTATTGACACCAGCACTGCTGGATGAGATGTTTTCAAAATGGCATCAACATTCTTGACTGTGTGTGCCCTTGGTTTGATTGGGCCTGAAGCCAGCCACTGTTGACAGTAGTCACTCCCGCCCTCGTTAAAGTGTAAAAAAAATGTGTAAATGAAAGCGTTTGTGTCACGGTACGACGTGTTGATATTTTATCAATGGGTTTGTCGCCGTGCTGATGAAGTATTGTCTGTTTTTACATAATTTATAGTCCACGTGACGATGTTTAATTGTGCATGCTGAGCAAAGTGAGTCGGCTCCTGTTTTGCGTCGTGGCCCGAGTGATATGACATTTTAATTGAGAATACCCCCCACATTCGTCATTAACATCGCCTAACAATAGAAACATTCATAGGCTAATGTTTCAACTAAATGACCCGGTGAATGCACTGAAGAAGGGCCACTGCCGTAGAGTTGGCTTATTTATTTTCTTTTGTTGTTAGGCAGTTTTGTTCACGAAAAATGTTGAGTTCTTATTGGTGCTTGTGTACCACTTCCAAGGCAGCACCTTACGTCAATATATGTCACAAAGTACCACTCAGTGCGTTGGCTTGTATCGTGTGAAATGAAATCACTTCATGGAAAATGCTAAAGTAAGGTCCAATAACCTCTGTGACCCTCTTGGGTTGGACCTCATCCAACAGTAGATTGAAAGGGGAAGGACTGTACATGAACTGTCCGCATATTTTTAACACAAACTCTAAACTTACGCACCCATGTTTAACTAAGATATTAACAACTGCACATTTGCATTAAATGTAAAGTATTTGTTGAATCGAGCACTGCCATGAATGCCTGTGCACAAGACCGTGTCGGGTTCGCGAGAGTTAACAGCGTTTAAATGGTACATTTACCTGTGCTGATTGAGCTCAGCCCACTGGAGAGTCGTGGGTAATTTAAAATCCCATTATCTTAAACTCTGCTGTTTTTCTCTGTTTGCTTTGCAGAATTGTTAAAAAATCGTCCAAACTAACGAGAGAAAAGAGGAAGGAAAAATGAAGGTGGATCGGACCAAGCTGAAGAAGACGCCCACAGAAGCGGTGAGTCTGGCCCTACGCCGGCTTGTGGGCACCCGTGTGGTGCGACACTTGGTGACACCTGGGTGATGTGTTTGCGTTACCGGATACAGGGAGAGAGTGGGTGAGGTGTGTGACAACCAGATAAGTATATTAATTGATCCTTTGATTATGGCTTTGGGAATCTATTGTCAATTGAAAAAGTATCGGAATCCATCTTAGGAATGATGAAAGTGATTGGCACCGCGCGTGAACGTTCAAATCACACACTGCATTTGCGATTGATCCACGGCAGCCATCCTAAGGCATCAGCAGCCAGGGTGCTCGCCAGGCACCACGTTTATGATTGATTTTTCTGGTGCGATTATCAATAACGCAAAAAAACAGCAATTAACAACCCTAGTTAGATCGCAGTGCGGATAAATGAAGCGCTTAGCTACGGAGTTGTCGGGTCACTGCGGCAGTCTGTAGATAACATAATCGACAAACGGGCAGCAGGAAAAAATAATGAATGAAGCAGAGATGGGAATGAAGTTGGCGATTGAGAGAAATTATTTACCAAGGGGTTTCGTGTTGAAGTGGACACGTGACTGTCCATCGATTCAAATCGTTGCATTGAAATGTTTGCTTTAGAGTCGACTACAATTTATGCAGATTATATGCAAACCTTACACCTAGGCTAATCGAATGACAGAAACGACAATGCTGGCGCTGACTTTTGGTAGAGTTTGTTGAACCGTGATGGAGCGGGTGGTTAATTGTTGCGTAGTTAATGATATGTTTGTAACTAAAAGGGAAAGCAATCTCAGCCTTCTTTACGCTTCCACGGTGAATGTTTTTCCTATGGGCTACTCGTGGCATGTGGGAATGTCGACCCCACGCATTCTGCTGTGCTCTCTCACAATAACATAACACCCAGATGAAGCAAGTGGTCAGATTGTGTAATAGCGGCGTTAATCTTTTATACAGCAGAGAAGGACCATTTCCTGACATTTTTCCTGTTATATAATTTATTCCTATTGGGGCAGCATTGTTGACGAATGTGAGTTTGCGTTATTTTTCTGCTTGTGCACCCACTGCCAATGTAGTGTGGCAGATTTTTTTTTGCTCTGTAAAAGATTGTAAACAGAACAAGGTGCTCGTTTTCTCAATCGTACCTGGGTCGGTGTGTAACATATATTTACCTTAAACAGCTGTTGCGTTAATAGGGCTATGTCATGCATAGACACATCAGCAGTAAAGCAAACCTGAGAAATACATGCACTTGTGTTGTTGTGCCACGACCGTAAAAAATAATTCAGATTAAATTATTTGCGGCATGCCTTCTCAACTCCTGCTGCTTGTGTTTAATGTATTGTTCGTGCGGCGAGAGTGGCGTGTGTGGACCCACGGTCCGGACGTCCAGTAACATAGTAATGTGTATAGCGTAATGAAGGTCCTTGCATAAGTGCGCCTCTTCCTTTGATACAGTTTTGCAGTAGCGTTTTATAAGTTTACATTTTGTGGTAAATGAGTCGGAAAATCTAATTATATAATTGAGCCTTCTGATTGTATTCTGGCATCTCATGATTATTTTACCGTGTTAAGTTTTCCTTGCGTATTATTATTTTTGAGAGTTTTTACAGCAGTCTTCTTCGGAAATGTTTGTTTTAACGTGTGTAAAGTGGCCTTGAATTTTGTGGTATGAAAGGCGGCGCCCTGTTAATAAAGATTGTTATTATCGCGCGCCATGATCGGTCCACTGCTGTGCATCGCCATCTCTCGCAGACCCGCGATGCAACAATCCATTTAGCACCTAGCACAGCGAGCCGATTCAACAGCTCCATCTCACGTGGTCGTCCTCTCAGTCCGTTTTAGTTCTTTTGCTGCACCACCACTCTGAAGCCATAAGTGGTCTGTGCTGCCCCAAACCCTTATATATTTTTTGTTACTTTACAAGCATTTGGTTGACACTCTGCTCTTGCATCGATTCAAAAACTGCTGAATTGATTAACTTTATTAAAACCTCCCAGTTTTCTCAGGGCCCCACATTGTGGAGTGCAATCCCACTTCCATCAAATTACCTCTTTCTATATAGCCTATTGCGTATCTATTTTTTTCGGTGTCAGGCAGCGATGGTGATGAATGTGGTGAGGTTATTGATGAGGTTATTTCATTCGGCCTGTGCTCGCCACGTGCGGGCTGGTGTGGCATACTTGTGCTTGGCGCACCGGCTGTTAATATGGCGGTGCCGGCACGGTACGATAAATCCGCCATGCCGGCGATTCCTAGCTCTCTCTGTTTTCTCGCGACGGATCGCCGTGGCCGTTTAAGGGCCCATTTACATGGTAAACTATCGGTGAGAGCGCCACGCTGCATGGCGTGTTGCGCCCGCGCTGCATTGCCGGAACCTTTGGGGATATGCTACATAAACGTCCCGCTGTCTTGTGTTTTTTACCTACAGTTCGGCGAATGGCGTCTGATAGATATTGTACACCACTATGAGAAACTGTTTATTACTAACCTTCGCACGAGCAGTTTTAAAAACGCAATGGGCCACATGCTCTGTCGGATCGCAGGAACGAATAAACCAAAGTGTGCGCGCGACATGGTGTTTTGAGAGGTAGACAAATACCAGTAACTCGTGCTCAAGGTTTTATTTCTGAATGGTTTCCATCGTTTGCAGCACGGCTTTTGTATTTGCCTTTTAACGTGACCTGGGAAGGAATTACCTTGTCTCGATCACATTAAATACATTTGAATCCCCGTAACGGTTGAACTTGCCGTTGGCGGCCGCGTTATTTATTCCGATGTGTAAAATTTAAATGGCAATTTGTAGGCCAAGGGGGGAGAGATTGTCCAAGGCAATAAAATCTGACATTTCTTGCTACTGCGTCATAACAGCGAGGCGACCACTCGGGTTCCCCCCCCCCCTCGCAGAGAGCGTGTCATTTACCATAAACACAACTCTCTGTCAGCCAGCGTGCTCCTGTCACAAAACAGCAAAAGTACTAAGTGGGTTCCGAGCAATGTTGCCGCTTGTACGCTCGCACCTGCTATCGGCCACGTGTCGGAGTGGGTACCATCCTTCCTCGCGGGACTGACCCGCAGGAGTTTGATCGATCGAAGCCCGTTTGAAACGTTCGCCAGAGGTGCTGATGACGGTGCTAATCGATGGAAACGTTGGATTTGCTTGCGTCTGGCTCGTTTCGTAGCCAATGCAGAGGCACTTTTGCAATTTTGGTTCTCGTCACTTTGTTTTCTCAGGCCAACATTGCAAAAGAGACCTTCGGTGTCGCTAGCATCTCGACTGGTTAAAGTGAGCTGAAAGGAGTTGTTTATCGGCAAGAGTATGAGAGATATCAACATTATTTGAAGGAACTGTAGCCATCAAGTTTACAGTGAGGTTACCTTTCCTTCCAAGTCACATCACTCGCAAAAATGTAAATATCCAATTTTGAAGGACACTTGAGTCGAAGGTAAGTTGTGTTGCCATCCAATAGAAATATGGCCAAATTGATCACACGCTTGCCCAAAACACCATAGGTTCGCCCGAAGCAAAAACCAATGCTGAAAGGATATCTCTCGACATGCGAGAAATCCGTTCTGCCGTCGTAACGGGGAGCGATTTCTTAAGTGGCGGATGTCTCGATGGCAATGCCACGCCACTGCCACGGGACCAGCTGATGATGAATCTTGCCTAACGACGGTGCCATGTGCCCCCCCTCCCCCCCACAGCCGACAGACTGCCGGGCCCTCATTGAGAAGCTGAAGGCATGTGGAGACAAGCAGCTGCTGCAGGAGCTGCAGAAAATCAAGACATGGAACTTCGGAAAGGTACAGACACATTACTGTATTTGTTTTTTTCTATGCACCACCAAGAATATTCATACGCATTACTAGGGTTGCTGTGATATGGCTATACTGCTACATATCTTGCGCTATAAGATCCACATTAATTGTCATTGTGACATTTTAAATTGTCTAATATTGTTTAACACGTAGGCTTTTGCAACCAGTATTCATAATAAAGGGGTTTATTTTTGGGCTAGATCGCATAAATATAACTTTTCCGTTAACCCACCACCACCCAAGACAGCCAATTAGTAAGGTTTGTCTTGTAATCAAAACGTGCCAAGTAGTTACTACTTCAGCACACTCATGTGTTGGAGAATAAACCCACAACATTTACAAGTAGAATTCGGTTATATTGCACAAATCGTAGTAATTACATTTGCAATTCCTTACGGCCGTGGGAACCGTTGTGCTGAGACGGCTTTGGGATGGGCACTGTGTGCCTGCTACTTGCCACTCATCTTTGCCCAGGATTCACTTCTTCCGTGCACGCCGCACCATGGGCTTGTTATCCTCTAAATGTCGTGCGTGGAGTAGTTGAGACAATTGGAGGAAGGAGGTGACTGGTGATTGGGATGGAGGTCGTATGGCAGGGAGCTGGTGAGAGGGTGAAAATCATTGGTCAAGGGCAAAGGAGAAACGTTTAAAGTCTTGAGCCTGGAAGTCGCTAGTAATGTATGTTGAAATTCTTTCGCACCGTACGTAGCCAACCTTGTGAATCGGAGGTGCAGTGGAAAGTACAACAAACTAAACGCAAAAAGTATTTCTCGAGATATGCATATCTCCTGTGCCTTCCTGGGGCTCTGCTACAGAAGCTCATCTGAAAGCGCGCGATGGAGTGACCGTCTTTGTTCGATGGTTAGCCAAAAGACGCTGCGTGGATGACCACTGCAGGGTGGGAAATAGAACTGGTTGGAAGATTGCAGGACAGCAATGAATGTCGGTGTTTTGTTGGGGGGTTACAATGGTTACCTCCCACACTAAATGTATTTGTCCACATTTTTATCGAAGGATCCTTCTGATAAAGTCTCGAGACTGAGGCTTGTCTGTGAAATTATAGGGTAGTACTATTATTATTCTTGTTCTTCTTCCAAGACACGGTCGTGGCAGCATTGGAGAAAGAAGCGTTCTCCGTCGGCTTGGAAGAGGTTAACTGGGTGTTTCCGTGAGGTATTGGAAAGTAAACACGGAGGCATATCCAATAATTGATTCTGTATTGAGTTGAGAGGCAGCGGGAGGGATTTGAGGATTGGTGAGATGAGATCTTGTGTGACAGACTCGATTTGGTGCCTGCCCTCCTTCTAACCTCACCACAGAAAGGTCTTTTGTTGGAGCCAGATATTAAATTTAACTATATCCCTCCCCCCCCGGGTCTTCCCTAAGAAATCCACGGTTGTAAGAAATATTTTTGCGTTACCGAAAACAGTGGCTGCATTGTTTTGACTGCTGGCTGATGGACGTGAGGGCACCGTAGTCGGATGATATATGCTCAGTAAGATGTCATGTAATTCAGCTGCCTCTTTAAGGCCTCTCGAGGTCTCCCAAGAATTTCTGTTGCATGTTGCATCGGGATGTCTGACCATTTGTGGCCAGGTCGCTTCTAAAAAAGAAGCTAATAACTCATTGGGCTTTACCTGGTAAAGTTAACATAGATATGTTTTTGTTAGTGATGTGCTTACATTTCCTCCTATACTTTGTACTCCTATCATGTTTTCGTATTGTTTGTTGTGGTAACTTTCTAATCCGCCTCTTCTGTATAGCTCATCGGATTCCTGTAGTATAAATAAAGATTCTGAATCCCCTTTTCTAAGAAGTGTTTTTCACACGTGAGAGGAATCTGGTGTACCCAGAGAAACCCTCCACTCTTAGAGGGGTGATAACACTCAAAACTCTTCATCACAGATTGCTTTACAAACCCCAATAGCTGTAACCGCAATATATTGGGCACTTCACAGCCTGGCAAGTTTGGGAGTTTCACAAATCTCTCGGTAATCCGCCTCCCAGAGTGCAGGGTTACCAGGCGTGTACCACTTGGACGTATTTGAATTGCTGCACAGTGCACGCTTCCATCACAGCAGTTTGTAGATTTTGTTCAGCGGCGTCTGAAACCCACCAGCCCCCCGTCGATACAGAATCCTCATCCCTTTGTGATACACGAGCGTGCTTCAGAATCTTGGCCATTTCTGCCGAATCGAAAAAAAACCCCCACCACTTCACAACCCAATAAAACACTCGTTGATAATTACCATTGTTGTGATCCACAGCAACTGATGGTCGCATTGTAAAACTAATTTCACATTTCGTCATTGCTAGTAGCTCTTTTCTTATTTAATCATTAACTGTAAGATGAATATTTTATTTAGTGCGGTCATAATGTCCTTTCAGCACTGTTTACCCGTGCAATCGGGATGTAACTCGAGACATTGCAGTGTATTTTGAAAGTGATACCTGGTGCAGGTCCCCCCCCCCTGCCTGCCCCCCCCCCCCCCCACTACAACCCCTCTCCCTGTGTTATCGATCGCTCGCAGGACAAGATACCGTGCATTAAAAATGAATGGTACCAAAAAGCAGAACAGCAACGCTGGGCGAGATTTATTATTAAGTTAGGGATGATCGTGGCATGTGATTGCGACGCGCATCCGTGGGCGTCGTATGCACATGGGGTTTTTCCCTGCACTCTGCTTTTCTTGCTTCCATATTAATAATTAATATATAATGCTGATTTGGCCAAAGACTGTGAGATAAAATAGTATCGAAAATGATTCCGTCGAGTGTTTTCAGATGCATCCTCGAGAGCAAGGGGGTATGCAGTACAGGAAGTAGACTGCTGACGAGTGCTGCCCCCTCATATGTATGAGTGTTTTCCCCAGGCGCTCGTGAGTTTCTCCATTTCACAATATTCATGCCATTTGTCAAATCCTCTGAGTCTCAAGACTGTTTTTCAGGAGGGGGGGTCCTGCTTTGGATGATTGGCCATTGAGTAAAATTTTAACCAAGGAAAATGCAAAATAACTCAAGGAAGTCTTCGTGAAAAACTCTTTGCTAAGCGAGAGTTTTTCCCAGTCAATGGGCCAAACTAGATATCGAACTTGATGGTACCACCTACAGTGGATTGACAATCACTGATGATGACATTCATATAATCGTTGGCTTTGATAACCACTGAAAATGTTATCACATATTAATAAACTTTTAATGCCCGTAATTGAATTACTAACGGTCAAACCCTTGGCAAGTAAAGGTGGCACAAGCTCTTTGTGTGATTCATGGACTGAAGAGAATCGTCATATGATGGACACATTAATTAATTTCAAATAGATTGCTACTTTTGCTATACACGCGTCGAATCACGAGGAGAAAAATGGCATTTTAATTCAAAGCTTCTACATATTTTTTGCCACCAGTCTCATGAATACACGTGTTCAGTCTTTTAATAACTCCCACTACACTGCAGCCGTCACTTTCACAGTCGCTTTCACAGTATTAGGTCTAGGGAAAAGCTGCCATTAGGGGTCAACTAATACTAAAAACTGCACTTTTAAAAAAGTATTATTGTTATTATACGAATGTTGAGACGTTCACAAAAAACACGCACCCCGATTAAGGGGAAAATGAAACGGTCGAATTGAATCACCGCCCCTAAGGGGAAGACCATCGACTATTCGCGATGGGTTTGGGGGGGGGAGGGGGGGCGAATTGTCGCTGCGTTCCTAAAATACGGGCTTGAGCGTCGCCATGACGACGCTGTAACCGTGGTAATCGCAACCCTCGGGCGTTGTGCAGTGCGAGCTGTACCACTGGGTGGACCTCCTGGACCGCTTCGACGGGATCCTTGCGGAGGCGTGCGGCACGGTGGAGGCCACGTCGTGGCTGCTGGTGTGCGACCAGCCGGGTAACAAACAGCTGAAGGCGCTGCTGCTGTCCACGCTGAACTTCACCGCGCTGCTCATTGAGTACAGCTTCTCGCGCCACCTCTACAGCTCCATCGAGGTGAGTTTTGCAAAATTCCATTCGCGAAGGACGCAATGGTTGAAATGTTTGGCTTCTCTGACTCTCTTGTTTAAACCGCTGAGGTTTTAAGTGCAAATGTAATTTGACAACATAATTGCGTTTATTAAGTTGTTATTTTTTTAAATCTATAATTGTGGAGTGTTTTGATCCTGCCTGCCGAGTAGCCCTTGATAAAGCGCTTCTGAGCTTAAATGGGCTTTACTCATTGGGAAATATGCGTATGATTTCTAAAAAGACAGGGGCTTTGGGGAGTGGGGAGGGGCTGTGGGGAGGATAGATCGAGTGAGAGTGGGAGGGGTAAAATGCAGAAATAACGAGATGGAGCTGTGTGGTGATTGATCAGAGGGAGTGAGGCCACATAATGGAGAAGGTGGGGGTATGGGGACGAAAGGGGAAAGGGCTGTTTGTGGGATATAATTGAAGTGAGTGGGTCTAAAGATGTGGAAAATATTCAGGTGGGGGGTGAGAGGAGGAAGTTTGGAGGGAGATTTGAATTGAAGCCCGAGTGAAACCATCCTGGTGTTTGTATAATAAGTAAAAGGAACTGTGTTGGCACGGTTGGCTATGTGGTGCGAAAGAATTTCAAAATACAAATAACAACCTAACAATAACAAGAGATAAAAATCATGCATATCCATGAGTTGTTACGCTTTCGAACATGCGTATGTCCTCGGAAGTGTTTACATATTATTAAGGTTATCAGACACTCCGCAAAGTAAGATGCACTTAAAATGTGTGTACTGTGTCCTGATAAGGTTGCACGAATGTAGTCTTTCGCGCGCACACCTCCCGGATTAGAACACACCCACAACTCTGCCCGGGAGAGCATGCGTCGTCCGTCAGGGCCGGGACGCCGTAACGTTGACGGGCACCTTTTGAACTTGGCGGCGTTGACGACGATGACGATGTTCTTCTCAGCACCTGACGACGCTGCTGGCCTCATCGGATATGCAAGTGGTGTTGGCGGTGCTGAACCTGCTGTACGTGTTCAGCAAGCGGTCCAACTACATCACCCGCCTCGGGTCTGACAAGCGCACGCCACTGCTGGCGCGTCTGCAGCACCTAGCCGAGGTCTGATTATTATTTACGAAATATATTTCACCTGCGAATATCCCTTGAAATGGAAACATCTTGTATTTTTCGGGGTGGGGGGGGGTGTGTCAACTGTCTCGTACATAACAAGCACGGTAATGACGCCTGTTACGAACGTTTTGAATGTTTAACTTGTACAGTTTGCATCCATGTAATGCATGTCACATTGGGACGTACATTATTGAGCAGGGCACGCTGCCAGTTCGTGTAGAAAGCACTTGAGCTGTGATAGTTAAGAGATGTTTTACGAGTGTTTCGATTAAAAGATTTAAATGGATTGAGGTCAGCCTTGCGTTCCCCCCTCCCCGTCACGATCACACAACAACAGTTAGATTCATTTATTTTGTAGTTAACTCGTGGAGGCCTTTCTGCCCACAGTGGTGCGAGCAAGTAATTGCTCGGCTGTACCTTTTCCTGTTTTTTTGCCCCTTGATATTTTAACGCGAACATGGGACGAATGTTATCCCCTCGTATGTGTGGCTTTTTCTCAGGGCACTCTGATATCCACCTCATTTACCCCCCCCTCCCCCCCTTCATGTTTTTGCTTTCTTCGACATATGTTGAGGCAACCCATTCAGTCATGTAAAGACCAGGCAGGCACAAGTCGCCTTCGTCTGCGCACTGCCTGTGTCTGTTATTCCTCTAAAGTGGCATCGGTGCCTTTTACACTTTACGATACCATCGTCTCCTTTGCTTCACTTTAGATGCTTTTTGAACCGGAATCGTCTTGTATTGCATCGATGAAACAATCCCGCGGCTCAACGGGTTGTGACGTCGTTGCCGCTGCGTTTGTTGCCTTCACAGAGCTGGGGCGGCAAGGAGAATGGCTTTGGCTTGGCGGAATGCTGTCAGGACCTGCCCCTGTCTGTAAGTCTCGCCACGGCAAGGCCAACACCAACCGCCAGTCATGTGACTATTCACCCGCCGTCAATTCGATGATACACCCTCAGTTATTCGGGGTCACGATTTGATAAAGTAAAAGTCGCAGCCTCCTGTGGTTAAGGCGGTCAGTTGATCCCTTGACATGCGATTTATATTCACAGCCCTTTATCAGTCCACTGCTGGATGAGGGCCTCCTCGGTGAATTGTGATATGCCAAGCTAAGCACCGCTGCCAATTAAAAAAACTGCGTGTCAGTCATTAACACCTGTTACCATATTCTCTGGATTGGGAGACGTTTAGCTAAATAAGTAAGACGCACGCCCAACTTTTGCTTTAAAGTTCGGGGGAGGGGGGGGGATGTGCATTCTTCTAATGTGAGGTATCAACCTAAAGTATAAACAGAATCTTTCCCTTAGGTCATTCGATTATGATGAATACATATTCTGATTATTTCTCTTTTCAGAAATACCCTCCCAGTGCCACTACACTGCATTTTGAGTTCTACACCGAACTGGGACCCGAAGGAAAAACTGACAAGAAGGTAAATAATACAACAGGGGGGGTGGGGGTAAATAATCGACGACACAATATCAGGGTGGTTAATCGCTCAAAAGGAGACTGAACGGTGCCCCTAGAGCTGTGCCACTTTTAAATGATCTTGATAGAACAAACTCTTTTCTCTAGAGCAGCTTTTTTGTCCTTACCCCTGCACTGCCGATTTGCACGGTTGGCTACGTACTGTGCGAAATAAGTTGAACATACGTACATACGCAAACCCACGTGGTAATGTGGCCGAGTTCATTCACAGAACGGCCGCTGTTGATGACACGTTTTGACTGCTCCGTAGGAGTGATGTGCCAAGTCAACGCCTGACCTGGATTTAAACTCCGTATGCTTCTGATTACAAGTCAAAAGTTATTAACTGCAAAGCCACTCGGGCAGCTAAAAGATAAATAAGATGATGACTATGAAACCAGTTTAAAGTTTAAATCATATTTCGCAATGTAACTTCATTTTGATACAAATTATTTTAAAATATATTTTGTCCAAGGAAACTTTTTGTTCCTGGTCATGTATTTGATTCAGTATTTTGTTTGTGCACTAGTTTTCGTTTTTTTCTGTAACGGTGGTTTTTGAACTGATTTATATTTGCTTAATTATTTGTTTTTTATAGTATTGCTTTGTAATTTTGGTGACCCAAGTGCCTCTTGTAAAGAAGGCTCGTCCTTGTGTCTTGAGCTCTCACATGCTTTAGCATAGTAAACTTGACTTGAAGGTGACGGGCATGCATTTGGTGTTGGTTACTAAACAGTTAACGTGTATTTAACTTATTTTATTTTTAATTTTTTTCTGTTAGGGTTCTCCAAACAATACTCTGCACTACATTCACATCGAGCAGCTGGACAAGGTAATGGGGAGCTCTTCACAGCTGGTCTTTTTCATCTCGTTTGTGATAACAGGCTAGAAGTTCAGTCACTTGTGTTGATCTCTAGTGGCCCAGAATTTTTCAGGCCACCAGTTTGTGCGGTTGTGTTAGCTTAACAACTCTCCTGCCTGTGTGCGGTGGCGCATAGTGGTTAGCGCGCGCCATGCTACGAATTCGGCAATCCGAGTTAGATTTCCGCTTATGGATAACGTCGGTGGCGAGTGGTAGCGATACCCTGTATTCCTGGGCCCCTCCCCGAGGTAGATTCGGCTTCGTGCAACGTGCCAACGTCGGCGCGAAGGGGGGAACAAAAAAAATTCCCGACCGAGCAAATGACGCTTGCAACACATCATCCAACAGGCGCTCGCTTACATCGTTCACGCCAACAGTCAGCAAGTGCTGGTGGCGGGGGGGGGGAGAGGATACCTGTCGTTTTGTTTAAAATATCAACAATGATTGCTATTCTAGATTTGAAGCTTTCGTGACTGCAAGGATTCGTACAATTTAGTTTTCTTTTATTTTTTTCCTACGTGACTTTACCGAAAAAAACAAAGAGAATGATAGCTATATTATGCTCAAGGAATCTGCTGTTGTGAACTGTGGTCTGGCCTCATGCTGCAATATGTGACACTGTTTACTGCTGTTTGCTTTGGGTCGGGTTTTCTCTGTAGTTGTATTTATTGAGCATTTTGCCCCGTCTGTTTTTTTACAGATTTCAGAAATTCCTTCAGAAATCATGGAATCTTTGACCAAGATGCATGGCATACCAAAGGACAAGCAGGTATTACATTTTAGCTGTGAACGTTTGTATTGAGTGACTGTGAAATAACATCTGTTGGTGTTTTTCAGACTCGGGAAGTCTTTCCTGGGTAAAGAGATACATTTACAATCAATGTTTAACCAAAGGACGTTATCAGCTGTGGCTGTTGAAAGAGCTGCACTATACTGAACACTCCCCCCCCCCCCCTGCGGTGAATGGAATATCCCTGGACAGTTACAGCCTGCAGGTGCACTTCATAAAGGCCACCACACAGATGTGGGCATTGTCTACGGAGCAGCCCATTGTAATTTTTTTCTAAGGGTTCACCAAACATTGTTGTCGCCTGTTAGAGCCAGTGTTGAGCTGAGTGATGATGTTGCTTGTTGTGTTTTATTCTTCTGGTGCCTTGTAAAAGTTAAATGTGCAGCAGCCCTTACAATTGCTAGCTCAGAGCCACCACTTATTTTGTATGGCTGATGTCAATGCAGAGCAAAAGCTACACTTTCACATTCAGATGGTTCAGAGCCTGAATTAGAAGTCTAGAAACCCCTATTGAGGGTATTTGGCCTACTCTTCTACGCTGGCCTCGTGTAAAGGTTTTTTTATAAGCAAACAATGACGTAATTGCGCATGCGGGAATGAAACATGGGTACATGTCGACAAAACAGTTGTCGGCTTTTGGACCGTGGTGAGGATGATTGCATGAAGTACGGTGCTTTTAGTGGTGTCGTTTTAATAATCTCCGTGGCGACAACTGGTCAAACTTGTTTAGACAGTCGAGCCTTGGCCGCTTGCCTTCAGGGTGGATAGATCAAACATAAGTCCTAACGTGGCGATTTGGCTGCATTGCATAAATGCGAGCGAGTGTACGGGCAATCCATGCCATGGTGACGGCGCTCGAAGGGATGACCACTTGTTGACTTCCCACAAAGTGGTATTCACTTTATCAACCCAGCAGGGATGATGGGCTGAGTGTACTGTCAACCTTTTGATTACAAATTGTGATGTGATGACAGTGCCACGTACGATATAGGATGACCAGTTTTGACTTACCACCAAGTATTACTTATTTTATCGTCCTCATGAGGATGATTGGCTGAGTTAACCGTCAAGCATTCCATTGCAATTTCTGCTGGAGCTTCAATGAGTAGCTTCCCAGAAAATGAATAAATTGTCACCAGATCACATTGTGTTTATCATCTCAATAGTTTTAATATTTTGTGTACAGTTTTGATTTACCCCATACATAGCCTAAATGCAACATTGCAATTTTACTTCCAAAAGTACGGTGGATCGGGTAGGTGGCAGGTGGGCTTGGGGGCGTTATCCATTGCACAAGTTATTATAAGGAAACGAAAACTGGCAGTTCTCTTTCATTTGGCTTCTACCGCCAGCCGGCGTTTGCCCACTGGACTGGTTCCACACGGTAAAAAAAAATCGCAGATATTGTTGTTAATGGGTTGTAAAATACACCACCCCCCCCCCCCCCCCCCCCCGAGTTAATGCGGTCATCAGCTGGGAGCCTTCAGGTGCCATCACTTACCCTAGAGAAACATCACTTTGAGTGTTTTCAGACTTTTTTTATTTTTAAGGAGGGGTTTTTTGGCCAATATCTTTCGAGCAGTGTTTTGCACGTGGAAGTTAAACCGCAGTCCCCATAGAAACCTCTGCACGTGCAGGAGGGGGATAATGCTCAGCATGACCTGACAGATGTGTCATCGGGAACTTTCTTTACTGCCATGAGGTAAAACCAGCCATATCACTTGTTGATAGCTCTTGAGGTGGTTAATTTTCTCGTAAGTTCGTTATTTGCCCAATAGAAGTAGCTGTGTGATAATCTTTTTGAACTCGGTTGGGCATCATTTAAATCACGTGTATCTGTATAAGTATGCCCATGCTACAAAAAATTAGCTTTGCACCAATATTTTCGATGGTTCATGGACTCTGCCCAATTCACACAGTACAGTGCACTTTTAATTTATAAAGGCAATGTCTATAAATGTCACTAAATGTCAAGATGCTGTACATATTCAGGGAAGTTTTAGGAATGGACAGGCCAGAGGACATTTTGAGATTACATTTGTGTAGCAGTGCAAATGAAGACAATTCAGAGAGTGAAAGAGAAATCCACGGTTATAACCAATAGCGAAGGGGATGACATTGGGCTCAATCTTGAGCAGGGGAAGGATGTAACTTACACTGACTTCAAGAAGAATGCTTATTTTTGTCTGTTAGTGGATTTAGCTTTTTCTTTTGCAAGAGCCTGGTGATGTCTCCATCACCAACAATGGGGCAGAACAGCCGATGGCGGGGGTGGGGCGATTATCACCACTTAATATTTCTAACGCGCCCCGCACTGAACAATTCCAAGCGCCCTGCAGCAACTTTTAAGTGCAATGTGAACGCAGCATGGACGAGCAAGAGGGCCGCGTGTTTTCGTGACGGTACAAACCGGCTCTGAGGGCGGGGCGGCCAGGCAAGAGTTCTACCGCTTATTCCAAACGACCCACAATTGTATCGTAAGCGCCCGCGTGTTGTGTTGGGTGCGGGCGGACACGGGGTGGGGGGGTGGGGGGGGGTGCTATGGTATTATGGAGGGGTGCCATTTGCGTGTTTATACCCTGCGTCCGCGCCGTCCCCCAGATGCTGCTCTTCACACACGTGAGACTCGCGCACGGCTTCTCCAACCACAAAAAACGTCTGCAGGCTGTGCAGGCGCGGCTGCACGCCATCTCCATCCTGGGTGCGTAGCGCGCGCGACGGCACAAACCAGCGGCTGCAAATGAAGCGGTGATGGATAGACACCGCAGCAGTGGGGGGGGGGAGGGGGAATGGCTTAACACCTCGGACTGCCAAAGCCCCTCTTTTTACCCTTTTATCACCTATTCTGTTATTACCTCTCCCTGTGGCCAAAAAGCATGCCCTCGGGGAAACGCTGCAACAGGTGTGGTCCTCACGTGGACCTTGTAGCCCACGGGAATTGCCGTTCAACTGCTTTCCGTACATGGCGCGTTGGGATCTACGGATGAAATGCGCCTTACAAATGTGAATTATGGTTCGCTCAAGTTGGATCTGTGGGGTCGTAGGACAGTCAAGGTGTCGCCTGTATTCTCTGGTTTTGTGAGGTGCACAGTTTTCCCCCCTTTGTGTTAAGCAACAGGTGTCTGTGCTTCGAATAATCCGGTTTTTCTTTCTGTTAGACCAGATTTGTGTAGCTTCATTGACACCGAGCACAAGTTAGAGGTGCGTCTTACTTTCCGGAGAATCTTGTTTTCAGGAGAATACAGTAATCCAACGGTAGTCCTGCTGCGGTGGTTAATTGATTAGTAACCACTGAGAGACGGAATAGTGGCCAAATGTTACGATAACGAGAATAAATGTGCGTTGATGCAAGCCATTTCCAGCGTGCAGACTTCGCTTTAAAGACCCCTTGGCAACCAGTCGGTGCCACTGATGTCAAAGCCAAAACAAAATGTGAAACGTTATCTGCTGCTGAATTGTACCTGTAACCGATCTGTTGCAGCCAATGAATTTTGTCAATTCAACAGGACCTGAAATGTCGGCTCCCCCACCCCAACATGTCTCTTTAATACGAAACATAATTTCTGCAGATTCGCAATGCATCGTGAGCCATTTCTGCAGTGTCTGTTTACATTGGCTGTGCATTCAGTTTGACTGCACTTAAGTTGCTTTGTTTCTCCATTTAAGTTGGGGAAAAAATATTTGTTAACGATTCCGTTCGATGAGTTTATACATTCACAGTTTTGTTTAAATAAGTGCTGTTTATTCAATCGTGGATAAATATTACGAATATATCCTGCCAACATTCTTATCCTGCCCACGAACAGGATAAACATTTACGAAATAAGTTTTAAGCACAATTAAACCGCACGTGAACGATTCCACCAAATCACACGTATGATTTGGAGAAAAATGTACACGACATAAAAATCACAACAAACAACGTCGTTGGGAAAATTCTTTTTTTGGAGAACGTTAAGTTACTTTACTTTTTTGCGTAACATTAAGGAAGACTAATGGCCGAGAGTTATGTCTTTGACCTCATCGCGGAGACCTCGTCACTGTGTCTGGTTCTCGTGCAGTCTACTCAAACGCCCTGCAGGAGTCAACCAACAGCATCCTGTACAACGGACTCATCGAAGAGTTGGTCGACCTGCTGCAGATCCCGGACAAGCACCTCATGGTGAGCATGTGGCATCGCACGGTTAGCCTTGGGGGAGGGGGGAACCTCCCCTGTTATGTCTTGGAAGCCTATCTCTTACCACAGTCGAGCGTTTAATGGAAACTATTCCGATTGAAACTTTCCCCGTGCTGTGTAGCCCACACAGGCTGTTGGTGCGAGTGCTGTTAGCGAGTACCTATTTAGGCCGGCACGACACGGGGCGGTGTGGCCAGAATAAACTTTCCAGTCGTCTTTTTGTAGGCTTGGCCAAGTACTATTTACGGCCGAGTCGACCTAGGGGAGGCCCAGGAGAGGTTCAGATACTCGCCACTTATTTTATTCGTGAGCGGGAATCGAACTCGGGTTGCCGGGTTCTGAGTTCGGTGCACGAACACCCGCTGCGCTCCTGCGACTGAGAAAGGGTGGCATCTGTTGGTGCAAAAAAACACGAAGCGGGCGAGATTCTTTAATCTGCGCGGGGCGAGGAAGCCAGATGGGAATGGCCATTGCTACAGGCCTGAGCTACCGTGGCACGGTTGTCTACTACGTTTTACCGCGAACAAAACAGATGTGTTTTCTGGGCTCGAAGCTCATGTTGTCAGGCCAGGTTTGTGGATACCATCACAATACAAAATTGTCAACTTGTTTCCGTGGTCTTTCGAACGTATGTTGGTGCTTTTTGTTTATCAGTGTGTCAGAGGCGGTGTAAGGAAATGGTAATCTACCACATGACTTGGTAGCACCCACATGTGTGCAATTTAGGCGTTACTATGGCAGGGCCACAGGCTTTCTTTTAGGAAGGGAATGCATGCCAACCTCTGACGTCGCAGAAAGGGGTGCAGTCTCTTTTAAGCCGCACTCATTTTACTCGCTTCTCCCGTGATGTTGATGCTATATGATGGGGCTGCCGCATGTGCTTGTCTCTGGGTGTCTGCCAATGTGCGTCTCTGTGAGTGCTCATTTACTGCACTTGGCCCAACAGTCTCTTATAGCTATATGGGGGATCTTTATCTTAGGTTTTTTGTTCTTGTTTTTGCTTCAATATCTGTTTCTACGTTTGTCTCTGTGTGTGTGATTGTTGTCACCACCACTTAGTCACGAACGGAGGTTGTTGTATGGTTGTCTCTCGGTATATCTGCACACGTATTTGTATGCATCTTTGTGTGTGTGTCTCAATGTGCACTTGGCCTGGCACAAGCGCTATGGTGATGTCGCCTTCGCTTGGTGAATGGTGGTTTGTGGCCTTGTTGTGTGTGCGCATGTATCTGGGTGTGCATGCATGTGCATATGCATGTTTGTGCATGTGTGCGTGCGTATTTGTGCGGTGCTCAATCCGCGTTTTGCTGCGCCCACACACGCAGGACATAAAGGCAGCGTCGCTGCGCACACTCACGTCCATCGTGCACCTGGAGCGCACACCCAAGCTGAGCAGCATCATCGACTGCACGGGCGCCGCCTCCTACCACGGCTTCTTGCCTGTGCTCGTGCGCAACTGCATCCAGGCCATGATCGGTGAGCATCCTGAACGCTATCGTGGTTTTTTCCTATCCGCCCCTACTGGACATCTGTGAAAAGGAGCTTTAAAGCTCTTTGTATACCTCCAGTATAAATGAATATTCTGATTCTGAAAAGTCTTGTTTTGTTTCGCCAAGTGAGAGCTCAAGAGACGACCGGTTTCATCGGTATTAAAGTAAAGTATGGTGCGGTTGGGTGGCACAGAAGTGACCTTTGTGCCACAGCAAAAAACATCCTGGGTTCAACTCCAGATTCGGGAACCTTTGTGGAGTTTGTGAGATCTCTCCTCCTCTGCTGCATGGTTTTCCTCCCGGGTTCTCCTGGTTTCCCTCCATAACAAACAAAAAACTTACGTCCGTCAAAAATTAACCACTGCTTACTCGCATAGTAAATCATTGCCCCCATACATCGCCGAGACAGGTGCCGAGTCACCCTGTGCCGCACGGGGACGGCTGCCCAAGAGGGGGGCCCTGTGCTCTTGAGAGATTTCATTACGTAATATATGGAGCGCAATGTAAATGCAAGCTCTTTCATTTGTACAACAATGAAGGGAATGTAAAATGGAGTAAAAATAGCTAAATGAGAATTGGACCGAAAACAACCACATAATAATTGGGACAAAAATAAGAAATCACAAACATAAAACCCATGTTGACCTTTTTGCAGGAGTGATGTGACTATTCACAGCCCATTGTCAATCCACTGCTGGATGAATATCTTGAATGACCTTTACAGACATGATGTATATTCGCTCGTAAAAGATCACGTAATGATCCCGTTCTGTTACTTCATGTTCCGTGCGTTTATATAAGCCCGTGCAATAGCCTGTATAACGTACAAAGCAAAAGCATCTTTTCTAGATTTGAAGCTGGTTCTATTCGGTAAAGTCACGTAGGTAAAAAAAATAAAACAACAAAAATCACGACGTTTCGGCCACAACACAAGCGGCCTTCATCAGGTGAAGGGACCAGACTGTCTCGATGACAGCGCTGGAGTGAACACAGCTAAGCTTAGACCGCGACCTTTAAGCTGTGTGAGAGGAATCAAGGTGCCTTGACAAAGGAATTAGCATAATTGCTCATTTATATGCTAATTCCTTTGTCAAGGCACCTTGATTCCTCTCACACAGCTTAAAGGTCGCGGTCTGAGCTTAGCTGTGTTCACTCCAGCGCTGTCCTCGAGACAGTCTGGTCCCTTCACCTGATGAAGGCCGCTTGTGTTGTGGCCGAAACGTCGTGATTTTTGTTTTATTTTTTTACCTACGTGACTTTACCGAATAGAACCAAAGAGTACAAAAGCATCTTTTCAGGAACTTCTTGGTCCAAGGGCTTCTTCCTCCGGTTAAGGAGCCTCCATTGCATTTTAAAATTTGACTGCACAAACAAATGTGCAAATATGAACGTTTAAAGGCATGTTCCATCAGAGAAGTGCAGCAAGTAGGTAGTTGAATGTCAATGCCTTTTTAGGGAAAGTCCCCTTCCAAGTTCTCTGGTTTCCACCCGCACACAATTGAGCCAACGTTCCACTCAGCACCCAGCAGTGGAGTGACGTGAAGGACTGTACATGAACAGCTGTTACAGGTTAGCTGCAGGGCCGGTGGCCTTCGTCCCTCTGTCGGGGTCATGTGTCGCACCACCTAACATTTGTCCGCTTCTTCCCGTCGTCTTTTTACAGACCCGACCATGGAGCCTTATCCCCACCAGTTCGCCACCGCGCTCTTCTCCTTCCTGTACCACCTGGCAAGCTACGACGCCGGCGGAGAGGCGCTGGTCTCCTGCGGCATGATGGAGGCCCTGCTCAAGGTGAGCGCGCCCCGCCTTGTGAAAAACGGTGGAATGGTCACGTGGGTCGGGCAGGGTTTGGTTTGGTTGTTGGGCATGTTTGTATAATTTGAGTCTCGTGTAAGATTTGTGAATCTTGGGCTGTCGCATGCACAATGTCTGTGAGATGGGCAGAAGGAAGGAAGCGATGTCAGTGTGGCAGCAGGCGTCATCAGCAACATTGGCTTTGACTATAGGCTTGTAGAGATGTTCCCCCCCTCGCCTCCTCCAGAGATTCGATGAACTGTGATGTTGTGGAAGTCGTGATTTCAAGAGTCAACTTGGTGTAATAACATTCATTATGGTGCATTCTAGCACCTTTAGTATCAGCAGACACTATGCCTATATGTAAATATAATTGACATGAATTGTAATGTATTCTCACACAAGATATCCTCGCATTGCGAGCGTACGACTGTATAATACCTCGTGAATATACATCGCCTCATGCCTCACGATTACCCCCTCCCTTCGGCCACGATTCACGAAAAGTTCTCCTGCGACGTACGGGAATATACTGTCCCTGCCGGCAAGAGATCACGCTCATTACACAAAGTGCTTCCCACAAATCAACCAAAATACTTTACTGATCTTGACAAGGAGCAATAAACCATCACGCAAACTCCTGTCATCCCTGCAGCAGCGACTTTTTTGGGTAGCCTTTGAACAAAGACTGTCACCGCATCGCGTGCTTTCAAGTGTGCTTCTGCGGCCATCTGGAATGCTCTTCCTTCCAATATTTGGAATCTACTGGAACTATGAAGACTGAGAACGAATTTCTGTAGAAGTGGTATTTTTGTTTAGTTTGTCCTTCCCCCGAAACTCCAATTAGCACCGTTGGCTACGTTCAGTGCTCAAGAAGTTCAACGTACATATTTGCATACCACCAGGAGTTATATTTAAATCCCAATTTCTTTGCTACACTCGCCCACACCATTCTAATCCAGTTGGATGGAGAGAAATTAGGAAATTCCCAAGCAACTTTAGGCAGGGAGAAGTCTTGATTCGACCAGATCAAAAGACTGATATACATACAAACACACAAAAGAGGAGGGGGTTGGGTTGGGGGTTCCCGTGCATCACGTCTTGATGCGTTTCTGTCGTTCGCTTTTCAGGTCATAAAGTTCCTGGGCGACGAGCAAGACCAGATCACGTTCGTGACGCGGGCCGTGAGAGTCGTGGACCTTATTACAAACTTGGACATGGCGGCCTTCCAGTCACACGGCGGCCTCTCGTCCTTCATCAACCGCCTCGAGGTGCCGAGAGCCTGAACCCTGGACCTCCGCCCCCCCCCCCCCCTCCTTGTTGACCCCCTCAGCCTGCCTGCGTTAACTCGTTAGTAAAACGAGCGTCTGAATGAAGACGTAGACTGAGATAACTCGGTGTGTTATTAGAGCCAGCAGTGCGCTGAGAGAGACCAACAATACGATTGGCCACATGTTTAAAAATATTGGCTTGATGCAGGTAAAAACCACAGAACCCAGAGGAAGCCCACCACACATGAGTGGGTAATGCTCAAAGTTTCACGCGGATGGATCCAACAAACCATTGCTGCACTACCGCCATCTGGCCAAACACCCGCCCATGTCTCCGGCAACTAATTGCGGCGACGGTGTGCATGTGTGTGCGCGTGCGTGTGTGTGTGTGTGCACGTGCTTGTGTGTGCGTGCGTGTGTCATCGTGGCCGCAGCACGAGGTGGAGATTTGCCGGCGGGAGTGTCCCTTTGTGGTGCGGCCGAGGATCCGCACGGTGAGCTCCAACCAGGACGGCGACGACATGGAGACGGAGAGCGAAGGTGGTGCGGCCTTCACCGCCCCCACTGCTTTTGACCACCGTCGCATTATTCCAATGTTTGCATCGCCCGGTCGCATTGAGATGATAACAGGGCTTCATTTGTCGCCAAATTATTTTACCCAGTCGCTGGTGGCCACGTGCGATTAGTAGCCACAGGTAGAGAGACGGGTGTAATGGATGTGGTGTGCCAGTTACTGTTACCGTGGTTGTGTAAAGACGTAATTTTCTTGGTGTTTCGCATAGAATATTCACAATAACAATGTGCCCATAATAGAAGTTTTTTGGGTTGTGGATTTGTATACTGTCTCAATGCAAATGCGTCTCAAATCGCTGTACATAAACTGGGCATTTTATAGAGACAGTTTGCCATAAGAATAATCTAAGATCTTGATTTGGCCAGGTGGTGGATGATAGTTCCAGACTTTTTCGAGGCAGCAGAGGAAATTAAGCAACCTCCTGCTGAGCAAAGATGAATTGGGGGCTTTGACAGAAATCTTGTTGGAGGAGAGTGTGTAGATGGGTGTAAATTGAGGGGAGAGGTTGAAGTATGTGTGGAGGGGGAAGTAGTGTGGGATGAAAGGGGGGAGAGCTAGTTAGGTGTGAGTCCATGGAGGATCTAGTGTATGCGTAGCTAACACATTGCTTGTGAGGTTTACGTGGTGAAGATTTAATCGATCGTTGAGAATTTTTCGATTTTGTCGCTTGCCCCAGGTGTGGACGTTGCAATGGAAGGAAGTCCAGGACCGTCTACATCGGCGGACGGAAAGGCAGAAGGCGACATTCGGATGTATATTCCTAACCCTAAACCAGGTGGGGGGTAACAGCTGTGTGTCTGCCTTGTGAGCCTGACTAATGGACCACCATGTTTCCTGAATGCTTCAATCTCTCCACTGGCCCCCAATCCGATCGTTCAATTTTCATATTCCGCTCGGCCGTCCGCAAGGTCCTGCATGGACTTGCCCCTGCCTACCTCTCCCCTCTCTTACTCTACTGCCCTCTTGGCACTCTCCTACCATTAATGCTTGGCAAGGTAGCAATCTTTCTCCTTCTTAAGGCCGTTACAAAGGTCACATGACACATTTGCCCAGAAAGAAGTAATTTGAAGGTGTAATGGCAACAGCACGACATTGCTTTTGATGATGGTCTCTTGACCTCACAGCTTCCCGTTAGTTTAGCTCAACGTTGATTTATGTGTGTGCACTGTTTTCAATTTCTTCTATAACAAGGTTTTAATTGCTTTCGTTGGTATTTGATTGTTTTTGGTCCGATTTCTATTTGCTTGAGTGCTGTACTTTGTTTTTACGTGGTTGCTTTTGTCATTTTGGTGACCCGGGTTTCTCTTGCAAATGACTCATCGTGGTCTCTTGAACGTTCACCTGGTTCGACAAAATCGGCTAGAAACTTGCCGCGTGCAATACGGCGCCAGAAGCAGCAGCATGCACATTGGGCAGCAGGGTGGCGCAGTGTTAACAGATGTGCATTAAAGGTGTTAAGGGAACTGGGTTCGATTCCCTTTGTGTGGAGTTTGCATGCTGTCCTCCACCCTATTGTGCAAGGGTTTCCTCCAGGTTTTACTGTTTCCTCCTATAAGCAAAACAGTTACAATATATCCTCTATGGCCAAACGTACAAACGCTAAAAATTACTCCGTCTGGGCCCTACTGCTACGAAACACTTGGCAGGACCCTCCTGAAAAGGTCTAGAGACTCGGTGAAGCTTTCCTGGGTAAAATAAAAAGCGTAATAGTCATATTGAGATTTTGTCGGTCTCACGTGATGACCGTGCGTGTTTTGGTTTGCCACAGGAGCCCAGTGCATTCCTCAGAGAGCCGCCCTCCTCAAGTCCATGCTGAACTTCCTGAAGAAAGCGATACCAGACCCTGCCTTCTCCGACAGCATACGGCACGGTGAGCGTCACCGGTCTTCCCCCCCCCCCCCTGCTTGGAGTGGGGTGGTAGGCCAGGGCGAGTGCCACAATACCTTAGCTTTGCCTTCCTTTCGGGTGGAATTCTTGGAATCGGTCTCCTTAAAAACGTCGTGTCAAGGATCTGGATGGGTGGTCGAAGAGCTGTCACCGCTGAGGGCCGGGGTTACAATTTGGATTTCAGCTGAACTGCAATTAATCGGAAGAATAACGAAACTAAAATAACCTTATCGGTACCGAGGCTCCCACAAGGCCTTGTCGGAAGGGTTGTATGGCACAGTTTCACTCCAGCTATCATAGAGTGCGGTCATGTCGCTACAGTTCACTGTGGTGAGTACAGTCTTTAAAAACAACGGCGCTACACCTCTAAAGAAAATGTACGTTGAATTGCTTGCGCGTTCTGAGATTCAGCTGTGAAGGAGACCACCCCTGCAACATGGTATTTGGATCAGGATGTAATTTGGCTGTATTCCAGTGCCGTGGATGAATAATTATCAAGTGGAATATGACAAACATTACTCTCTTTAGCAGAGCAAGTGAGTAAGTGATGCCCACCCCCTCCGCTCTGTGTGGGCAAGAGGTTGCTTGAAGGAATCTCAGAAGTAGTTTTTGGTGTATCTGCTTCCGTGGGGAATTCTCCACGAAGAGATGTGTCAAGATGTGTCGGCTGTTTTCTTGATTCCAGTGATGGACCAGTCGCTGCCGACCTCGCTCAAGCACGTGATCAGCAATGCCGAGTACTACGGGCCTTCCCTCTTCCTGCTTGGTAACTTCTTCAGTAGGATTTGTTTATTGTTTTTACACTTTCACATCTTGTGATGATTTAATCTTTGTTTATACTGGAGGAATCCGATGAGCTATAGAGCTCTTTTTCACAAATGTCCAGTAGGGGCGGGTCAGAAAATTGCAACAACAAACAATACAAAAACGCGATAGGAATGCAAAGTATAGGAAAGTTAAGCAAATCACTTTAAAAACTAAACCATGTTTTATTTAATCAAGTAAAGCCTGCTGAGCTTATTCGCTGCTTTTTCAGAAGCGACCTGGCCACATGATAGCTCAACGAAGTACTTAATGCTAAAACCACAGAACCTTTAGAACACTGAGCTGGCTATGTGGAGAGACCTATATGTGAATGCATGTTTCAACTATCCGTGGTTAAACTGGGTTCTCAAGTGCAGTGAGTTCATGGTCTCAGCTTAATCACTGATGGTTCTAGAGAACCATCGTTTAATTAAGTTTTTGAAATTGGCATATTCCAGGTCTGACTTAAATTGTTTGGCATGCGACTAACGATCTCTGCATAGCATATAATGATATGCACTACCTAGCATGAATAAGAATATATTAAATTGACTCGGAAGGGGATTTTTTTGGTGGTTGTCTCCTGCATACCGAAGGTAGTTGGCATATCATCAGTATGTTCTATCCGCTCCTGGATGAAGCTCTCCCCTAGCAGCCACCACCTCTCACAGTCTCACGATGCAGCAATCCTCCCGCGCCGGCGTGTTTCCCCCTCCTTCGCTGCGGCTTCGTCGTTAGTCTCGACCACCGGCTGTTGTAACTGCAAATTCCTGAAGACCCATTGACTGTTATTGTTGTGGTGGTGGTGTGCTTGAACCCGGACATGTCTAACGCTGGAGCGGACACGCACGTCTTCGTCGACGCATTTCCATTTTTAACCTGGGTCTTGGCCACTGGCCGTGTGTTCCGCAGCGACCGAGGTGGTGACGGTGTTCGTGTTCCAAGAGCCGTCGCTTCTCTCCTCGCTGCAGGATAACGGCCTCACGGACGTGATGCTGCATGCCCTGCTCATCAAAGACGTGAGTCTACACACTCTCGGCGCCGGGCACGTTCATGGAAGATGCACCCTAAAAATATAATACTTTTATACTCTTTAGACGCGTAACGGGTCAGGCATATACCAATCTGCACCTTCGGCAATTTCATGAATTCGTGATTTGGGATCATGTGTGTCCGTGTGCGTCTGTGTGTGTTCTTGTGTGCATGCGTACGTGCGTACGTGCGTGTACATCTACGTGCGTGCGCACACGCGAAAGCAGGTCCCGGCGACGCGCGAGGTGCTCGGCTCGTTGCCCAACGTGTTCAGCGCCCTGTGCCTCAACGCTCGGGGCCTGCAGTCCTTCGTGCGGTGCCAGCCCTTCGAGCGCCTCTTCAAGGTGCTGCTGTCGCCCGACTACCTGCCCGCGATGCGGCGCCGCCGCAGCTCCGACCCCCTCGGTGAGATGGCACGTGTGACGGCGGCGGTGCCGACCACGGTGGTTTAATCGGCATGTGTCTAGCCACGTTTGGGCAAAGACCCTCCCCGAATTGTTTCCATCCCTTGTCACTGTCTTACCATTGTTTTTCCACCGGTGTCCTCCTGCGTTACTCGGCTTCAACTTTTGCATCGATTGCACCAACAACTGAACGCCGTGTGCTGTTGCAGGAGACACGGCGTCAAACCTGGGCAGTGCTGTGGATGAGCTTATGAGACACCAGCCGTCCCTGAAGACCGACGCCACAGCCGCCATCATCAAGGTGTGTGGCTTTTAACAAATAAGGTTTTGTAAGTGGTATCAGAACCAATCCTAGGACCCACCCCCTCCTTCCCCCCACTGCCCTTCACCAGCCTCCGCTCCACTGACCAGAACGCTGAGGTATTCTCAAGCAACCCATTTGATGGAGATCTTGTGAGTAAATTACATTATGACAAAAAACTGAATTGATCACTGAATCCAAGCTGGCGACTTGTGTGTGCCGCTCTCATCCACGTGGCTTACGTTTGTCCCGTAAGGCTCCCAGAGGTAAAAAAAACGATAAACTCTTTTACATTATTGCCGCCTTTATTGCTCTGTTTACTCAGTGCCTCTATCTTGGGGGTGTTGACAGCGAGTTGTAAACACCAGGCATGGCTGTGGCTTTAGCACCTATTAAAGTTTAACGTCTCCGATGGCTTGTCTCGCCGGGCGAGACACTCCTCCCCCTGCCAGCCAGCGAGCTGCCCCTTACTCGGGTCACCCGTCTGAATTTTACTGGACATCTGTGGAAAAAGAGCTTTTTAGCTCATCGGATTCCTCCAGTATAAATAAATATTCTGATTCTAATTTCCGACCGAAGCAAACATCAGTGGCGACGTTATATCTAAATCAGTACTGGGCGACAACCCACCTTCACCAACCGCCACTGATCAACTTGGAAGTATGGTCAAACAATGCACACAACCGGACACAGTGTGGGGAGGTCTTCATTCAGCATTGGATTAGCAAAGGACAAATTAAAATAATTAAACGTCAGTCTCCGGCACTGACCATCAATAACTTACCGAAAAATTTAATTGTAAATTCTGCTGCCTCCAGTTTACAAATCTATCCGTGCAGCTTCTGTCCATCTGTCCGTCCACCTGTCCATCCACCCAACCTGACGTGTGACACGTGTCCCCCGGCCCGCTCTCTCCTGCGCTCGCGTGCGCCGGCCACACGCAGCTGCTGGAGGAGATCTGCACGCTGGGGCGCAACCCGCACTTCGTCTGCCAGAAGCCGTCGATCCAGAAGGTGGACGGAGCGACAGCGGCGCCGCCCGCGCGACCCAGCCACGCGGCCGAGGAGGCGTCGAGCGAAGACGAGGAGGAGGAGGAGCTCTCGGCCATGCAGAGCTTCAACGAGAACGCGCCGGGCACCGGCCAGCCTGCGGAGCCTGAGGCCAGCCCGCAGTGAGTGTGTGTGGCAGAAGCTCGCGGCTCGTGATGGCGATGACGAGCGGGTGGCGCGTTTTCTTGGTGTGCGGTGATGGTGTTCCAATAGGCTTCAGTCTTCTTGTTGTTGTATGGCGGCTGATATGGATGCAGAGCAACAACTTCAATTTCACATTCCGGTGGTTCAGAGGAGCCAACGGAGTGTATTATCGCGATGTCTTCCTTCGTATTTATGGATCAAGCATTGCGTCCGTTATATGTTGTACGGTCTGTCCTGGATGACTACAGTTGCACACTCGAGGTTCAGTGATGGGGGGGGGGGGTACAGGAATGCTTGCATTGGGTTATCGGTGTTGTAGGGTTAGAGTTAGAAGGAACTACCTGCATTGGGTTGGTGTTCATGATCTTTCCTCCACTCGCCCTGGCCTACCCCTTCGTGTGACCCTCTGTGCCCTCTATCGCTGTCAATCATTCCTCAATCCTTGTAGCACGCTCTTGTCAACTACATCATTCCATTCTGTCATCGATTTGTAAGCTGTCACGTCTTGAGTGAAGGTGCTCTCTGTATTTAAATTGGAATACAATTAGATTATGGTGTGAGAATAGGGCGAGTGAAAAAGGGGTTAGGTGAATTAGGTAGCTGTTATGATGGTGTGAGAGTTTTGGTTAGTGGTGGGGGGTGGAGGGTGCTTGCATTAACAAGAGTCCTGTGATGGTGTGAGAGTATAGTAAGTGTACAGGGGGGGGGGGGGCCTGAATTGGGGTGATGTCAGAATACTCTTTGGTTCTATTGGGTAAAGTCACGTAGGTGAAAATAAAATAACAAAAAAATTACGAAAAAATCACGACGTTTCGGCCACAACACAAGCGGCCTTCATCAGGTGAAGGGACGAGACTGTCTGGAGGACAGCGCTGGAGTGGAAGAAGCCACACTCAGATCACGACCTTTAAGCTGTGTGAGAAGAAAAACACCAAGTGCCTTGACAAAGGAATTAGCATATAATTTAGCATTGAAATGGCTCATTGAAATAGCTAAGTTAAAGTATACACATCCGCAGAGGTACCCCTTGACAAAGGAATTAGCATAGAATTTAGCATTGAAATAGCTGAGTGATTAGCTTGTAACTGGTCACAGAAATAGCTATGTTAAAGTTAGAGCATATACATTCACCGAGGCACCTAGTACTCATCAAACAGGAGAATTTAGCGACTTGCCATTTGGCGCGGGGGGGGAGGGGGAGTTTACCTATTGATGTTGTGAAAAGGGAATTTATAAGAGCTGCGAAAGTTTGGGGTACCACTACTTGAAAAATATACTGTACCATTGAAATTAGGTTAATGTTTAGTTCGATTTAGAACATCTTTCCAATGGTTGCTTAATTTGAAACCATCCTCTCGGTTGAAATTTTGTCTGTGTTTGTAGATCTGAATTGCTTCATGAACAAATCTGATAAAAGCCCGTGGGTTTGCAAAGAACCTTGGTATCGGAGAAAATTATATCATGATCCCCTACAGCGTTGTAACAGTGATCAGCCACGGCAGAAGAATTCGTTTTGCCGTGTTTCAAATCTGATTTGTGCTCGCGAATTCGGTCAGAGACATGTCGCTTTGTCTCACCGATATAGCAATCACCGCAGGTACAACTCAATTTGTAAACCTGCGGTGATTGCTATATCGGTGAGACAAAGCGACATGTCTCTGACCGAATTCACGAGCACAAATCAGATTTGAAACATGGCAAAACAAATTCTTCTGCCGTGGCTGATCACTGTTACAACGCTGTGGGGAATCATGATAGAATTTTCTCCGATACCAAGGTTCTTTGCAAACCCACGGGCTTTTATCAGAGATTTGTTCATGAAGCAATTCAGATCTACAGACACAATTTCAACTGAGAGGATGGTTTCAAATTAAGCAACCATTGGAAAGATGTTCTAAATCGAACTAAACATTAAACTAATTTCAATGGTACAGTATATGTTTCAAGTAGTGGTACCCCAAACTTTCGCAGCTCTTATAAATTCCCTTTTCACACCATCAATAGGTAAACTCTCCCTCCCCCCCTTCCCCCCCCCCGCGCCAAATGGCAAGTCCACCGGCACATACACCACCTCTTTCCGAAAATCCGCCAATCAAATGCAAATTTTTATGCTAATTTCTTTGTCAGAACACCTTGTTTGCTCGCACACAGTTTAAAGGTCCGCTGTCTGAGCGTGGTTGTGTTTCGCTAAATTCTCCTGTTTGATGAGTACTAGGTGCCTCGGTGAATGTATATGCTCTAACTTTAACATAGCTATTTCTGTGACCAGTTACAAGCTAATCACTCAGCTATTTCAATACTGAATTCTATCTATGCTAATTCCTTTGTCAAGGGGTACCTCTGAGGTTGTGTATACTTTAACTTAGCTATTTCAATGAGCCATTTCAATGGTGTTTTTCTTCTCACACAGCTTAAAGGTCGTGATCTGAGCGTGGCTTCTTCCACTCCAGCGCTGTCCTCCAGACAGTCTAGTCCCTTCACCTGATGAAGGCCGCTTGTGTTGTGGCCGAAACGTCGTGATTTTTTTGTTATTTTTTTTGTTATTTTATTTTCACCTACGTGATTTTACCCAATAGAACCAAAGAGTATGGATCCTAGCAGTCACGAAAGCTTTAAATCTAGAATTGATGTCAGAATATTTATTTAGACTGCAGGGGGAATCCAATGAGCTGTGAAGCTCTTTTTTTTACAGGTGCCCAGTAAGGGGCGGGTCGTCAAATGACAACAACAAACAGTACAAAAAAACAATAGTGCAAAATCGAGAAAATAGTAGGCAAGTCGCTAAATATCTAGAAATGTTAAATATATCAATTATAGACGTCTTATCAAGCTTGGGCAATTCAGCAAAAACAACACCAAAACAGTCCCAAACCTCACCAAGATAACACAGCAATCCCTCAATATAATGGCACCTGACCATTGTTGCGATGGCGTGAGGGTAGTTGGGTCGTGTGTTTGGCAAAATGCCGCAAAACTGAGGGGCACACATACACAAATTAATAATTGTGTTTGTCATTAATATTGTGTGTTTTATATAAATATATGGTAGGTTGGTGTGGCGGGTCGTTGGCGCCCGCCTTGGGTGTAGAGAGAGAGAGCGATCGAATGAGGCTTTGTATACGCCCAGTAATCAAGAGATAACGGGATGCTCCAGCATGGATCGTTTGAGAATCTGCTCGTCGCATCCGGGCGTCTCGGCAGGGGAGAGCGGGGGTCCGAGCACCGAGGCTGCACCGCTGTTGTGACCCTTTCTTCAAAGTTGGGTTTCAGCCGTCTTACTAAACCAGATTTTGAATTGGTGATCCCAGCCCAGTCGCCTGCGAATAACACATTAAACGCGTCGTGTTAAATGTAGGCGGTTAATTCGCCCACTTCCAGCTCTTGAGAGTTTTTCTAACATTCCGGTTGGTTTGACGTGCGACGAAGACACTGTGTGAAGGCTTGCCACGTCGTACAAATATAAGGCCGATTTAAAGTGACTTCATAGGTAGTTTTGTATAATGTCATCTTGCAAGACTTGTTTTTCTTATGCAAGAGGTTGGGCACTGCTCACTTGATAGTTTTTAATCGGAATCTATTTATCCAGGAAGAATCCTATGAGCTATTGAGATCTTTTTTCACATATGTCCAGTGGGAAGCGGGGTCACCGAGTAACATCAACAGACAATACAAAAGACGATATGAGTGCAACATAGGGAAAAGGTCAGCCAATCACAAAATAATTATATGAACTTACAAATTGCACAAGTACACAAATTCCTGCCGATTTGTCAACACAAAATGCAAGCTTTGGGGCAAGGCAATAAATAATCAACAATCCCAGACCCACGCCAAGACGACACACGGTCACTCAATTACATTGCCCATTAAAGTTAAATGGAAATGTTTGTCTTGACAGGATGCCGATGGAAAGGTAAGAATATAATTGAGGAGACTAAATGTTTGAAAAAATTCTTGAAAGCCGCTTTAAAACTTTGACTCGGCAGGTTTTGCGACTGCTCCGCTCCCTTGGATCTCCATTCACTTTGACGTTGCATTGAGAATGCCTCGCCGGTGTTCCCTTAGCTGACATAAATTTCGTATAAACGATATCGGTTCGCTTCCACCGAACGCTCGCGGTCAATGACAATCGTTACAGCAGCCGTTGGCATCCTGTGTAGATGTCATCGCCATCGTCGTGATCGTCTTGTCTCGCATGAATTCAGCAACGATTATATCAATGCGAAACCTCGCAACACAGGTGAAAAACACACTCGCCATGTTATATATTTTTGGCTGTGCTTGTTGTACCAGTGGTAAACCGCAATCCCTTTTCTTTTGAATGTGCTCCAAAACCAATGTGCAGTTATAAACACGTGTCACTGTGTGGTGTTGACTTGGTGTAGTGACATAGGGATGGACTCTGAAGAAATAAGCGTCAGGTGCTGTGTAGAATAAGTCGCCAATCAAAGAAAGTGTTGTTTGAGCTTCAGAACACTTTTTTTCAGGACTGGGATGTTGGCCAAATAAGTTATAAGTTAGCGTATCGAGGGGAAATGGCAGTATTTGAAAAAAAAAACACCGTGCATGTGATAGAATACCATTCATAAGGACCACACAGGTTCCATACTCTGGTTCTTTCGGTAAAGTCGCGTAGGTGAAAAAAAAATACAAAATAAATCGCGACATTTCGGAAGCAACACAAGCGTTCGTCATCAGTAGTACAACCATAGCACGAGGCAAAATTGCTGTAGTGGGCAAAGAGAGCGGGTTGTGACAAGCGATTATATAAGGTAAGAGGGGGGGGAGGAGCCAGGGAGGAGAGATGCAGGGGGCGGGGGGGGGGTGTGGAGTGGCGGGGGGAGTGGAGCTACTCTTGTTGTGCTGCAGCACCGAAGCGATTGGGATATTACCATGTTAATAACATCCTCCTCGTGAAATGTGCGGCAGACACGGCTGCTGAGACACACAATGCCGGAGCTGGGTAATGAATCTAGAATGAACCACACAGGTTCACACAACCCCACTTGCTCTGCTGCTGCCATCGTGGGCTGGAGTTTCACGACCCTGTGTGGTCCACGAACCCTTGCCCTCCCAAAGCGCTGGCTCACGAGGCGTGTGTGCCACCGCACCTAGCTAGCTGTTGGTGTGGTTCTGTGTTGATAGTTAAGCCCCCACTATCATGAACATCATCGTAGTCATCGTCATGTGTATTTATAGGAAGCAATTAACATCCTACAATTCGGTGCCTGTCCTCCGTACACACGTTTACAATGGCTCACAGTAGGAACCATGTGCATGAAATATAAAACCACTGTAGGCAAACAGCTGTGATGTTAATGTATTGCAATAAGTGTGAAATGGTATGCGCAATATATACCGAACCTGGGGTGTAATGAAACATAGATTCGTCTGTTAATGTTGATTTTTTTTTTATACTCGTGATACCAGTGTCAAATCGCACATGTAAGAATGTTTTTATTTCAGCCATATCTAACATCAGTGGTTGAGTAAAAACTGAACTGTTCTTGGGTCCTTCGTTCACCAGCCTACACGAGCCAGTGTTGTGAAGTATGGTCAAACAACCGCCATGATAGACAACATTTTGGGCGTGGATTGACAAGGCTGCTGTACATAGTGTGCTGGCCTCGCCAAACCCATTCACTAAAAGTTGCTACATTCATCACATGGTTTAAAATATATAAATATCGAATGATAATGCCATGCTGTTGTGGGGGGGAGTGGTGTGTAACATATCTGGAGAATGTAAGACAGACTCAAAAACGAGTTAAACCCGAAAGGGTTGTTCAGTTGAACTTGGGTCACCCTTCTCAGACTGGACATCTGTGAAAAAGAGCTTTATAGCTCATCGGATTCCTCCAGTATAAATAACGATTCCGGTTTCTGTTCCAATGGAACAGAAATTCATTAGAGTTCTCTTATCCACCTACAAGTACTTGGTGTTACTCTTTACAGTTGTTTGATCCTGAATCCAGGAGTAGAAATTCCACACTCCCGTAATGGGTGAGCCAGTATTCTGTACAAAGAAAAGAATGGCCAGAGTTTTTCCCTCGAAGTGGGTGCTTATTTTATCAACCCCCCCCCCCTACCGACGGATGATTGGCTGGATCCAAACAAGTTGCACGGTAGCGAGACTGACGCAACCCACGGGATCGCTTTAAATGCCCCAGGTACCACAGTCCACGCTCGGTGGCGGAATTGTGTTCGTTCTCTCGGCTTGAAGTCAGAGCTTGCGTGTGCTCTCTTTCACTGGGAAAGAGCCGTGTGGCCACTACGTTTGTGGACATTTCCACACGGGCCGGCAAAACCCACAGATTGTGAATTTCCGGGGCACCAAAGTAGCTTCCAAAGAATCCCTGGGCACTCTCAACAACAGCAGCAGCATTATTCACATTGTTATCATCATGAAGACATCCTCAGCATGGTAATCAAAATAATTCTACTAAGCAGCAAAAGAGTCGGCATCATTTCAGTTTATCTCCAGAATAAACATTTACAACGGAATAATTGTCAATGTCAGAATATCCTAAACCTATGATAATCATCTTCATCACCAGGATCCGCACCATAAAATGTACCAAAGTAGCACCAGTAGTAGGTCTAACTTAGTTTAATTTATACTGTAAAGTATTGCGATGCCCTCTTTGGTGGGGGTGAGTTTTTACTCAAAAAACATTGAATGAATGGAAAATAGAACCACAATCATATCATCTATTTTAAACATACGAATTAAAGTACTGTACTGCTTGAAATGTACCACAGTAACAATTTGGTTCGTACAAATGCACGTTGAGACGAGCTTGGGAAGGAGGGCCAGCTGATGTAAAACAAATTGCATTGTGTTTTTTTTTTTATGCGCGCACGGCGAACGATGCTCCGTAGGCCCATCTGTGTGAGCAGCAGCAGCAGCGCGTTTGGAAAGTGACGTACGCGCTTCCCGTTTGGCAGCCGGGGCGCGATGCGCTTGACTTGGTGCCCAGTCGAGAGCTGGCGCCAAGCGCTGTTTTTTGCGAGCGCCAGCTTGAGGCTGATCAAAAAGACAACTTTCTTTGTTTAGATGCCAACGCCGACGCGAAACTTCCCCGCCGATTGCCGCGCTGTTTTATTTTTTGTTTGTTATTTCCACGTGCGGTTTTCCATCGCAGTCGGCGCTCTGCTTCTCTCCCCCCCGACCCCGCCGGTTTCTTCCAAATAAAAAAATGTGTTATTTCTTGCAGGGCCATTGGTGCCGAAGAGCGGCTTCCGATCCCCCTCATGGACTACATCCTCAACGTGGTGAGTTGCGCGAAGCGGCGGATCGGTAAACGGCGAGCCATCCCGAGAAGAGTCTTTCGCTCGAAAGAAAGCGGGTGAAATAGGTGCTGGCGAAGGTGGCGCGCGCGGCCACGGTTGCGCACTTATACAAATGAAATGTCGCTTCGGCACGCAACGATCCGCAGATCCCTTCGACGTCGTCAAAAACCCGACGACAAATTTCTTGTTTGTTAAATCGGCCGCGTCCGCTTCGTTTTTCTCCGCCAAACACGTTATTTATTCGTTTTTTTTTTCTTTTCTTTAAAACAAGGTCTTGCGTTCATTGTGTCCATTTTGAGGGGGGGAGGGGAGGGGGTGGGGGGCACAATTTGACGTCAACGTAAACCAAAACTAGCGCAATGCAGATACGCGCGCGGGAAACGGCTGGCCGCCATCTTGGCGAGGCTGGCACGCCGCCGTTTTGTGTCGGGCACCGCATGCAGATTGGGTTTTTTTGCCCGTTTTTTTTCTTCCCGCGAGGGTAAAAAAAATAAATCCCAGTGCCCACTCATTCAAACGGTGCCAGCTTCCTTCACGGGTGGTGAAAAGAGAGGCCTCCTCCCCTGCCCCTTTGTGTGCCAGCTTGGGAAATGCTTTAATTGCGTTCAAATGAGGAGGATGGTAATTAATCCGTTGTGGTTTAAATTGTTTTGTTTTTACTGGTTATGTCAAGAACGACTGCTGTTACTGCACAAAATGAACAAATGAATTGATATAAATTAATATTTTTCTAGTAATAGGTTTTATTTTTCGTAAGCAGTGGTTATTTTATTTGGTCGATGACCTGCGCTTAAAATATACATTCGGAAATGAAATACCATACAATAATCTACCACAGTCAGCATTGTTTGTTACTTCCCATTTGGGTGTTTACTTTTTTTGGTGGCATTTCATATTTAACAATGTTTATGCAGAATTTAATATGCAGTATCTATTCCGTTCAGCTGTTGTGCATTTTGTTTTGGTTACACTGAAATACGGGATAACATCTGGTATCCTGGCACACTGCCGACCCATCCAGTGCTGTAGAGACCATGTTCTGCAGTACTCGAGGCATCTGACACCACCTGACAAGACACCTATGTAACACTAAGCCCCCATTCATTAGTCCATGGGCCAAGGTACAATTTGGTACAAAGTGACCTTGCAGAACTCTAGCCATATATCTTCATAGCCAATACAAGTGACTTTTCGATTTAAAGCTTTCGTGACTGCAGGGATTCATCTTCTTGGTTCTTTCGGTAAAGTCACGTAGAATGGAAATAAAATAATAAAAATAAAACAAAAAATTACATTTTTATTATTTTATTTCCATTCTAAAACAAAAAATTACATATTTTTATTATTTTATTTCCATTCTACGTGACTTTACCGAAAGAACCAAGAAGATCAAGACAAGTTAATTGTGTCATAACTTATAAAAAGTGGTATGCTATCATTATTGGCCTTTTTGCGATATATTCCAGCATCGTTTTGTGAGATAAATACATTCGCATTTGGAACTCTCGCAGCTATCAGTGCATCGTCCTGTGTTAGAGAACATCCTCAGAAGGCAAGGTCACAGAATGACTTGAATTCATTTTCATTGGACTTCCATTTTTAATCCCCAGCTGTGGGCCTGTGTACTTAGTTCAGATATTACTCACCCACTGATGTCAGCCCTGATTGGGAGTCCAACTCAAGAAGCCACGTGCACCGCTGTCCGCCCCTCCCCACCATTATTTTTATTATCATTTATGGGCTATCATCATAGCGCATAGGTGTCCACTGCACATTTTGTCATTTGTTTCCACTATCCTCAGTCTTGTGATAATATGCTCAAATAGTGCACATCTTTCTGGCACCAATCTCTCATGTCATCTAACCATACTCTGTTAGGGCTTTTATCTCTTTCTGGTTCCTTCCATTTTTCAAAATATAAGGCCGCTTAATACCAAATGTGGCAATTCCATTTCATTCTTTATGAATTTGATTATTTACAGGTGAGAATCTAACCGTTATCCTGCTTAAATGTATTCAGATGAAGTTCGTGGAGTCGATCTTGAGCAACAACACAACGGACGATCACTGCCAGGAGTTCGTAACCCAGAAGGGCCTGGTGCCTCTTATGGCCATCCTGGGCCTGCCCAACCTCCCCATCGACTTCCCGTCATCCGCCGCCTGTCAGGCAGTCGCCGGTGTCTGCAAGTCCATCCTGGTGAGCGGGCTGACAGCTCTGAGCAATGCTCAGCGGTGGGAGATTGTCACCAAGGGTTTGTGATGTCGTGGCGGGTGGGCTTGCTGGACGCCAAACAGTATGTACGTATGTATGTTGAACTTTTTCGCACCGTACGTAGTCAACCGTGGTAATCGGAGGTGCGGGGGAAGGACAACAAAACTAAATGCCACTCACTACATTTTTTTTGCAGGTAAGGCCCACTGAGTTATATGGCTCTTTTTCAGAATAGACTTGGTCACAAATGATAGCTCAACAAAGTGGCTTATGTGGAAATTCATAGCAGCCAAATACTCAATGCATGTTGATTCTAAACGTGGAGAACGATGAAAACTCAAACCATGCAAACTCACCTGTATACCAGGCGAGGTAGTTAACATCTCGCCACCGCAGCACCACATTGTTCGTGAGCGTGGTTGTTGTCTCCACTGGGAAGTTCCACAGATTAGGAAAATCCGATGAATCTAGATTTTGTACAAATCAAGAATGGAAATGAATGGAAAATATCTCTTTCAAACGTCTCGTATCTGTCTTTCAAATATGATGCATCCAGATGGTTTGTGACACTCTCCAACATGCTTTTGTCTTCGTAAGTATTTAATGAGCAGCATGGAATCTGATAGCTCTCGTGGCAATATGCATTTGCAATCCTATTTTTGCTTTGGTGAATCTCACTTTTGGAGTCGCAAGCCAAAGCAATGTGGCCGGTGTGCAAAAAAGGGTATGTTCTTAATAGCGGCATTCCTGTGTCCTGTTGTTTCATTCGTATTGGATCATCTTCACGAGAATTATGGATGGTCGGATGGAGCCAATGCATAAACCCTTGGAAAGAGTAGAAAAAACATTAACACCACCCTGTAATTCACGTGATGCACTCCATTTCTTTATAGTTGCTTTTAGATCCTACATATATCCAAAGTGGTTGAGAGGTGGTGCAGTGGTTACCCCCTACTCTTCCACTCTCACCAAGACATCTTGTGTATGATTGTGGGAGTACCCACACTCGACCCCCATTTATAACTGTTATTTTATAAATCCAAATTTTATTTTTTATTGTCGCCCATGTGTCTTACTGGCGCCCCCCCCACGCCCGCCGCCAGACGCTATCGCACGAGCCCAAGGTTCTTCGCGAGGGCCTCCTGCAGCTCAACGGCGTCTTGGATGGCCTGGATGCGCTGCACCGGCCCATCGAGGCGCCGGGCGGCTCCGTGCTGCTGCGCGAGCTGGCGGGCGCCGGCTCTGTGAGCGACGCCACGCTGTCGGCGCAGGCGACGCCACTGCTGCACGCTCTCACCGCCGCGCACGCCTACATCATGGTGTTCGTGCACACCTGCCGTGTTGGACAGGTGAGTGCTCGCCTCTGGTTGGTGGTGGTGATAACAGTGGGGAGCGGTAGTGTAGCGATTAACGCGCGCCGAGCTATGAACCCGGTGACCCAAGTTAAATTCCCTCTCACGGCCATCACCAGTGATGATTATCTGAGCCGGTCATGGGCCACCCTTAGGTCGACTTAGCTTGGAGGGTTTGCCTGTTGTTTCATTCACCCTCGTGTGCCTGGCCTTGATATATACTCGCTTAACAGCACTTGCCCCAACAGTCTGTTAAAGAAATACGGGGAATTTGGTGATAACAGTAAAATCAGTGATTTGTTAATCAGTGAGCATTGAGGCAGCGCTTTTTTCTAGTTTACAGCGGTAAGGAAGTGGTGGAAATTCCACATACCTGTGGCAAGCGCGAATCTCTCCATAGGCAAAACAACTGTTAGCTTCCCCGCAAAGTGGTACCTTTGTTATTGACTGCAGGGATGATGGATCCAATCAACCAACTCCTACCAGGATTTGAACTTGAAACCTCGTGATTACGAGCCACTCGCTCTTCCGCTGAGCCACCTGGGCGATAGTAATGCCCTTGGTATGATTATGGTGTTTGTGTAATTGTATTGGTGTAATGATAGCGCGTTTGCCGCTTGTTGCAGAGGATTCGTGGTTTTAGCTTCGCAGCTTTCCTGGTTAATACTTGGGCGCCAAGGTAGCGAGATGGTAACTACCTCGCCTGATATGCAGGAGGTCGTGGGTTCCATCCCGACCCTGACGCCTGCCTGTTGTATATTTGGAGTTTGCAGTGTCTCTCCCCGTGGTCACGTAGATTTTTCTCCAGTTTTTCTCTCCACATTTAGAAACATGCGTTCAGAGTTTTTGGCTGCTTTAAATGTCCACATGATAAGCCACTTCGTTGAGCTATAATTTGTGATATCCAGGTCGCTTTTTAAAAAGAGCTATATAGCTCAGTGGACCTCACCGGGTAAAAAATAAATCCATAGTTTATTAACCACACCTACGTGGCGACTGCTTCACAGTGGACGTTAAAAATACCGTGACATTCGCTAAAAAGAGTAGGCCATGTGTGCCGGCGCTTGCCAAGTCTGATAAATTACTCAGAAATTAGTTATTTGGGGAAAATAGCAACAACAAAAAAACACTTCTGGTTCCTTCTTTTCTCCTTTCCTGCAGAGTGACATCCGCTCGATCTCTGTGAACCAGTGGGGCTCCCAGCTGGGGCTGAGCGTGCTCAGCAAACTGAGCCAGCTCTACTGCTCGCTTGTGTGGGAGAGCACTGTCCTCCTGTCGCTCTGCACGCCAAACAGGTGCCCTGCGCGCACTCTCACAGCCACCACACCCATGCCGACTCTCCACTGATAATTATGATTACATTGTACATGTGTACGTTGAACTTCTTTTGCGCCGTACGTAGCCAACTGTGCTAATCGGATGTGCGGGGTAAGGCCAATAAGCTGAACACAAAGCAGTGCTATCTATTGCTATCAGCAGTCGTTCTCAAGTGAGTGCTTGGAGCAACCATGGGGTGGTTCTTACCAGATTTGAACCTAGTCTCTTACCCGGCCACCTCGCATCGGCGCATTATCAACACTTTTGTCTCAAACTTTTTGGACGCATCCCTTGAATCTCGCGTGTTTGTAAAACGTATATATGTGTTGAGATGCTAATGGTACAGTTATGCTAATGGTGCTCGATTGTGCAAACAAGTCAAGAATCGGAAGCTTGAATTCCATTGGAATCGTGACTCACTATAGTTCTATTGAAGCACACGTGGCAGGAGTTGATCGTTAGATGGTGACATCAAATGACCCCCGGCTCAAGCACCATTTCTTTCTGCCCACACTGCGACACTGTTGCCCTGTTCACCAGCAAAGGCATGGTTTGTGCACCGTTGTGGCTGGTTGTTGAATATTTTATGCCTGCAGTGTCTGACTGGTTTTGTTGATCGAATGTTGTAACTTTAAACCCCGAGGGGGGAAGGAGATGGAGGAGGCTTGTGCTTGCGTGTCAAGTAACAACCTCCTGCTTGTACCGTTTATTTAGGGTTGGTGCAGTGGGATGAAATGTTTACACTTTTTTTACATGTTCGTTTGCACAGTACCGTTTCCAGGTACTAACTTTGCAACAGATATTTTTATACACGTTTAAGTTAATTAAACATGGCAGGAAAAGGCAGCTGTGTATTTAATTCTCTTAAAGAGCTGCTCAATTTTTTTTGTGCATTTTTCTGTATAATTGTATTCCGATTGTGCTTTCCTCATCATTAGTTTCCACTCTTACATATGTGTCTTTGTATATATGTGCATGTGTGTGTTCATATATGCACTTATTTTTGTGCCTGTGAATGCATGTCCCTTTGCATATCCATGCATGCTTGGATGTGTCTCCATGTACATGTGTTCGCATATGTATTTTTTACTCCCTTGCCGTGTGTTGTACGTGCAATGTGAATCTGTGTATGTGAGTTTGTATGTACGCGTCTGTGTTTTGTGAGGAGTGGCAGCGCAGTGGTTAGCATGCTTGCGCTACGACCAGATTATACACCATTGACGATTATCTAAACCCATCTTGGGCCTGCCTAAGGTCGGCCTGACCAGAAATAAGTACCTGGTGCGATGTGTAAACATCGCCACTAGGTAGACAAAGGTGACCGGGCGTGGTGCTGTCCACCCACCCCCACATCGTGTGTCGTGCCGGTATACATAGGTACTACTCGCTCGCAACACCTTGCCCCCAACCTGTGCTAATTCTACACGGGGTTGATGTTTGTCTTTGTGGTGACAGCCTGCCCCCAGGCTGTGAGTTTGGCCAAGCCGACATGCTCAAGCTTCTGCCCAAGGAGGAAGGGGGGAAGGCAGCAAGTGCAGCCCCCACCCCCTCGGGTGCCGTTCCCGGGGCTCCCAAGCCGAGGAACGGTCGGTCTCGCCTCGTCCGCCTCGGGAAACCCAGAATAGCGCTCCGTTTTCACAACCGGCTTCGTGCGGTGTTATTTTCGGCGTCCTCAATTAAGCCCAACAACGGCGGCAACATCATTGTGGTGATAGCGCGCGGCGGGGAAAACGGAAAAAAACAAAAGGAGGCCAAAGTGCGCCAGTAAATTGTGGAGAAATGTTAGCTCGTTCTGGCATCGTTTTCTTTTACAATGTAGTGTTTACGATGGATGTTTTGGGGGGGGGGCGGGGAGGGTAGTTTTGTTTAATGAATTATATCACTTCAGTCTGATGTCATCGTTGCACCTGCCAATTATGGAATAACATCCCGGATTAAAAGTTGCTGTTAGCCAAGATCACATTTAATCGAACTTACACAATTGTGGGTGTATGTTTTATACCTTTTAAAGGTGTGTGTAATTGTGAGTTAAAATCGGTCCACATGTCTTGGTAATCAGCAAATTCTCAAAATACCGTGTCAGTTATTCTCGGATAAACTGACTCGCATTGAATATGGGATTCTGATGGTGTATTCATTGTTTAATGCATGTATCGACCCATTGGCTTATGCATTGTTTTAGAGTGATTTTGACACCATTTTTGAGCTGTACTTTTGAAGATCACTTGCAATGAATGTGTCATTAGTGCCGCCCTCCCATCCATGTTTGTCCCCGAGCCAGAATTTACACATCTCGTAAGACCACAACGTGTCACGGTTTGGTACCAGCACGGCTCGACACAATCAGCCAGTGGAAAACTACCAGTGCCATGGGAGGCCCCACGCCAGTTCGGCTCGAATGCGCAAGTGGGAAAAGGGGGTTTTAACATCTTCTTTTCCCTGCACAGAAGCAGAGGCGCTAGTGGGGATGGAGTCGACGGCACGTGGCCTCTTGGAGGGCTCGGTGTTGCCTCTGACCCTCGAGGGCGATCCCAGCTCCCCCATGGAGACGGAGGAGGTGGGTGTGGCGGGCTGCGCCAGTGCCGTGAACGACGGCAAGGCCGGCAAATCCAAGATCTCCCCAGCAATGGCCGCTCGCATCAAGCAGATCAAGCCCTTGCTGTCCGGTGAGTTTACCTGGCAACCGATATAAACCAGAGCAGACAATGTGAACCAGACTTTAGTATAAGGTTCTATTGTTAAGGACTTGTCTGATTGAACAAATTAGTTAAAGGGTTGCCCGAAAGTATTGAGACCCAATCAAGGACTAAAAGAACCTGCTTTTGACATCTGGGCCCCTCCAATCCCCATTGTCTAATCACGAGCTACGGACGTACTGCTAAATGCGTGCCTGGCCAAAGTGCTGCTGTTATTATTGTTAAACACTTCAAGGACAAACGTACTTTTGGTAAGCTTTACAGAACCCATGAGTATCCACGATCTTCATCATTTATTATCGCCATCGAGATGTGATTGTGATTTTTTTTTTTCCCCACCAAAGCGTCGTCCAAACTGGGCCGCGCGCTAGCAGAGTTGTTCGGGCTGCTGGTGAAGCTGTGCGTGGGCTCGCCGGTGAGACGGCGCAGCCACCACCCGGCCACGAGCGCCACAGTGCCGTCTCCGGCGGCCCGCGCCACCGCCACGGCGCTCACCAAGCTCCTCGCCAAGGGCCTGTCGTGGTCGCCGCCCCCGTACACGCCGACGCCGCGCTTCAGGTGCGTTCCGCTCGCCACCCTCGCGTGGGGGCACCAGCCGCCCGTCTCGCCGCGGTTTGGCTTGTGTTAGGTGGTTTTTCCTGCCTTCGGGGGAGGAAGGGGGAGAGAGATCGTGGGGCCATCCACAATTTTTAAGGGGCCAGAGACATCGATTAACTTAATCGATGAATTGGGCAATTCGCCAGATGATGCTGTATGTAATTACCAGCGAAACGTCGTACTCAAACTGTAAATGTTGTGGATTCACTCTTCAACACACTGGTGGGCTAAAGTAGTGAACTATTTGACTTTTGTCAACGTGACACTTGTTTGCTGATTGGCCGTGTCGGGTGGTGGAGGGTTACGACACATTTAGAAATAACTCGATCTAACCCAAAAACCGTTTGATTTAAAGCTTTCGTGACTGCAGTAATTCATATTCTTAGCTCTTTCGGTAAAGTCACGGTCGTCCGTTTGTGTTATGGTCGAAACGTCGTGAGAATTTTTATTGTTATATATATTTTATTATTTTATTGTTTCCCTTCAACGTGACTTTACCGAAAGAGCTAAGAATACCAAAAACCTTTATTATGAATAATATTGGTCGCGAAAGCCTACGTGTTAAACTGTATCAGCTGTGTTGGCGTCACTTTTTTTTGCGATGCGATTGGGCGGTAGGTGCGCCTGTTGTCTAACCACCCATAATGCGCTAAGTGTGATTATGCCTGGATAGTGCTTGGATCGATGACCCCCATGTATATGTAGAGGCTGTTATTGGCTGCAGGTTAAAGTTGTGGGTAGCATAGGGCAGCCACAGAAGACTAATTGTGTTCTTCCACGTGTAGGGCAGCCACAGAAGACTAATTGTGTTCCACGTGTATGCGAGCCGCATTCACAAACCCGCACTAACCAGGGTGGTTAATTATGTTCAGATAACCCCCATGACCCTCGTGGCATGTCTAGGCCCTCATCCAGCGGTCGGTGGATCGACATAAGGTGTACGCCGTGGAATTTAGGTTATATTTTATACTTCACAATGTGCAGAGCCATCCTGGTCGTGTCTGCTTTAACCCCTCATCGTTGCCCCGCCCAGGCTGACGTTCTTCATCTGCGCGGTGGGCTTCACGTCGCCCATGCTGTTTGAGGAGCGCAAGTACCCGTACCACCTCATGCTGCAGAAATTCCTCACATCCGGAGGCCATGACGCTCTCTTTGAGTGAGTACCCCTGTCCCACTCATCCGCCTCTCTTTCTGCTCTGGTCTTTACAACAACAAAAAATTTAGAGCTGAGCTGTCCTATAATTATTTAATGATGGCCTTGTTTGCCAATTGTATACATTTTATTATTCTTCTAATCGGGCCCTCTGCCACCTGCAAAGGTTCATGATATAGCCATGAATGTTTTCAGTGTTTCATCAGTTCAATAAAATGATATTGGGAAATATATATGTATTCCTTTTGGGGTCTTCCTTCTCTGTTGAGCCAAAAATTACTGTCACCGCACCCCGTAACCGTTGGTCCAACGATGGTGCAGTTAAGCGTGTTTTAATGTGTTACATGGTGCAGCAAATGCTATGAAATAATTTTTGTGACCTGGCGTGGATGCTCGCCACACCGACCCTTCCACAGGTGTGCCGTTCTGGCCTTAATAGTTGCTCGCGAAGCGCACTTGCCCAGCATTCTCGTTAAGGCGAGGATCTCTGTGTTTGCGTCTGCAGTACGTTCAAGTGGGCCCTGTCGATGGGCGGCAAAGTGGCAGTGACCGAGGGCCTGGAGGCGGCTGACCTGCCGGACGGAACCGGCGAGTTCCTGGATGCGTGGCTCATGCTGGTTGAGAAGATGGTGAACCCCACGACTGTGTTGGAGTCGCCGCACACGCTGCCCGCCAAGCCTGCGCCCGGCACGCCCGCCAGTGCCGCCAGCGCCGCCAGTGCCGCCGCCAATGCCGCGGCGTCGGCATTTAGCCCCGTGCGCTTCCTGATTCTCACGCAGAAGGTGGGGGCCCCTGTTTGTTGGTGTGTGTGTGTATGAGGTGCTCGCTAACAGCACTTTCCCCAACAGTCTGTTAAAGCTATCCGGGGGGGTCTTTGTGTAGGAGAGGTAGGGAGCAGTAAGAGGAACGGTTAGCGTTGCTGCACTGAACCCTGCGATCAGAGTTTGGTTCCCGCTCACGGGCAACACCAGTGACGATTATCTGAATCGGTCCTGGGCCTCCCCTAGGTCTACTCAGCATCAAACTATTACCTGGTGAGATGTGTAAGCGTCGCCACTAGGGAGCTAAAGGCGGCCGTGCATGGTGCTGGTCACCCACCCCATCGTTTGCCGGCCTTCATAGGTGCTCACTTTAAAGCACTTGCTTCTCCAATCTCTTAAGGCTATACGAGGTAGGGTCTTTTTTTGTGTGAGACCAGTGGATATAGATAGTGGTCCACTGTTACATGCCCCACTCAAAGTAGTTTTACAGAAAGCAACGTTTTGATTCAAAGCTGCTCCCACGTATAGTCGATCGGAAGGTCACCTCTTCCAAGACATCTGCCCAAGTGTGGACGACTGTATCAGAACTTTAAATCGTAACTCATGCAAACTTGGAATTGTGCATGCAGGCTGCCTTCGAGAGCATCATGAACCTGTGGAACCGCAAGCCACTCAAGGTGTACGGCGGACGCATGGCTGAGTCGATGCTCGCTATCCTGTGCCACATCCTGCGCGGCGAGTCGGTGATCCGCGAGCGCCTGGCCAAGGAGCGCGAGGGTGCCCGTGAGGATGACGCCAACACCTCCAGTGCGGCTAATGCCATAACCACCGCGACAGCCGCCACCGTCGCTGTTGCCGCCGGCGCCGCAGCCGCTACCGCTGCTGCCACCGCCGCCACTGCCCCCAGCACGTTCGTGGTGCTGGAGGACGGCTCGGCGAGCGCCGGCACCAGTGGAGGTGGTGGCGGCGGCGGCAGCATCGCAGCGGTGGCGCCCGGAGAGGGCGGACTTGTTGGTAGCGTTGTTCCCAGCACCGCAGCGGTGGTGACCGCGGCTGGCGCCGTTGCCTCTGTTGCCGGCGCCGCCGGAAGTAGCGCGGCGCCGGTCGTGACAGCCGGTGTGCCGAGCCCCGCATTCTCGGTGCTCGGCTCCCCGGGCGGCGCGCCGGTGTCAGGGACGGCCGGCGCTGCCGTCCTGGCGGGGAGCGTCGTGGCAGCTGCTAGCAGCGCCGTCACGCACCGCAGGCAGCCGGACGTGAATCAGCAGCAGCTGCAGCAGGTGTGCGGTGCTGGCACGAACGCTGGAATCTCGTGTGGCATTCGCGCGCCACGCGTACAAATCCAAATTCTCACACGTACACACTTTTATGCTTGTATTGTGCGTGCTTCAGTTAATTAATCGCTACATAATCACACCTTGGAAATCCATATTTTTTGCTGACCCAGTGAAGGGCACCCCATGACGATGGCGTTAATGGCGCATATGTGCTTTGTCTTTGTCAGTTGATGGACATGGGCTTCTCGCGGGAGCATGCCACCGAGGCCCTGCTGCACACCTCCACTATGGAGCAGGCCACGGAATACCTGCTCACTCACCCCCCTCCTCTGCTCGGCGGATCGGTGAGTGCTGGTACCGGAGATAACCGGCCCAGGGGGTGGTCTGGTGACCACCGCCGCCGCACGACCGTGGACTTGACAGTTACTTTTAATTAATGCTTTCCAACTAAGGTGGGAATATGTTTAGGCTGAATACGTGAATGCAATCGGCAAAGGGAGGCTCAGAATAACATTCAAAGAAGATGGTCCAATATAAATTACATTTTATTATCATGTAGTGTTTCTGTTAGGGACTTGCTTTATAGAAAACTGGTCAAGTTCATCGAAGGGTTGCCCAAACTTGACGAAACACACCAGTGCCGAAAGGTATTCGCCTAGCCAGGCGAGGCGATCACATCGTTGCATGTGACATTTTGTCTGGCTGTAGATTGAACACGAACCAGTAAGCTAGCGATAGTTAAACACGTTCCTACATGGCATCTCTTTAAGACACGTGCAGAGTCGATACTAACTTAAGAAATTGAGAGTTTAAATATTGCATACTTACCAAAAAAAGTCCTTACGGGTTACATTGGCTGCCAACGATAATTACGAATAACGTCTTTTACGGCGAAACCAAAAATCTTCCATTAACGCTCGCTTTGCTTCGTGCAGGAGATGCACATGTCCGAGGAGGACCAGATGATGCGAGCCATCGCCATGTCCCTGGGCCAGGATGTCCCCATGGACCAGAGCACAGAGTCTCCCGAGGTGAGCCAGCCGCCCTCACCACGAAGACGACGACGCGTCATCGGCGGCCAGAAGCCACGCGGGCCAAGGTGGCCGCATGGTCCCCCCCCAACCGAGGGCTGATGCCGTGTCAGACACACCGAGCCAGCACCGCGGAAGTATGGCGAGTTATTAACTCGCCGAACCTAGGTTCGATTCTTAGCAGCGGCGACCATTGGCTGCGTCTGATATCTGAACTTGGGCCCGTGCCCTCTCACTTCGCCATCCCACACTGACCAGCATGGCGAAGTATGGTCATCCAACCCCTTTAACCGACACTGCATGGGGAAGCCTTAATCCATCAGTGGATTGACAAAGGGCTTGATAAAAAAATCCCTACGCCATCATTTGTAGCGAGTTGATTCGTCTCAGCCAAGTTACCAATGACTGCAGTGCTTAACGTATGGAAAAAAATTCTCGCCTCTCCCCCCCCCTCCCCCCATCTTCGTCCGTATCGTACGTCCTTTGTACAGGAGGCAGAGCGCCGGCGCGAGGAGGAGGAGCGGAAAGCACGTGAGAAGACTGAAGAGGAGGAGGCCGGCGCGCTGGAGCGACTTCTGGACGTGCAGCCGCTCGACCCGGCCATCCTGCAGAGGTAAGGGCTACGAACCGTGCGATCTAAGTTCGATTCCCTGCACACAATCGGTGGTGAGTGGTTTCTGAACCAGTCCTGCACGCCCATTTTCCCCGATACGCACTGAAGTATGGTCAGACTCATCCGCAATGGCTGACACGGTGTAAGGAGGGACATTGATGGGTTCTCCAGTTCAGTACATTTTATGGTCCCATAACGTACGAGTGAGGTGTTTGTACACCCCCCCCCCTCCCCAACTTCACTCAGCGGAGGAGGCATCTCTTGCCTGGCTTTGCTCATTGCGTCGATATCACCCGTGCGTACGCAGGTTCACTCAAGAGATGATGCCCGGATGCTTCCACCTCCTGGATGAACTTCCAGACACGGTGTACAGCGTGCGAGACCTGCTCATGACGGCCATCCGCCGCAACGGCCCCGACTTCCGCCACCTCATGCTGCGGCAGGTGGTCGAGCAGGTGGGCCCCGCGGACTTTGCCCCGCCAGCTCAGATTTATCATCATCGTCGTCGGCTTGTCTGCCATTCCACTTGTATGTGTGTGTGCACGTGTGTGCACAGGGTGAGTAGTCGTGTAGCGGTTAATGCGCTGCGCTGTCAACTCAGTGACAATTATCTGAACCGATCCTGGGCCTCCCCTAGGACGACTCGGCCTCAAATGAGTACCGGGTGCGGTGTGTAAACATCGCCACTGGGGAGACGGTGACCGGGCGTGGTGCTGGCCACCCACATCCTCGTGTGCCTTGCCGGCCTTCCTAGGTGCTCGCTGAACAGCACTTGCCCCAAGAGTCTGTTAAGGCTATAGGGGAGGTATCTTTGTCTTTGTGCACAGGTGTGGGAGGCTGCCAATGTCCTCATCAAGGCGGCGCTGCCGCTCACCATCAGCGACAACAAGACGGTGGCGGAGTGGACGAGCCAGATGGCCACGCTGCCCCAGGCCTCCAACCTGGCCACTCGCATTCTTCTGCTCACCCTGCTCTTTGAGGTACTGCTGGCGCTTGGTAAAGATTGATCTGTCTGCGTTCACTTCACACCGGGTTGAGTTGCCACCAGTGGCGGCGGACGATATTCAGTCGAATACAAGATTAGTGACAAGCGGACGTGGGGGGTGCAATTGTTCAGAATGAAACATCGTGGAGATGGCGACCTGTTTCACGAGATTAAAAGTTATTAAAAAATCTGTCCGTTAACATTGTTGTAGAAGCAACGGTCTGAAGGACTAAAATGGTATTCTCATGTAATCCATCATCCAGTCAAAAGCAGTCTGGGTCTGGTCTAATCAGACCTCGCTGCCTAAACTTTATCCGGAATTCCTCATTTATCTTCACCCAAACTGGAATAGAATGGAGGGGTGGGCGAGGGATTGCAGAAACAGTGGGATTAAAATGTTACTCTGCTTGTGATATCTATGTATGTTGAGCTTCTTTTGCACCGTACGTAGCCAACCGTGCTAATTGGAGGTGCTCGCGGTAGTACTGAGTGACGCCAACTCATGCACACGCTCGTCCTCTCCGCTATCCCTCTCCTGCCCTCAGGAGCTCAAGCTGCCGTGCGCGTGCGTGGTGGAGTCGAGTGGCATCCTGGACGTGCTCATCAAGCTGCTGGAGGTGGCGCAGCCCTGCCTGCAGGTCGCCGGCGACGACATGTGCACACCCAAGTGAGCTTTGTTCGTGCAAAATCAATCCACCTGTCGCGGCTCGTACCGCCAGATCCGACCGCGTCCGTCCAGTGCTCGCCGAGCTGCATTGGCTTCCTGTTGCCGAACGAATACGTTGCAAGGTCGCGCTCATTCCACACAAAGTGCGTGCCACAAATGAACCGAGATACCTCGCTTATTATGTCAAGGAGCATAAATCATCGCACAAACTTCGGTCATCCTCGCAGCGGCTTTTGTCTGGCCATCGAACAACATCTGAAAGTGCATCGCGCACTTTGAGATGTGTTTCTGTGGCCGTTTGGAACGCTCTCCTGATATTAGGAAGCCACTGGAGCTAAGCACTTTTAGATGTACATTGAAAGCTCATTTCTTTAGAACTGCTTTTTGTGTTTAGTTTGCCCTTCCCCCCCCGCACCTGCAATAAGCACGGTTTGCTACGTATGGTGCGAAAGAAGTTCTACATACATACACCTCCAGCCTTCGCTCGCGACATCTCCCGCTAGCAGTCACATGGTCTTAAGGAGGCTGCTCTGATAGCCATCTTCTCATAGCCTCGCAATAAACCTGTGCATGGATATTCGTACGACACGCACATTTTATTGATGTGTTCATGTTGGACGCAGCGGTTGGCGCACTACCATTAGAACCAGGGCACCTAATTATGATTGCCACCCACTGTCGGCATCGGTGGCGAGTGATGTCTGAACCTGTCCTGGGCCCACCTTCCTTCAAACCACAATGCTGACTAGTGTGGTGAACTTTGGTCAGACAACCCCCAATGACTGACATAGCTTGGGGGGGGAGGTCTTCATCCAGCAGTCGATTGACTAAAGTACTGTCCATTCTGCAATAGTCTTTACGTGTAAAGAGAACATTAATCTTGTCAGCTGCGTGAGGTTGTGGCAAAGAAACCGATGACACCGTCGTCCTGTTCCTCCTCCTCCAGGTGGATCACGCCCGTGCTGCTTCTCATCGACTTCTACGAGAAGATGTCGGTGGCCTCCAAACGCCGGGCACAGATGAACAAGGTACGAGTCGTGCACATCGCAAGGAAGCAGAGGCGTCAGCGCACACATGCCCAGACAAATCTTGCTCAGCTTTATGGAATGTTGGGACGAGTACTGTTAATTATTTTTTTAGACATTTGGCAAAGGCCGCTGCCACAATGTATTGTTAGCGTGCACGTATTAACGCTGGCACTCCTCCCACTCCCCCACCTCTCTCACGCATGCAGTACCTTCAACCGGCTTCCAACAACTGGCGCTGGTTTGACGACCGCTCGGGCCGCTGGTGCAGTTACAGCAGTGGCAACAACAACACAATCGACAGCGCGTGGCGTGCCGGCGAGAGCAGCGTGCGCTTCACGGCCGGGCGCCGCCGCTACACCGTGCAGTTTAACACCATGGTGCAGGTGAGACGTGGTGGCGAGATGTTAACTACCTCGCCTGGTATGCAGGAGTTCGTTGGTTCGATCCCGACCCTCACATCTGTTTATTTGGAGTTTGCATATTCTCTCCTCGCGGTCGCGTGGACTTTCTCTCCCTGTGCTCTGGGTTTTCTCTCCACATTTAGAAACATGCGTTTAGAGTATTTGGCTGCGATTAAAATTTCCACGTGATAAGCCACTTCGTTGAGCTGTCATTTATGGCCAGGTCACTTCTGAAAAAGAGTTAAAAAGCTCACTGGGCCTTACCTGGTAAATAAAAAAAATTGTTTAGCTTGGTTTAGAGACCCATCCGCTTTTGACAGTGGCCAAGTGAAACAGGCCACCGACACATTACCATCCTCCGATTAGCACGGTTGGCTACATACAGTGCGAAAGAAGTCCAACATACATGCATCCTGGAATGTTCCATTTGTTGATGGGGTTAGAGCTGGAACAAGGCAAAGTATTGAAAAAATAATTATGGTCCGTTTTTTCCCCAATTATATTCCGCTGGCTATCAGCACCTTGATGAATCCGTTGGTAACTCTCGGTGAGCGGTGCATCTCCCTTTGTGGGATAATGGCCCACGGAAACGGTTATCACAAAACTACTTCTAAGATCGCGTCAGCAACACATCCTGTTATATAGAAATGTTTTGGCATGTGATGGTTAAACCAATATTTCTAATTCTCAGTTGGAATTGAGCCAAACGAAGTGAAAATCCACAATTAACTTGATGGTCATTTTCATGCTGTCATTGTTAACCATATACTAAAACCATCAAGCTGGTTTAATCAGAGCTGGATGAATCCAGAATTCAAACACAAGTTTGCCCTGGCGACTGCCGCTTCTCTATCCGCCACGGCCACTGAATCCACTGAGCCACACGGCACCGTCCCACCCTCGCACTTGCTTTTCAGATTAACGAGGAGACGGGAAACCGTCGCCCGGTGATGCTGTCGCTGTTGCGTATGCCACGGAGGGATACTTTGCCCTCCATACCGCTCGCCACCTCCACAACGCCCAACACTACTGCCGTCACCGCTTCCACCTGCCCAACGCCCACAAGCCAGGAGCCTGAGCGTGCCATGGAGGAGGGCAAGGAGCCTGACATCAAGGATGCAGATCTCAAAGGTAAGGAGGGCCTTGGTTGTTGTCACCAATGAGACGTAAAAATTAATTTAAAGCATGGGTGGGAACTGGTTACTCCTTGGGTGGTAGACCACACCGGTGTGAATGCCACGTGTTTTTGGTGGGAAGCTCTGAGGTGGCCAGGAGATCGTAGTACTTAGATAAAAGGCATTGTTAATGATGTTGACTTTCAATCTAAATAGGCTCTCACCAGGGCTAAGTTTCTTGGTCACTGGTAGGCTGCAATTAGTGGAACGAGACTTGTAGCGATCACGAGGGAGATATACTGGATGCGGTGTGCATGGTATGGAAATATTTCTAATGAAACCCTGGATCTCGCCTTGTAAACTTTTAAGGCGCCAAACTGCACCGCCGCCTTACCTAAACGCGGCTGTATTTTTCTTTGACGCGCCAACGGCGGCAGGTGACGGCGCCGACGTGACGACGCAGTCGAAGCGCGGCGCCGACTCCTCCTCGGACAAGTCCGACTCGGAGCGCGAGGACTCGCCGGAGGGCGTGGTGATCGGCGGCCTCTCGGAGGAGCAGAAGACGGTGCTGATGCGCGCATGCGTGAGCATGCTCGGCGTGCCCGTCGACCCGTACACGCTGCACGCCACCTTGCGCGTGTGCCTCCGCCTGACCCGCGAGCACCGGCTGGCGGCGCTTTTTGCCGAGCTGCGAGGCCCCCGCCTGCTGCTCGGCCTGACGCAGGCGTCACGCTTCAGCGGCTTCCTGCCGCTCGCAACGCTCATCTTCAGGCACATCATCGAGGAGCCCAGCACGCTGCGCCACACCATGGAGAAGGTGAGGCTGTGGGCCGGGTCCCTCTCTTGTAGAGAAAGGGCGGCGATGGACCCCCCCCCCCCCCCCCCCCCCCCCCCCCCAATAATGAGAGAGGATGAACATGAAGTTACCCTAGTCTCAGGAATGACACCATTTTTTCTTTTGTATTTTAAGCCAAAGTTTTGGTGGGGGGGGGTACATCTAATTATTGGTTAGGTGTGTGTGTCAGCAGATTTATTTAACTTTATTAGCAAGTGGCTAAGGTTCGGGGTGCATCTTGCCTTCTGCATCTAATCGAGAGAATACGCTAATCACCTTAAAGGAGGAAAAAGCAGCTGAGATTTGTATTGGCGCAGGAGCTGTCCACGAGTCATTTGGGTCTGTGAGTGTGGCCCTTTTCAGCTTTGCCCCCTTTTAATATATTTGCTCTTCCCCCCCTCCCCCCACTCTGTGGCCAGGGGATAGTAATGGGCAAGGAGCAGTTTTTAAAAATATGACTTCTGTAATGTAGGAAATGGATTTGGTTGTGATTTTATTTTTTAGTATCGCAACTTTGACAGTGCCTGTGTTCCATTGAAGTATTCTCTGACGGCGTTGCTGGCATGTATGTTGAACTTCTTGCGCGCACCCTACATAGCCAACCAAGCTAATCGGGGGTGTAGGCATACTTGGCATAAACGTAGCACACGACACGCACGCATACTCACAGCTCTTATGCGATACCCACACAGCATAAATTCCTGACGACACCGCCACCTTCCGTTCAACAATCCTGCGGTTGGTTCCTTGCGCCCGCGTGCGTAGGTGGTGCGCTCTGCGGTGACGAGCGGCGCGGGCAGCACAACGTCGGGCGTGGTGTCGGGCAGTCTGGGCACGCGCGAGATGCACTACATCCTGCGCGTGCTGGGCCCGGCCGCGTGCCGCCACCCAGACATCTTTGTTGACGTCGCCAAGAGCTGCATGAGGGTGGCTCTGCCGGCGCCACGGGGCAACGGCACAGGTGGGTCGATAGGCCGCGGGGTGGTTTAACTGGTGGCTTCTCGTGAGCAAAGACGGACACGTCGTGTGCAAGCTGCGATAAATTAAAGTGACCGTGTTGGCAGTGAGCTGGTTTAAGTGTCTAAAAAATGTAGAAAATAAGAAATGTGCGATTAAAGCACATCCCACCTATTTTTTTTCTTCCCCGTTTACATTTGCCTAGCATCCGACGACGACGCGGAGAACCTGCGCATCAAGGGCCCCAACGCCGTGCAGCTGCTCAAGACGACGCCGCTGAAGCCGGCGGCGCAGCCCGTGATCTCGGAGCCAATCCGCGAGGTCGTGCACGACCTGCTCAATGCGCTCGCCAAGTACCACGCCTCCGAGGACGGTAAGCCGCTAGGTAACCTACCTCCCACACACCGACCACTTCTCGCTCACCTCCAACCCCTGTCCCCCCTGCAACTTTAAATACCGTTTTTTTATAACACTTTCCAACTAAGAATAAGCATTAGTTGTTTCCATCCGTTTATGATAGGGTGTGGGGGGCGGTCACGATAGCGCTCGTAAAGATGATGCATTATTACCAAAACTGGAGCGTGGAATTGTGTTGCTATTAATTGATCAAAGGGTTGCCCCTCCATCACAACCCCCCGCTTTCTTGCACCCATCTGCTTCTCAAGAGTTGAAAGCATTATACAGTCGCTCTGTCTGTCTGCTCGGAGGGGCAGCAGGGATGAAGGGAGATAATGCAGTTTTACAACAAAGTAAATGCTTTTAGCACTGGATTTGTTGAGCCAATTTTTGTACAACCCTTTTATTAGTTTGTACAGTTTTCTGTAGGGGATGTCCCCAGTAGCAACACAACATTATACCAAAATTATGTTCCTATTGGACAATTCTTAAGAGAGTAATCGTGGACCCCCCCCCCCCGCCAATTACAGAGACAGAGCTAACGCACAAAAATTTTCACCAACTCTGCCGTTTTTTTCTTCTTTGGTTCTTTCGGTAAAGTCACGTAGAATGAAAGAACCAAAGAAGATGAATCCTTGCAGTCACGAAAGCTTTAAATCGAAATTCTGCCGTTTTTCCCATGTGAATGGTGCGCAGGCGAGAAGGGAGACGGCAAGGGGATGAGCGCCAGCCAGGAGCTGACTCAGCTCCTTCAGGATCTGGGCGATGATATCTACCAGCAATACCGCGCTCTCACACAGCAGGGCGGCCCCGGCGTTCCCGAGTTCGAGACGCAGCCCTCCTTCGCCATCACCGTGCCGGTAACGCCGGCCCTCCTCACCTCAACCCCAAGCCCTCGAATTATTAAAATTAATCACTTATTTATTTAGCACACTTTTCATCGATAAAGGCATCTCATACATGCGAAAAAGTGCATTGAGACGCAGTTAAGCTTTCCTGGATAGATAAAATATTATTTAATATTATAAAAATTACGCTTAAACTGTGCCTTGCATCTGTAGCCTCCTACCCCCTATGCCTCATCGTTGATCTCATCCCTCATCTTTTGCCTGGTGGTGGTGTTCGCTTGTGCCGCAGGCACCGGTGTTTGTGCCCGAAAGCGGTGCCGCAGACCCGAGCCAGCCAGGGACATCGCAAGTGGAAGGTGAGTTAGCGCGCAGAGAATCCTGAACCCTATTCGTAAAACCTAGCCGACTGCTGAAACGGATGTCTTAGAGCTATCAATTTACTGAAAGATGTTTGTCATTCCACGAACAAAAAGTATTACAAGTATGAGATGTGCACAAAAACATCAGCTAAAATTTAAGATTGGCCAAAATGCAAGTTTATTATTGAGCGGGCGTCCCCTAAATTTGAGAGTTGGAAAAAGCATTCGCGGATTACTTTGTGAGTTGCGATTGATTGCGCGAGACACCTATTGACAGACTTGTGAATGACCATATTTCTAAAATAATCGGACAATTTTTTTAACTTGGGAGAACCAAAATTAATACGAGGATGAGCCCCAGTGTAACATGGTAACCTGCCTGTACATACAGCCGCAGTTACTCGTAAGACACTCACCGAAGCTAGCACCTATAACACATCGGTGACGTGAAACTGTGACTTCCAGTGGTGGCTGTGGGAGAGGATAAGGATGCTAGCAAGGAGAAAGGAGACAAGGCGGCGGAGGATGGGAAGCCGAAGGGGAAGGCGGCAGCCGCAGCCGCCCCCCTCATCCCCAAGTCGGCCATCTTGCGGCTGCTAGCCGAGCTGGTGCGCTCCTACATCGGGTGTGCGTCGCTCATCGTCAGCTACGGCTTCACCACGGGACAATCGGAGCTCATCAAAGAGGTGAGGGGCCCAGCCTCTGGGATGAGGGTGTGAAATGATTGATGCCGCTAACTTTGTCACGATAGCTATCATAAACGATTATGCAATATAAAGGAGAATTTGATTCAAGGTTGTGTTGCCATTAGAGATTTACCCTAGAGAAAACTGGCAACATTGAACCAAAGGGTTGCCTAAAAGTTGGCAGTGGAAACACGTATTTGGCAAGGGTGATGACATCGCACGTGTGCACGCCTCACCTCTCCCCTTGAAGCCATTACATGTGACTCAGCGGGATGACATCATGCAGAATGACTTCATCTTGTCATGTCACACGTCATTCTACTGGATATCTGTGAAAACGAGCTTTGAAGCTAATCGGATTCCTCCAGTATAAATAAATATTTTGATTCAGATTCATTTGCTTTTTGAAAATCTCATCGTCTCCAAAGGTGACGTCATCGCTAATTTAATACTTCGGAGGACAAACATTGAAAAGCGCAACAGAATCCTTGCTGCCTTGTGGCCGCCTGTAATGTCGCCCTAATACTTGCACCAGATCTCACCCCTGCATGACCGTGAGTCGGCGCTCGCTCCACAGTCGCCACACTCGGACACTAACCGCCACATGCGCACGCTTTTTGCAGGACTGCAGCGTGCTGGCGTTCGTGCTGGACCAGCTGCTGCCCCAGACGCAGACGGCTGGAGACAAGGACTCGCCGGCTCTTGCCCGCCTCTTCCTGGCCAGCCTGGCTGCCGCCAACCAGTGCAGCGATGCGCAGTTGGCGCTCGTCACGGAGGTGAAGGCGGCGCTGGGACGAGCGCTCGCGCTGCCCGAGAGCGCGGAGAAACACGCGAGGTATGGAGCGCGTTGACGGAATGCACAACTCATTTTACATACTTCATGTACGGATCATCATTCTCCATGTCCAGTCCATGAACTCCCCCCCCCTCCGCCATCGCTTTTACTATAATCAATACGACAGCCACAGATTAGTTTTTTTTATTTGAAAAAATAGTTTCTGGGGCACATGCAACTAATGGCCAGCAACTAACATTTGCTTACGGTCATATATAAGATAAATTACCAGCAGAGAGCACTAATGAGGGCACAGCAGATACGCACTATCAAGCATCTTCAATTGAGCGAGTTTAGAGGAACTTGGGAAAGGAGATGATGGGAGGGATTTCCAAAGTAGAGCAGGCCGAGGGAAGGGGGAGAGAGGTAAACGTTGCATCCTGCAAAATTCGTGGTTGGAACGCAGTACATAAGAGTGGATTGGTCAGTCTGCTAGAAACACCTATCTGCTATCATGGAAACAATGACCATGATGGCAACTATACTAGAGTAAGAAAGAAGCGACTGAACGTCAGTGGTTAAGTAGAACCATTAAAGAGTGGGCAGCGCCAACCACAACCGAACTGTTTGCGCCCGCCACATCGCATTAAACGGGTTGCGTGTCTCGCTCGCGCGCGTCTTCAGGCTGCAGGCGGTGATGTGCATCATCAGCACCATCATGGAGTCGTGCCCGTCCAGCTCCAGCTTCTATAGCGGCCCCACCATCAAGTCGCAGCAGAACGGCGTCAACAACATCATCCGCCTCTTCCTCAAGAAGGGGCTGGTCAGCGACCTCGCAAGGGTGCCCCACAGCCTCGACCTGTCCAGGTAAACGCAACCCTGGTGGGCCGTACGCCGTGCGAAGGCCGGGAATCCGGGACAGTGGATGAGGTGTGGGCGCGAGGATGAGATGTGAACGCTGTAGCGTCACCTTAAAGTGACTTTGGGAGGAAGGCCGTGGAGGCATTAGGTGCGCCGGATGGTCATCTTGGGCTGGCTGATAAGGGCGATGGAGAGTTGCACAAGGGGGAACAATCTCTTGACACGTGCGTTTTACTAATTATATTGCCCTTTATATACCCGGGAAAGCCGAACTGCGTTTGGATACTCCTTATGAGGAGGATCCTGCGACCTTGGGATGTTCGATCTGTTCCACGAATGAGCGTTTGGCTGCATGTGGTGCAAACCCACCATGCATACAAGGGGGTATAAACGCCTACAACAGCTGATATTCCCACGCAGTCTCCCATCTAAGCACTAACCAGTCTTAGCCCCACTTAGCTTTCGACATCCGGCAGGGGTTTGACACATTCATGGTGATTTTAACACTTTGCTTAACTTAAATTTATTCCGTACACACGCGATTAGTTTGTGTGTATCCCGCACCTCCAATTAGCACTGTTGGCTACGTACGGTGCGAAAGAAGTTCAACATCCATACGTTTCTGCTGTGTAGGGAACCGGATTTGATTGACGGCATCCGAGCACGATATTTACGTACTTGTCTGGTTAAATCCTCGCAGTCCCAACATGGCGAACACAGTGAACGCGGCCCTGAAGCCGCTGGAGACGCTATCGCGCATCGTGAACCAGCCGAGTGGCCTGTTTGGCGGCAAGAGCGCCGGCGGCAAGGGCAAGACCGAAGCCGAAACCGGCGCCAACGCCTCCGACCCCAACAGCAACACGCAGGACGCCGGTAAGGGCCTCTCCACCACCGCCCCTCCCTCCTCCAAAGGTCAAAAATCTCCCGTATAGACTTTAACAGACTGTTGTTCCAATTGTTGTCTAGTTAATATGCAAGAATGTTTACATAAATTCCCACCCCCCCCCATATAGCCTTAATGGACCATTGGGGCAAGTGCTGTTAACGTGCACCTATGAAGGTCGACACGGTTGAGGTGGCCCGTACCACACCCAGCCACCCATGTCTTCCCCGTGGTGATATTTACACACCACACCCAGGTACTCATTGAAGGCTGATTCGACCTAAGGCAGACAGAGGACCAGTTCAGATATCACGCCCCACTTTTGTTTAATGTGGTTGTAAATCAATTTCAGGTCGCCGGGTTTCCACTTGTTTCCTGTGTTTCAAAGCAAGAGTTAATCCAGTAAAGCTTTCGTGACTGCATCAAAATACTCATTGGTTTTTTCGGTAAAGTCATGTATGTAGAAATACAATAAAATTATATTAAAACAAAAAACAATCACGACGTTTCAATCACAACGCAAGCGATCTTCATCAGGTGTCAAGAACAAATCACGGAGGTAAATACAACAAAAAGATGAGAGACGAGAATTCAACAAACCTGAAAAAACATTATGTGAAGCACATCCAGTCAGGCCAACAACACTTCAGAAATTCACTTCAGAAATTCGTGGTCCGCCAGGAAGTGTCTAACTGTGTTGTTGGCCTGACTGGATGTGCTTCACATAATGGTCTGCCAGGAAGTGTCTAACTGTGTTGTTGGCCTGACTGGATGTGCTTCACATAATGGTCCGCCAGGAAGTGTCTAACTGTGTTGTTGGCCTGACTGGATGTGCAAAAAACCCCCATTGTGTGCAGGAGGCGCGAGCGAGGTGGCGCAGGAGAACGTGCCGCCCGCGGCGGTGGCCGACGGAGACCTGATGGAGGGCGAGGCAGAGGGAGACGGAGTCGGCCTCCCCCACAGCCAGGGCTCCCTGCACCCAGAGGAGATGCAGGTGTGGGCACGCGCGTCACCCATACAGAGCCCCCCAGACCAGCAGTTCTCAACCTGTGGGCCGGGCTCCTTGGGGGTGGATGGGTCCGGGAGTGGAGTGTGGGGGTGGTCGGGAGTGGAGGGGGGGGTATCGCAAGGCTTTTAGGTGGAGGTGGGGGGGAGCGTAGGCTGCGGCACGGACACCGAGCAGGAGCATTATTGATTGTGTGCGGAGGATGTCAGCGCCATGCTTCTGGGACAAATTAATACACAATATAAAACACGTGTCTTTTTAATGCTGCGTTGACGAGAGACGTGGACATGTGATCTTTCTATTTTTTTCCTGAGTAATTTGGGGTGGGGGACACGAGGGCTGGGGGGTGAGGTAAAGGGTGCATGTCAGCCAGTGGTGGAGATTTTGGTGGTCACCAAACCCAAATGGTTAGGGACCACTACTGCCCTGTACTCTGCTCCACAGCTCTGCTGTGTATACAATACAATTCTGCTTTATGTAGCGTCTAAATGTGGTACATCAACGATACATCAAGATTCGCGGTGGAATAGGAGGAACACGCACATTAAGGGACCCAGCAGCAATTTAAGACACAGGCAGTGTAGGCCAGGAAGGTCTTTTCAAGCCTGGACTTGAACATTGGCAGCGAGTGGACAGCACGGATGGCTGGGGGAAGCGAGCTCCAGGCACTCCTGGGAAGTTTGATGCTAAAGCCAATAGCAAGCGGGCTAAACCCTCGTCCAGTTACGTGTGTAATATACGTTTTAAACACATGTTTTAGGCATTGGCATGGACACTTGTATCATAGCCGCCTAAGCCCCTCCCCAAACTTGGATTCCTGTACTCCAAGTTTCTCTTCGCTTTAAAAAGCGATGGAGCCGCAAGGCACAATCTCCTCCGCGATTGGCCGCGGGTGTTGCGGCGGTGGCGGCGGCGCAGCGTGACACGTGGTGTGGTGCAGCAGGTCGAGAACGAGCTGGAGGAGCTGATCGGGGAGCTCCTGGAGAGGGAGGACATGAACAACGTGACCGACATCCTGGCCGAGGCGTGCATCATCCACCGCGGTGAGACGCACGCTCACATCGCAGTGTGACGAAAACCTAGCGGAAATAAGGAAAAAGACCAAAACGACCAAAGATGTGGGGTGTTGGTTTGTCTTTGCCGGTACTTAATCATTTGTTTTCCGGGGCCTGCAGGTCAGTCGGACGCAAGTCACGCTGTGGAGGACGAGTCTCAGGAGGATGTGCTGATGGATGTGGCGCCCTCCAACCTCAGCCAGAGCCAAGCGCGTGCTGGAAACCGGGAAGGTACAATCTCCCGCTCACTCTGAATCTCCCCACCCCGCCGAGTCCTCACTGAGACGATGCGCCATCGTCTAACGTCACCCGCTCGAGCCCCGTCGATTTATGTCGTTTGTGTGCCCACCAGACCCTGAAGACGACGAACACACGCAGGAAGAGGAGGAGAGCAGCGGCAGTAATGAGGACGAGGACGACGACAGCCACGTGGGCGAGGAGGACGAAGAGGAGGATGATCAGGTGAGGTGACGTGGGCAGGCAGTTTTGTCGCATCAAATTCGTCTGGTGGAAAAGCTCAATCAGTCGGCGGCGAGACGGTGAAGCATTTGACGGCCTCCGCGCGTTTGTGCCGCAGGACGAGGAAGGAGACGAGGGTGAGGAAGAGGATGAGGAGGACGATGACGAGGAGGGCTCTGAGATGGAGCTGGACGAGGAGCTGCACGACGTCGACGAGTCGCTCTTCCGCTACGACCAGGACGACGACCTCATCATCGAGTTCGACACCATGTTCCCCACGAGCGGTAAGGCCCCAACGCTCGCGTCAACACCTGACGGGTGAGCCAGGGGTTGTTTTATTTTTATTACAACTCAACGAGAGCCCTGTACAAAGCGCCAATTACAACAGGGGGGGAACAAAAATTCCGCGAACAACAATAGCAGCCTGAATGTGGCGTGGCAGGGCTTAGTGAAGGGGGAGATTTGGGCTCGCTACCCCACCCAGATGGGGATGACAAACGAAGGCAATAATACATTTTGATTTAAAGCTGTCGTGACTGCAGGAATTCATATTCTTGTTTTTTTTGGTAAAGTCACGTAGAAGGGAAACAATAAAATAATAAAAATATAAAGCAATAAAAATTCTCACGACGTCTTGACTGCTACACAAGCAATCATTTGGTGGTTTTCTCACCTGATGATGATTGCTTGTGTTGCAGTCGAAACGTCGTGAGAATTTTATTGTTTTATATTTGTATCCTTTTATTGTTTCCCTTCTACGTGACTACCGAAAAAAACAAGAATATGAAGGCAATGATAGTTTATATGAGAGGGGGGGAAAGATAACGAACACAAAAAAGGGGGTCAGGAGGGGGGTGGGGGGGAGCCAGGGGTTGTTTCACACCGGCGCACAGATTGCCAACCGCCGGCTCTCAACCCGTTCCTCCCTTCCGCAGCCGACATCCCGCCGGCGCCAGGCACGGTGCCGTCCTCCCACCCGCTGCTGACACGGCAGTCTGACCACGGGGCGCTGGGCGTGGGAGCGCCGGGCTCGTCGCGCCTCGTGGGCACGGCGGCCGTGAGCCGCAACACGCGCGGCGCGCGCTCCTTCACCAGCTCTGCCGGGCACACCATCCACGTGCACTATCCGGGCAACCGGCAGCCCAACGCGCCGCTCATCCTGCAGAGGTGCGGCGCTCGCGCATGCACACGCATGTGGCTTGCTGGTACCCCGCGAAGCGTCACGAGTGGGTCTTTTCCAGTTAGCCGTGATTACCTGAAGACTGCTATGAAATGAATGCGCGCGAGATCTATAAGTCGCCGTTATTACCGAAAAGACGCCGCCTGGAGGAGGTTTAATCCTCATGCGCATGATCAGTAAGGATTCGTGAAATAGAAACTATTTTGGTCACCAAGATCACGATCAATCAATTGCTCTGAAGTTGAAATCTCGTGGTTTATTTTTGTGATGATAAACAAGACGCGCTAACTTGCACGTTTATGTGTGCATGCGTGTGTGGAGCACAAGCGCAGTGGAACGCACACTGCACTACAAACCCCAGCAGTGACGCGAGTGTGGTTCCCGGCCATAGTCAACGTCAGTGGCGAATATCTCGAACCATTCCCTGGCCTCTGCTAGTTCCACTCGTCGAGTGTGTAAAGATCAGCACTGGAGAGGCAAAGGCGGCCCGCACCACTTCCTTGAGTGCCGTGGCGGCCTTCACAGGCGCTCGCCAACAGTCTGCACGACTAGCACGGGGGGGTGGGTGATGGTGTTTTATCGTTGCCGTTTTGTGTGGGGCGGCAGGCTGCTGGGCCCATCGGCGGCGGCCGACATCCTGCAGCTGAGCAGCAGCCTCCCCGTGCAGGGCCGCGGGCGCACACGCCTCCTCGTCGGCAACGACGACGTGCACATCATCTCGCACAACGAGGACGACCTCCTCGAAGACTTCTTCCACGAGCAGACCACCAACGCCAGCCAGTCCGGCCCATCCTCCTGTAATTGTCAAGCTCATCGTCACTTCCCCCCCCCTCTGCCTCAGTCTCCTTTGTCTTCATGACCAGTTGGGGGGGGGGAGGTCTCTTGCTCCTGCCGTTGTATTATTGGTGCTGTCCGGGTTCTGTTTTTTGTGATCTTCTTAGATCTTTGGTCACTTTGCAACTGTGAGTCTAGCACCTGCACATGATTTAATTATATCACTCCCTTTCCATGTTGAACTTCTTTCGCACCGTACACAGCCAACCGTGCTAATTGGAGTTGCGGGGGAAGGACAACAAACGAAACACAAAAAGCAGTTATAAAGAAATTCGTTTTCAATCTTGATATAAAAGTACATCGCTCCAGTGGTTTCTTAATATCGGAAGGAAGAGCGTTCCAGATGGCCACAGAAGCGCATCTGAAAGTGCGCTATGTGGTGACCGTCTTTGTTCAATGGCCAGCCAAAAGCCGCTGGTGTGTGTTGGCTGCCACGCTGGCTGTAGTTATTTGTGGTCACCGGCCAGACAATCCCTTCTCGCGACCCGTCCTGCTCAAAAGGCCACTTTCATAAACAGTCATGTGTCTAACTTGCTTTTATTCTCCAATCCATGTGCAACTTCCCCTCTGCAATTCTATGCATGCACCTCATTGCTCATTTGCACACTCTTCAAATTGTTCCATTTTTCTCTTCCAATGCCCATGTCCATTCATGAAAGTAACTGAAATGTTTGTAAAAAAAAATTATGTGGCGGTTAAACAAGGGCCATCCCTATGATGACAAAAGATCTGGCGCTTTATTGACGCGTGGATTTGAGGAATGACCTCTGGCGGCAGGGATGAAGACCGGCCGTGTCTTCCGCTCACCTTGCGCGCATTTCGCTGCAGGTACACTGTCGAGCATCCCCACGGCGCTGGCTCGCTGGACAGAGGAGTGCCGCGTCCTGGACGGGGAAAGCACGCACGGCTGCGTCGCAGGTAACCAGCAAAGCTAGCAACGATTACTTCACCCAGGAATTATAATCGATTCCGATTCCATCAATTAGGCCTTTTAATTGATTCTCATTTTTTTGTATAGTGGTTGATTATAATTTTTTTCGATTGTTGTTTTTGATGAACGTTCCCACCGTCAACATCGGTGCCAGGTATTTGAACTGGTTCTGGGCCCCTCCATCGGTTGATTTGGCCTTAAAAACGAGTACCTAGTGTGTAGTGCAATAAACATCAGCCCTGGTTAGACGGAGGCATCCGAGCTCAAATTGGCCACACCACATCAGCATTCTGTGCAGGCGATTGTAAAGGATGTTTGTGGATGTCTTTGGGTACATTTGTGCATTACGAGTGGCAGTTACACACCACAGTGTGTGTGTGTGCGAAAGTGTGCGAGCCTGCATGTGTGTGTGTCTGGGGAGCGGTAGTGTAGCGGCTAGCCCACTGCTACGAACTCATAGCACTTGCCCCAAAAGGCTCGTGATGGCTACATGGTGGGCGGGGCTCTTTGTGTTTTGTAGTGGTGAAGCTGCCAATCATCCAGCACCTGGAGGCCCTGCGTGACGAGGAGCTGGAGGAGAGGAGGGAGAAGCGGAGGCGGCAGCAGGCCGAAGAGGAGGCCAAGAAGGCCGACGTCAGGGCCAAGGAGGACCGTGAAAAGGAGGCCTCGCAGGTACTCGCGGCTGCCTGGGTTCATTAAAGTCTGCACAGATAGGATCATCAACCCATTGACTGCACTGCCATTGTATCGAGAGTGCTGAATTACATGTGTGTGACCGTATATGGGCTGGTGCCCTACTGGTGAGAATTCAGTGCAATCACAGTAATGTTTTGTTCAATAATTTTTATCTCTAAGATAATACATTCTGGTAATTATTTTTTTTGCAGGGCAGTGAAGTTGCCGTGTCTTCAAGCTCCGTATCCACAGGTGCGTTGTAGTTTGGCTTCTCATTACTCAGTCTGAGTGTGGGGATTAACATCGGTGATTCCATGTGCTCGGTTGTCTGCTTCTCCATCCGTCAGATTGTCCATAAGTTTATTTGGCATGCAGTATCCCTTCAACGTTTTGGCCACTTTGTAGAATGCTGAGCTGGGAGTACAAATGTCAGCCATGTGGGTGATTGCTACAAGTCATGGAAATGCAGTTGTGAAGGCAACAGCATATGTTGCCTGCACTTTGGTCACACAGAACAAGGGCCCAATTTTAAATGTTGCAGAAATGTACTCCCATTCGCCCATCGTCCTTGTAATTCACTTAAAATTTACATTGATAACGAAAATAATTGCCTCTTTGTTATACAGACATACTGTCATTAGCTGGTTTTGTAGAAAACAAATATTACTCAAGGTCTTTCGACTCGACATTTTAATTAATTTATGGCATTTTTTTTGTTTGTTGATGCTCGACGCTTATGCCTGCAAAGGCCTGTGTTGCGAAACGAGTGTCCGCCTGCCACGTGCGCCTACCGCGCGGACGAAGAGGAGCGATGAGTGCGCCCTGGGATGAGGTAGTAGGTTGTATAGTTTCAGGGTCACACCCAAACTGGGAGTTAACTGTACAATCTACTCTCTTTCCCAAGGCGGCACGCTGTCTGCCGGCTCTCCCTTCAAACCCTCGCCTGCGCCGGTCTCGCCCGCTTGCGTGTCGTGTCGCTGTGGTCGCGTTGCACTGGGCCGGAACGCGACGTACTGCCTGCGCTGTTTCACTAAACTCAGCGATGTGTGGTTGCGGTGGGGGGGGGGGTGGGCGGAGGGTTCTTTTTAGCAGCAGCAAACGGCTGTTTGCGATGCGCGGTGGGTCGCGTGCCCGCGCTGTAGAATCCGGACACCGGAGTTTGATTCCCGGCGAGTGATTATCTGGACCAGTCCTTTTTTCCCCCCATTCCCCCTGCACAAACCTGCACTGACCAGTGTGGTGAAGTATGGCCAAACAACCCCCATGACAAACTTCCCAACACGTGGGGAGGCCTTCATCCAGCAGTGAATTGATAAAGGCTTTAAATTGTTATAATTTGTATCTGCAGCATGGCCTGTGTCGTTAAGTTAACGATGTGCCACAATATTGGTATTGGTCGACATCCATAAGCAAAGTATTGTCTGGCAACAGTTTGGACCAGAGCAGTTGTATTTGTTGACCCCGTCTGTAGTAATCTTTAGAAGCCAAGCAAGTGTAGAACCATTTTCAAAGCCAGTAACAGACATCTGTTATTCCGAGCTAATACCACACTGAGAAATGCCACAAGGAGCCGTGATAGTATTTTCCACACTAAAACAGAGGTTTTCCTGGATCTTAACAGCTTTGTAAAGTTTTTGAAGCTATACGCTAATTGAAGCGTTTTATCAGCTCCCAGGGTCCGGTCCCCCCACATCTTTAACCACTCTTCAACTCTGACCATCAGAGCCATCTCATTACTAAGCGTGCTCCCGAAGACATGGGAAGAGATACTGACCCAGACAAAGACACAGGAGACAAATATCCAGATGGAAAGAGAAAGGAAATAGACCCAGAACGGTAAGAGGACAGTTGGACACCAGACCCACACAATAGGATAGAGAGGAACACATGTAAAATGACAGTCACAGAGACATGGAGTGAGACGAAGTGGACATATACATTGAGAGACACACCCAGACAATGAAAGACACATGGAAAAAACGCATTCGTAGACATTATCGGTGACACAGTACGAGACACGGAGATACGCATAGGGAGACTCTTAGCAGACAGCATTTTGTCCACCCCCTGCCAACCCGAGAACAACCCTTACACCTGCACATCCTGCACACACTGCTGACTGTGTTGAGCGTGCGCCCTAGGAGAGGAACGCAGCTTTGAGCGGGAGCTGCCTTGCGTCTTTGTTGCGGGCGAGTTTAAAGCCGCCCCCCCCCCCGACCTCCCTCCACCCTGCTAGCCGTGCGAAAGCGCAGGGTGAGGTAGTAGGTTTTGTAGTTCTGCGGGCAGAGATTTTGCCCAGCGAGTGGAGATGAACTATATAATCTACTGCCTTGCCCGGAGCCTCGCCTGTGTCATCCCAGAAGCTGCTCTCTGTCCCACTCTTCTCTTCTTGTGGCCCCCCTACCCGTAGTTCATACCCCCCACGCTCTGGGGATTAGCTGCTCGGTCACCGTGCTGAGCCGTATGTTTATGAGCTCTCCGTACAAAAAAATCCACCGATAAATACAAGGTTCACTGATAAATTCCTGTTTCCCAAAATCCATGGCTGAGCGGTGGACGCGGTGGTTGGCATTCTCTGCTGTGAACCCCGCGACCCGAGTTTGATTCGCAGCCACGGTTAACATCAGTGGTGAGTGAATATCTGATATCTGAACAGGTCCAGCATCTAACTCCCTAACAGAGCCCCGCACCCATTAATTTGGCTGTCACCAAATATGGTCTTCAGTGTGAGGCCGTGTGTTGAGCAATTTCTTCACTCGAGCATTCACCACGCACAACTGTGCACATCTTCAGAAGCTGGGAAGAGCGCACACCTTGTATCACGAAAGCCTCCTACTCCGCGCCAGTTAGCTTAGCTCGTGGGTGTTGCTCACTAATGGCGCGTGCGTGGCTGCCGGTGCGCGCAGTCTCCAGCCTCGCCAGCACCGTCTCGGCCGCGGCCGACGCCATCAGCAGCATGGCCGCCTCCATCGCCGAGGCAGCCATGCAGGCGATCAACACACAGAACGAGGCTCGCGGTGAGTGAGACCTCCACAGAGCCCCCCACCGCTCACTCGTTCTCTCCCTCTCAGCGTGTCTTCTCCCATATCTCGTGCCGTACGTTTATCCAGGAGAGCCTCACTGACTCTATTGCCCTATAAAGTTTGGGCCCTCATTATCATCAGTCATGATCAATCCACTGCTGGATGAATGCCTCCCCCCCCCCCCCAATCCACATGCAAATCGTTTCATGCCCAGTGATTAGGATGATTGAGTGGGTCCACAGTTTACCCCTCCATTCATTCTCGGTTGTTGTTGCGGTGCTGTGCCCGAGGTGGGGCGTTGGGTGGCGGCAGTACGGACTTCGTGGGACCGCTTTTTGATGCATGTGGGTGTGTGAAGAGCGTCACTGTTCGCCCTATATCGGTCCCATTCACGAAGCGGTACTGGATGTGATTACTCGGGGTGGCTGAAGTGGAAGGTGGAAGCTAACACGGACTGTGTAGCACACTGCGGTTATAGAAAAACTAACTTTTTTATTTTACCAAGTAAGGCCCACTGAGCTATATAGCTCAGTGGACCTGGCCACAAATGATAGCTCAACGAAGTGGCTTATCACGTGGAAATTCATAGCAGCCAAATACTCTAAACAAGTGTTTCTAAATGTGAAGGGAAAACCCGGAGGACCCTGAGAAAATTCACACGACCACGGGGAGAACATGCAAACTCTAAATATACAGGTGTCAGGATTGGGATCAAATCCACGACCTCCTTGATACCAGGCGAGGTATTGACTGACCAAGACGTGTGGGTCCGTGCATGCGCAGCCGGACGGCGCACCGACGGCGTTCCTGAAGACTCTTCTTCGGAAGGTGACCCCTCGGGCTCTGCGTCCAGCGATTCCACGGCGGCGCTGTCCGAGGTGCTGGCTCCTCTCACCCCAGAAGGCGCCGTGCTGCCAGTGCCGCTGCCTGCCGTACAGCAGCAGCCGATCCCACCTCTTGCGCCCACGCAGCAGCCCGTTGACCTCGCCACTGCCACCTCCGACCTGGCCGGCGCTGCCTCCACCAACCTTCCCGTCGCCACCTCTGACCTCCCGGGTCTGACATCCGACGGGCAGCAAATGGAGACCTCTCCTGCGCACACGATATGTGAGTCGTGCACGAGCGCCATGGGGATGTGGTTTCAGCTCACGACTGATGACAGCCGTGCATTTGTCAGCATCGTGGCGCATTGCACCAACCACCGCACCATCTCTCCTCCCCCGATTAGCGCGGTTGGCTACGTACGGTGCGACAAGTTCTCCACACACGATGTGCGTACGGTCTAAATCGCCTCGTCTCTTTCTGTTTGATGCGTGTATCGCAAGTGCAAGGACACGTTTTAATCGGTGCATTGTCGCATGCGCCTGCTAAGCAGCGCTCCGCTTGCGCCCCGCACGTCCCGCCGCCCGTGCAGCTTCGCAGGCGTCCGAGCGCACGGAGGCTTCGGACGCGCTCACGGGCGTGAGCAGCCAGCTGGAGGGCGGCTCCCCCATGGAAGTGAGCAGCCCAGCATCCGTCGGGGCCGGCGGCGGCGCCGACGATGGCAGCGCCGATGGGCAGGACGGCCCGGCGGTGGTGACGGTGGGGGCGGCCACGCGCAGGGCACGTGCCAGCGATGGGGCTGGGCGAGGCGGAGAAGGAGCCGGCACGGAGGAGACGGGCCAGGGGTCGGCCGAACGGTAACTGACCGTACCACCACCAACCTCCCCCCCCCCCCCCCTCTTTGTGTGTGTGTGTACTTATAACGGTGGTGGCACAGGAGGTGTTTGTGGCTAGTGCCCCCAATAACTTGGTAGACTTTGGAGGCTAATGGCCAGTAAAATAACCCTGCTGAATGTCGCTGTGGATAGTTAGGGAGGGTCTGAAGAATTGCCTTATTGTAACAGATTAAAGCCTGCATTGTTAACACATATTTTACTTGGAAAATCAGGAGTTACAATTGTTTTGTAATATCACGAATGTGTAGTGTGCTGTAAATTTTCATGGCAAAGAAAATGGCCATTATGGGGATTCAAACTCGTATCCTTTACACAGTGAATCAAGCCTCCCCGTGTCCTCTCCCCTTGGTGGCTTCAGCACCTCCACACAAGACGCAGCTTCGTGCCTGCTGAACCTTCGTGGGGGTCACCCCTAATTATGAAGTACTGTCCACTAAAGCTACAAAACGTTTTTATTTTTTACCCGTCGATGCGGTTTGTGTGCTCCGCGTGCGCGACTCAAGCTCTGAAGATCAGCCACCATCTGGCGGAGAGTCCGGAACACCGGGCGATGCAACCCCACAGGACACCCCACCGACCTCCAGCGAAGATCCCCTTGCCGGTACCGCTCGCACCCCCAACCCACATCCCAAATCAACCCCCAAACCTATCCCCAAACCCACTTGGCTCTTGACGGGTTGCTAGCTGCACCCAGTCAGGTCACAGACAATGTGTGAGCTCGTCACGTCCATTTCTTCATGAGCTATGAAAGCCATTGAAATGAGTTGTCAGGTAGAATGGTCCTATGTTATATATTTTAACTTAGAAAATATTTTAGGTTTTCCATCATCAGGTGCCACCCATAAATTAAATCTCTAATCTGGACGCATGCTTTTTACAATTAATGCCATTTACTCATCTTGGTAAGTCTCAGTGAGTCGCAAGACTTTTTCAGGAGGCCACCTGCAATTGGGCCATTCGGACCGATTCATTTTCTTGTCATGGTTATGCGCGTGGAAGGAAACCGGAGCGCCCCGATAAAACCCACGCGTATATATGGGGCGGGGAAGCGCACAACGCCGCCAACTCCTTGTGGCCACGCTGGCCCGCTCAAGTGAGCTCCACCGCACGCCACCCACGCTCTGCTCCGTTGGCGTCGCCAGGAATCAGTCTCCCCGAGGGCGTGGACCCGTCGTTCCTCGCAGCGCTGCCGGAGGACATCCGCCAGGAGGTGCTGCAGAACCAGCTGGGAATCCGTCCGCCCTCGCGCCCGCCCGGCGGCGCCGGCCCCTCCTCCGCTGTGGCCACCGCTGCCGTTCCCTCCTCAACCGCCACCACGACCCAGCAGGGGGTCACCGAGGTCAACCCAGAGTTCCTAGCCGCACTGCCGCCCTCCATCCAGGAAGAGGTGGGTGTGAAGCTGCTTGAAGCCTAGTGCGGTGGTGTTATATAAGCAGCCTTCATTTTTTTTGTACTGTCTTTTGTGCACTGTCGTGTCTTATTGTACTCTCCTGTATGTACTACTGTGTTTGTCTTTAGTTTGTTTTGTGCCAAATCATATGCCTAATTTTGACCTTCGCCTTAAGTTCTGAAAAATTTCCTGGTGCCGTTTTGGAATATTGTTATCACCAGCATAAATTTTACTTGAAATTTTAATGATCAATTGAGCAAACGACTGTATCAATCATTTTTCATCGGTGTTCCAGCCCTGCCAGACATCCAGAGAGCGAGTGTTGTGGCAGTATTTAAGCATCCACATGCGACCGGCACCGTCTCGTTAACCCAGGTGCTGGCGCAGCAGCGCGCGGAGCAGCAGCGGCGCGAGATGGCCGCCAACCCCAACCCGGAAGCACCAGTCGACCCCGTGACCTTCATCCAGACGCTGCCGTCGGCACTGCGTCAGAGCGTGCTGGCCGACATGGACGACAGCGTGCTCGCCGTGCTGCCGCCCGACATCGCCGCCGAGGCGCAGGCGCTGCGTCGAGAGCTGGAGGCCCGGCACCGGCAGCTCATGCAGGAGCGGCTCTTCTCGCACAGCAACTCGTCGGCGCTCTCCGCCATCCTGCGCAGCACCGGTGAGCGGGGCGGGGGGTGGGCAGTCGACGAGTCGGCATTGCACCGCTCGGTTTCGTGATTCGTTGCCGCTAGCTCATACGTAGCCAACCTTGGTAATCGGAGGAGCGGGGGAAGAACAACAAACTTAACACAAAGCGGTTCTAAAAAAAAAAAAGCATTTGTGATCACTGCTGCTCTTGCATTGCGAATGGCAGTCGTCAACAGATGGAACTCTTGACCAGTTGCTCTAGCTGAACGCGCGTGGAGCGTGTGTCGATGATCGCCTATGAAAACAATGTTTAAAATTCGGCTTGCTCTGTGCCTCCCTTCCCATTGTCCACACCACAGGGCTGACAGGAAGGCTCAGCGGCAGCCGCGGGGTGCAGTACACGCGCCTCACAATGACCCGCGGAGGTGGATTCCAGTGGGGCAACAGCAACCAGGCCAGGTGGGTGGTACCTCAAGCCTATCCCCCACACCTCATTGTCGTTTCGTCGTAATTACCTTCCCGATGCACCATGCAATACAGAGGCATCAATGCAGGTGTCAGCCGTCAGCGTGGGTAGCGTTGTGTGTGTTAGAACACATTGAGAAAATGAACATGGAGAGAGAATGCATTTAATATGACTATCAACGGCAGTTGTCTATCCACTGCTTGATGAAGACTTTGTTTTCTACCTCACCAGTCTCGTCCATTGGCTATCATCCTTTCTAGCCATGATGTGGTCTACCCAAGCCCACTTTATGTTCCTTAATAATGTTTTTATTTTTTGCATGAGTTCCCCGATCCGTGCGTTCCGCTATCCATCTCTGGGTGTAACGGCTTGCTTAATTTGAATGTGAGCTGAAATAAACACAAAGGGCTCCTCCGGCACGCATGTTGCGGCAACAACGCTGGACCCGACCAACCGTTAACTTTGCAATCCTCGTTGGCGAAACAGAACGACAGCTGCCAACACCACGGACAGCTGGCTACGCCTGCGCGGGCGCCAGCTCCTGGATCACGAGGCGCTGTCCTGCCTGCTGGTGCTGCTCTTTGTGGACGAGCCCAAGCTGAACACGAGCCGCCTGCACCGCGTGCTGCGCAACCTGTGCTATCACACGCCGACACGTGGATGGGTCATCCGCAGCCTGCTCTCCATCCTGCAGCGCAGTAGCGAGAGCGAACTCTGTCTCGAGGGTCCCAGGTGCTGCCCCATTGCTGCCATGATCACTATCGCTTGCGCCCGTCACCACCAGCACCACCGTCTTCGCCACCACTGAACATCGCCCCCGTTGTGTTGAGCTCTGCCGCAATGTTGCCACCTACGGTTCTGTCGCTGTCTCCGCTGTCTTCACAGCCACCAACCATTACCGCTGCTATCTTCACCATTTTCACTTTCAACCAACAACACCCCCAGCAGTCCTGCCACCACCACCGCCACCACAGCCTTCACTCACGCCACTGCCGTCACCACCGTGGCAGACATCGCCATCATTACAACTGCCACTACAAACCACCACTGTTGCCACCATCACAACTACCGTCACTCAGCGCAGTGCCCTGCACGATGTGCTTAATTCCCCACCGTGTCTGACGGCACAGGCAATCGTCTGACGAGAAGGGCAAGCGCAAGTTGAGTTCGACGCACGACACGCTGGAGGGCCGCGGCACGATCTCGGCCTCCACCGGTCAGCTCTCGTGGCTCTCAGTCTCCATGGACGCCGCCCTCGGCTGCCGCACCAACATCTTCCAGATCCAGCGTGGCAGCGCCAGCTCTGGGAGCAGCGGGGCATCGCAGGGCGCCGGCAGCGTGTGCGTCACGCCCAGCTGCGCCGGAAGCGGAGGAGGCGGCGGAGGAGGAGGAGGCGGCGGCGGTAGCGGCACCACGACGATCAATGCGGCGCCAGGCACGCCGGGCGCCGGGGGGAGGAAGCACTCGGACCGGCACAGCGCCGGCTGCGGCACAGCGGTGCACATCCACCCACAGGCGGCGCCGGTCGTGTGCCGTCACGTCCTCGACACGCTGGTGCAGCTCGCCAAGGTAAGCACCGCATGGCTATCTTGCCATGTATAATATGCGTACATTATATGCTCATGATTAGATACTTGTGTTGTCATGGTAAAACATTTATTAATCTACGAATCGTTGCATCCCTTCCGCATTAGCCTTGCCGTTCTCGTTTGTCCTGCCTTGTATGATCTATGGGGCCTATTGAAGTAAATTAGGCCAATTGAAATAACTTCAGAAGCAGTTCTGTAATAAATTTTCAATGACGCAAGGTATTTCCCCGCTCGCTGTGCGATTCGCAGGTCTTCCCGGGCCACTTCACGCAGATAAAGCCTCGCGAGGGCTTCGCCACCGGTGACGACAAATCCTCCAAACTCACCATCTGGGGCATCGGCAGCGGCGCCACGCCCGGCGGTCTGTCGGGCACGCTGGTCTCCCCGTCAAACGCCTCCTTGGGGTCCTCGGCCTCCGCGGCGGCGGCGACGGCCGCCTCCCCGTTCGCGTATCTCCCCGCCAGCATCTCCACCGACTTCTGGGACCTGCTGGTGAAGCTGGACAACATGAACGTGAGCCGCAAGGGCAAGGCGTCAGTACGGGCGCTGCCGGCCGGTGTGTCCGAGTCGGAGTCGGGGCAGAGCAGCCTGGAGTCATCCCCGCTGGGCCAGCTGCTCAACATGCTGGCACACGGCACCATCCGTCGCAGCTCCCTGCTCACCGAGAAGCTGCTGCGGCTGCTATCGCTCGTGTCCATCGCGCTGCCCGACGGCACCGGCGCCAAGGCCACGGAGGTTCCCACGCCGCACGTGGTGCCGGCCAGCACGGGTGAGGGGCGCCAGCGCGAGCAGTGGGAAAATATAGAGCAGTCTAAGTATTTGTTCTAATTTTGCTTAGGTTTTTTTTGCACTTTTGAATCTCCCAATCTCGTTCAAATTGCGCTACAGCATTACTTGGTGTCGTCGGTGGATTTTGTAGAATACATTCTGAAGTAAAATCTTGACTTAAAGCTTTCGTGACTGCAGGAATTCATATTCTTTGGATCTGAATATTCTGAAGTCACTTAAATGAAAGTATTTTCTGCACCTTTTTTTATAAACCAGGTTTTGAGCATTTGTAAATTAATTGAAAATATTCTAGGAGCTGGAATCAACCAAATGAAGTAAGAACCATATTTTTATTGCCAGCCGTTGGTGACCAGACCAAGAGCATCAACTTCCTGAGATACCAGTTGAATCGCGGATGCCTAAGACCCAGACTCAGGCCCAAGTTGAGCCCCCTTTGCCCACTCACAACCGTCTCCCATGTTTTTTTGTTCCGAAGGCACGTCGGCAAGCACGGGCGCCAGCAGCAAGCAGACCGATGCCGGCACGGATGTCGCGTCGCCGGCGGTGGCTTTAGACTGCACCGTGGCTCACGTCGGCCTCACCGAGAAACAGCTGCAGCTTGCCGTCGATGTGAGCGTCTGGTCCCCTTCTTTACCCCTCTTGTGTCCCCCTCTTGGAATGTGAAGATCCAATCTTCTCAGCTACCTTTGCCTGGTCCCAATTCACCTGTTAGAAGAGATTATACAAACGAAAACGTATACACTCCGTTGCAGGCAGTAACGTGCACTGCAAATGGCACGGGCGTTATACACGAGACAGTCCGGTACAAATGAGAGCGTACAGAATCACACGGCACCAGTATAATGATCTATTATTGATTCCACTCGAACTTGTACCCCGACTCGCGACAAGGAGAGAATGGCGCTCGTCATTCATACCTCCTTTATTCAACCAAAACCTTGCATCTTCACGACTTGTGTGTCGGTTTATGCAAGCTAACGTCTGGCTCTCGTCGTGTTTATATTCGTCAACTCGGGTCATTAATTTGTTTGCGTGTCACCCGGGCCGCAGGTTTTGACATCACACTCCTGCTCGGAGGAGGGCCTGGAGGACGCGGCGAATCTGCTGCTGCAGCTGTCACGCGGGGACGGCCCCACGCGGGACTCGGTGCTGCGCCTGCTGCTGTTTGGCGCGCGCCACCTCGGGCACACCATCTGCCAGCAGATCGGTGCGGCCCACAGCTCTCCGCCGCCATGCCACCACCACCACCACCACCACAGAATCTTACCCAGCCACTCCAACTCGCCAAACTTAACACCACATGCCAACAAACTACCCACAATCCCCACCACACTTCCCACTCAAACGCCTCCACCACACTCCTCACCCCACCACTACTCTTCCCACCCAGCGACCCCACCCCACCACCACAACCTCGCTCCCCACCCAACCACCACGTTTCCCACCCAACCAGCTTCACCACACTTCCCACCCAACCACCGCCACGCTTTCCACCCCACCACTACGTTTCCCATCCACCCAACCACTTCCCACTCAACCACCTCCACCATGCTTCCCACCCAACTACCACGCTTCCCACCCAACCACCACCACGTTGCCCACCCAACCACCTCCACCACGCTTCCCACCCAACTACTACGCTTCACACCGAACCACCGTGGTGGTGCTTCCCACCGAACCACCACTACCACCACGCTGCCCACCCCACCACCTCCACCGCGAACCTCGCCGCACCCGCAATGACCCTGGCTGTGGTTGCCCCCCACCCACCTCTCTCCCCGCGCCGTGGGGCAGGCATGCTGCTGGCCGAGTTGCGCGAGTACAACCTGGAAGCGGCGCGCAAGCAGCTGGAGGAGTCGGGACCCCCCGAGGCGACGAGCACGGAGGAGCACCCCCACGCCGCCCGCATGAAGGGGCTCATGATGAGCAGGTGCGCCCTCTGCCTTGGCTCGTCGACTTTGTGTCCGTGGCACTTATCGGTCATTTGGCTTGTAACTACGTGGTTCGTGGTAGCTGTTTGGTTCGTTTGTCATGTCCGTTTTTGGTCTGTCATCTTGTTCCTTGTTTTATTCCGAACGGTCACGCGTGTCCGTGTGGTCGTTTGTCGTGTTCGTTCAACCCACCTTGCGCAAGCGCTACCGTTAACAATTATTAAACATTTCCAAGGACGATCGTACATGCATGTGCCTCTGATTCACGCAATTGGCTACGTACGGTGCGAACAAAGCTCTACATACGCACATCATAAATAATGGGTGGGCTTACCTTGGACATTTTCACGTGCACAGGGTACCTAGAAAACATCAGGATATTAACGCAAATCATCTCGAATAGGCCACACCTGTACAGACTGCTCGGCAAAACGATTTAAATCTGCCACCCCTTACAGAAGGCGGGGGCGGGGGAGGGTGTCGGGGCGCGAGGTGGTTAGACGACAGAAATGGTGTCGCGGTGTGCGCGCGGCTCTGACCGTAACATGGAGCGCGGCGGCGGCGTCATCCCGCCCCTCGGCAGGTTCGACATGTCGGAGAGCGTGGTGATCGTGGCCGGCAACAAGCGGTCGCTGGCGGGACGTGAACTCCAGCTGCCCTCCATGTCCCTGCTCACGTCCAAGACGTCGAGCCAGAAGTTCTTCCTGCGCATCCTGCAGGTCATCATACAGCTCCGCGACGCCGCGCGGCGCGCGCACAAAAAGGCCAAGCAGAGCATCCGGCAGAGTGAGTGGCTGCGACGGCCGAATGACGGCCTGGCTGCGCGTGGCCGCGTCGTCGTTTGGCTGCCGTGGCTGTTAACGGTTTGCACGCTGGGCTTGCAATCCAGAGGTTGGCCGGCTTGGTTTTATCTTGCCGTCCAGCGCAGGAGTTGAATCAATGGGTAACTTTCTAAATGCTCCCACCCCCCCCCCCCTGCCTCTGGCCCACCCATCAATACACCAAATTGTTAGGTGGGCAGGTCATTCTAGATTGCGATGTCATGTCATCCAGCCTATTTACTTTAAATTTTAAAGCAAAATTACGTGTCATTTTGGCAATGAGTTGTAGTAACTCGGAAATAAAGTATTAAGTAATGATGTACAAGTTATCATTGGAAACTTGTGTTCTTGATTATTCTTAATGTGACTGAATTATGCTCATTGCACTCAACCACAAACACACATCCCACCCTTGCAAACGCGCACACACACATGAAAACATACTTACCGAAACACCCACTGGCACGCGATCATGTACAAACACACACACACACTGCCAAACACACCTGCATACACGCACATACGTGCATACCCTCATTATCACACTCAACATACGAACACCTACAACTCATCGGCACACACACTGCAACGTACACACACCCACGCTCACCCATCCAAAACACCCCCACGGTCACCCGATCCACACACACACTCACCCCACACACACGTACCCACGCACCTGCGCTCACCCCACCCGCACTTACCCACACACACACACTCGTCCACGTGCAGGTTCGTCGAGCCTGGCGACGGCGAGCAGCATTCAGGCGGCCGTACGGCAGCTGGAGGCAGAGGCGGACGCCATCATGCAGCTGGTGAGGGAGGGACAGAGGCACCTCCGCCAGCAGCAGCAGCAGCACGAGGCAGCGGTTAGTCTCCAGCCCTGGGCGCCAGCAAAACCTGCGGGCCCATTGGCCGGTTCACGTTTCTGTTAACGAAATTTATGCGGTGCCGGTTTTTTTCTCCTCCTCTCCCCCCCGCGGTAAATGAGCGTTAAATTATGAAGATGCAACCGAACGTATTCCAAGAGGCAAACGTCCCTCGTCCCGTAGATAGCTCGCGCAGGCTTTGCGTCCAGCGCTGTCCGATCGATCATTTGAAGCTTCGTTAATTAAAAAGGACTTTATTGTCTCAGTCAGGCGAGTGCTCGTAGCACCTTAAGCAACATCCTGTCGTCACCCACTGCATTGACTTAACGAATGGAATTGCCGTGATCTTAGCATGGTCTTTTGGGATCGTCCGCATGTTTTAAGAATTAATTTTCTCAAACTTTCACCACACACCACTGCGGAGGGAGATTCTACGCTTGAGCTCCTGATGATGCCAGCAGGTTTTGCATGGCGAAAGTTCGAGAGAAGAAATGCTCAACATGTGGCCTAACACCAAAGACCACGCTTGCCATCGAAGTTACTGCGAAAACCTGCGTACTGTAGGCTTACTGATGGACGGAGCTTCGAACTTTAGTCAGACAGCCCGAGACACTCGACCTCGTGTCTGACTACAAGATGGGTGGACACTTGCTTTTGAGTTGTCTTTAAGTAACACAGCGCTGGACAAACTATCCCGACATTGGTGTCACAGATAAAACCCAATCTTTTATTTTACGCTCCAAACGCTCTTTAATTCGTAACGATTTCCGACGAGAAAAAGGGCCAAATTAAACGCAAATCAACGTTACGCATCTCCTTGCGCGACCCTTGGGCAAACTGCTGCTGCGGCTTGCATTCTGCAATCTCTACACGGGGGGGCGGTGGCTTTAGCCTTCGCTCGGCGTGAGGTTGTGACCGTCCCTTGGTTTTGTTGACTCGTGTGCGTTGACAACGACGACTCGCATCCACGTGTGGCGTGCGGCTGTGAGGGCCGCGCGTTGTGTTGTTGGTGCCGTGAGCACCCTCTGGCCGCGTGCCTCCCTGGAGGAAGACGCAGACCAAATTGTTCGTGGCATCTCCGGCCGAAGCACACGCGCAGGCTGTGCGGTCGCGCGCGTTGTCCGACACGCGAGTGAAGCTTTGTTGGTGAGAAAAACACGGCAAAGTACTCTTTAGTGAGTGCCGCCAATAGCAGAAGACGCTATTACGTCAAGTCAGTTATGTTACACGAGCACTTAAGTGTGACATCGCTGCATTGAAGTTGTGTTTAAAAAATACTGCAGTCCCGCGCTCTTAACTGCTGAGTACCGATGAGCTGGAACTAAACGGAGCATGGTGTCGCACCTCCAGGTCGAGACCCAAAAATATCACACCCACCTGGCTTTGACATTCCTCCTCCTCGAAGACACTGGTGGCAGAACCATCAATCGCATCAGACCATCAACTGCAGGCCAATACACACATCTCCTGCATGAACTACAATAAAAAAAACAAGCGACAGTCACGATTGTGGCCTGGCAACTCAAACTACAAGACCATGTAGTGTTCCCACAGTGTTCTGTGCTGCTTAAACAGGAGGGGGAACAGCAAAACAACACGAATTCTTAACTCCTGAAACCCTCTCATCGTGGCCAACAGCAGACCGCCACATTGGGATTAACCTCCTGTACCATGTTGCCGTCATGCGCAAGATAGAGTAGAACATGGAAAGAGCTCTGAGCGATGGCACAGGACTTTGACAAGTGGAGGCGTTGGGTTCCCCTAAGTGTCAGTGGCACGGGGCAGACTGTGTACCAAGTGAGCAGTTCACAGCTATGGCGGTACTCGAGAAAGTCACTATAATGTCATTCCTTTTCTGAATTAACAAAGCTTCATTTGGTTGTCAAGGCAGCTTGGAACGTGCAATTTCGTGTCATGTAACCATTGATTTAGTTAAGTGTTATTGAGATATTTTAAGAACTTAATCGAGCTCTCAAGCGTGAGCAAGTAACAAAAATTCCACGTTCCAAAACGACTGTTTTTTGAGATGGCGTCACTGGAGCTGTAGAGCTTCGTGTGATCTCAACTCGCTGTGCAACTTGGAACGTAAATTATAATTCTCAGCAATTCAATATTTTTTAGGCCAAATGCGTTTTGGGAAAGCGTTCAGAGATTCCGTGCATGCTCTCATGGGTTGCGTCTTCCTTCACGGTTTTTTGTGGTGACTGTCCGGTGCGTACGCGAGTGGACGTTTGTTCGCCCGTTGTGGTGGTGGTGAGTGCCGTTTGCCGAGGAAGGCGTGGTGTAGGCAGGGGAGGGCGGTTGGCGTTCACACTCTTGCCCTTTCGTCGGCGTTAATTTAGGACAAAGGTGAGCGCCCGTCGAGGCTTCGTAAGAGTCGTCCCTGAGTTTACAAAGCGGAAAAAATGTGCATGTTAGTGTAAAAAGAAATCAAAGCGACTTCGTGAACGGTCAAAATTGTCGACCGCGACGGAAGGAGCCTTCACCGCTCGCGTTGGTTGATGTGCGGACAGCCGGAGGCGGGGCAGGTGGAGGCATCGTCCAGGCGGGAGGACTCCCCCATGGAGGTGGACCAGCCGTCGCCCGCGTCCCAGGATGCCGCACAGCAAGGTTCGACCCCCCCCCCATCCTCCCCTCCCCTGCCACACGAGTGCCCACGCAGCGCCCCCCGCACCCTTCCGTGGCGTCACCAGGGCAGCCTCTCTCCACAGGCCGGTTGAGACTTGCCTGGCATGCAGGTTATTAATTCTAGATTTGAAGCTTTCGTGACTGCAAGGATTCATACTCTTTGGTTTTATTCGGTAAAGTCACGTACCTACGTGACTTTACCGAATAAAACCAAAGAGTATGGCATGCAGGTGTTCGTTGGTCAGGATTAAGTGTTTGTATGGATTTTTATAGTGTGTAAATTTCATCTCGAGACGGGAAGTGTGGACATTTTATTGAAAAAAAGCAGCCACGGCTATTGTATGTCTGTGAACGTCTATGGGTATCTTTGACAATGTATGGATCTCTGTGTGAGTCTCTTAAGTCAATGGGTCTCTATGTGAGTATATGGGTCTCTGTGTTTGTGGGTTTCTCTGACTCTTTGCTCGCTTCTCAAGAGTCCGTGTACAGCAAGTTTCGTGGAGAGTGTATGGGTGATATGAGAAGGGGGAGGTTGGAGAGTTTAAATCAATATCCCTCCTTTACCCAGGACTACCCGTGTCCCACTCTCTCGACCGTATCTCAGAATTGTCTGCTCTAAGCTTTACTATTCTTGTTGTCGCTCACCGTCTACAGACACCGCTGCAGGTGCAGTCGCGGGACCAGCCGCAGGCGCGCCAGCAGCAGGAGCAGCTGCTGGCGCCGGCGCCGCAGCCGGTGGTGCGGCAGCGGCGTCGGCATCTCCGGCTCCCCGGGCGTCGGAACTGAAGGACGAAGACGAGGAGGACGAGGAGGAGGACAAGAGCTCCGAGCTGCCGCGCCTGAGCGTGCAGCTGGACCTGGAGGAGCTGTGGGACATGCTGGGAGACTGCCTCAAGGAGCTGTCCGATTCTCACGACCAGCACGCCGTGCTGGGTGAGTCCTGAACCGTTGAGGTGAAGTGTCCTCATTGTGGCTGGCGAAGAGCAGTGTCCGGCACTCGCATCGCCGGTCGTTGTATGGAACGCACTTTTGCAGGAGGATACGGACGGACTCCATCGAGCGACCACCCCCCCCCCCCCCACCCCGAGATCCCATTGAATGGCTTTACAAACACAACGTACAGTCATACATTTTAAAGGCAAACTGATGCGGCCGTACGAATAAAGTAATAAATCACTGCGCTAAGTGACAAGTGATTGTGTCAACCGAGTTAACCCCCGCATAAGTTACAAGAATTAACACAAGAGGGGGGGTCCTACTTTGGGGGGGGATGTTTGTCAGGTTATATTGTTCACACTTGTCTCGAGTGGATTATTTAGGATGACCTCAAACCGGTTTAGACTTTTCCGAGCCTCATCGGTCACGTGTGTGTTGGTCGTCGCGCGGCCCCACAGTTCTGCAGCCGGCGGTGGAGGCGTTCTTCATCGTGCACGCGACGGAGCGCGAGACGAAGCCACCGGTGCGCGACACGCGGGAGAGCCAGCTGTCGCACATCCGCGATGAGGCGCCGCCACTCTCGCCGGCGCCCGTCACGCCCGCCTCCCCCTCGCTGTGCGACCCGTTCTTCGCACGCGAGTCCTCCTCCATGACCATCTCCTCCAGCCTTCCGCCCGACACCCAGAAGTTCCTGCGGTTTGCTGGTGAGTTGCAAGAGGGGGGGGGGGGGGGGCATCTCGTTAAGACGACCCCCGCACGGCAATGGAGAGATTCCACCGATTTCGATGTAATTTGTTAACCAGATTAACTTCAAATTAATTTTAACAAAACATTTATTTCAAATCTTAGATTTTTTATTGTCGACGGAACAGTGCATAAGCCTGCTTGGGGAGGTGTCATCCAGCAGTGGATTGCTCATGGCTGATGATGATGATGACGATGACGAGAATGTGTTATGTCTGTGTAAACGCCCGTCTCTGCCGCACACAGAAACCCACCGCACGGTGCTAAACCAGATCCTGCGGCAGTCGACGACCCACCTCGCCGACGGACCATTCGCCGTGCTGGTCGACCACATCCGTGTGCTCGACTTCGACATCAAGAGGAGGTGACGGCGCTGCCCATGCCCCGCCTGTTCTCTCACCCCTGTGCTCCTGCTTCTACACCTGTACTCGTGCTCCTGGTTATACTTCTTACGCCTGCCTTTCATTAGTGTGCCTACAGCTGTGCGCAAACACCAATGTGTCCTGCATATCTGCTCCTGTATGCCTACACCTGACCTCGTGGTTTTACACCTGTATGTGTGCACGTCTTTACTTCTTCACCGATACACGAACCCTACACGTGTGTGCCTGCACATTGTGCTGTTACACCTGGACCCGTAGTGCCTGTCCCTCCCGACGTTACTCCTCTTCATCGTAAACAAACTTTACCGCCGCTCTTGCCCTGCTCCGTACTCGTATCCCTGTCCTCTTGTCTGCGATCACACCCCACTCCGACCGTGTGCACGCGTGCAGGTATTTCCGGCAGGAGCTGGAGCGAATGGACGAGGGGATCCGGCGCGAGGACCTGGCAGTGCACGTGCGGCGCGACCACGTGTTCGAGGACTCGTACCGCGAGCTGCACCGCCGCACGCCCGAGGAGATGAAGAACCGCCTGTACGGCAACACTCCACGGACCTGCTGCCGGCACTCTTTGTCGCTTACCGCACGTTCCAGTTTATCTGTCTGGGTATTGCTGAATGTTGAAAGCCCCCCCCCCCCCCCCCCCCGGGGCTAGTTTCTACGTCCACCAATGCCCCCTTTGAACACCTTGGTAGTAAGATAACTTGCGACCGAAGTTGTTAGGCGTGTTTTGGCCACTTGTTTTTGCAGCTCATCAATGCCCTGGGTGGAGTGCACCCAGAGACCCGGAGAGGGGGCTGATAACCTGCCAGGCCACTGAGCCCCCAGCTGCCTTGAGAGCCTGGGTTTAAATCATTGTTTCATCCGCCCGTGATTTAAGGGCTGTGAGTTGTTGGTCTCGGCCTGATCACCAAATGACTGCACAAAAAACCCAAGAGGTTCAGTTTCGTTTGTCACTTGAGCAAAATTCTACCCTTGGAGGACTTTTTTTTTTATTCCGATTGCCATGCATCGAACAAATAACCTTTTTATGGCAAGGCAAGGTGCACCACCACCACCACTCAGAATGAACACGAGGGGCGATGTGAATCCACGCTGCAGTTGTATTCTTTATTTGTTTAGACTGGAGGAATCCGATGATCCACGAAGCTCTTTTTCGCAGATGTCCTACATGGGCGGGTCACTGACGCGTGCGCGTCGCTTGCCAGGTACATCGTGTTTGAGGGCGAGGAGGGGCAGGACGCCGGCGGGCTGCTGCGCGAGTGGTACACCATCATCTCGCGCGAGATGTTCAACCCCATGTACGCGCTGTTCCGCACGTCGCCCGGCGACCGCGTCACCTACACCATCAACCCCTCGTCGCACTTCAACTCCAACCACCTGAGCTACTTCAAGTTCGTGGGGCGCATCGTGGCCAAGGCGGTGTACGACAACCGCCTGCTCGAGTGCTACTTCACGCGCTCCTTCTACAAGCACATCCTGGGCAAGCCCGTGCGGTGAGCTGCGACCGGCCCCTCTGATGTGGCGGCGGTCACAATATATCGCCCGCCCGAACAACCGGAACCGTGCCAGGGCCTTGCCAAGACGATCCGGCTCGGCTCGGGGAGGCGGCGCGCGCCGGGTTGTTTTTCCCACTGCCAACGGCCGCTGACGTCGCATGCAACGAATGCGTCGTTGACGCCGCCTCTGGGGGGGGGCCCTGCGCTGCCCTCGAGCCAGATTCGAGTGTCTTCTTGCATGGTCACCGTATCGCGGTTTGGTTTCCGGTTCGGTAGGGCAAATAACACCCTTGCTATGAGCGCGCCCCCCCCCCCCCCCCCCGCACTGGCTAAGCTCGGATGTGCCAATATAGCAGGAGTGTTGACGGTGGTTTCTAGTGTGAGCTTTTTTCATCATGCGAACGGTGCGGTGGGTGCGTGGGCAGGTACACGGACATGGAGAGCGAGGACTACCCCTTCTACCAGGGCCTCGTCTACCTCCTGGAGCACAACGTGTCCACGCTGGGCTACGACCTACCCTTCAGCACAGAGGTACCTGACCTGGCCACCGTCTCCGCCCTCGCCTATTGTGTAGAGCCTAAGAGAGTAATTATACTGACAGCGAGCAGCACTGCATTAACTTGATGAGAGTGCTGTGCGTGCACAAAAGTCAATCGGCAGCTCGCGTGTGGTGGGGTAAAGTGTGGCTACTCAAACCTCTTAAGTCTTCTGGCCACTGTAGCAGAGGAGCCCAACATACCCTTGAAAGGAGCTTTCTCGAACTCCCTGTGCAGAAGGCTCTTCTGCCAGCAGTGACGTGAGCAAGCAATTGCAGGGCTGCACCTTTATCTATACTTTTGTTTTGACTTGAAACTTTCGTGACTGCAGGAATTCATATTGTTTGGTTCTTTCTGTAAGGTCACGTAGATAGAAAATAAAAAAATAAAAAACATCGCGGGGTTTTTAATTTTCTATCTACGTGACTTTACCGAAAGAACCAAAGAAGATAGCTTTGTTATTCACACTTGAACTGTTATAAAGGAGGACGTGGGCACAGGCACTGCTACTTTTCCCACATTTAAATATTCGGGCACCCGCGTAACCCCTCCGCTCCTGGATGACCGCGCGCTCCCCACGCGACGCAGGTGGAGGAGTTCGGTGTGTGCGAGGTGCGGGACCTCAAGCAGAACGGACGCAACACCACCGTGGCCGAGGAGAACAAGCGGGAGTACGTCCACCTCGTCTGCCAGATGAAGATGACCGGTCAGTCACCGGCATCGCCATCGGGGAACTCCCTTTTTGTTCGCCACCGGCCGCGCACGCACTATCCCACGATTCGGTGATGCGGGGGTATCGTAGGACGTGGGCAGAGATGCGAGGTCATCCGCTGCCAATGCCGTTCACTCCACCGCACCCCCACCTCTGCCACCAACATCTTTCTGCAAATGTTGCACGGTATGGCGGCTGACTCCCAAGGTCTGCTGTGATAGTCTCGAATTGGCTTCATGGCATCCCCCGTGGTCTCAGTGACCGGGATCCGGTGCAACTACAGTGTCAGAACTTTTTCATCTCAACCAGAAATGTTCTCTCCCGGAGGACCCACTCGAGCCATCTCACATCGGTGGCTTTGTCTTGTAATAGAGTGCAGCATTGTGACAAAAATTGCACCTCTGAGTGTTTATAAATTGGGTCACTTGAAGGGACGAGAAAAGTAGTTCTGTGATCTCTCCTTCTGCGGTCCGTTCTTTGCCACACGGGGGTTCCGCGCTGCTCTGCGACTCCCTGAATGGACAAAAAATATATGTAAATTATTATTGAATTCGAGGAATCGGCTGAATTCGTTCCGTGCGTGGTTGTTGCTGTGTGTGCGCCAACCACGCGACGCAGGAGCGATCCGCAAGCAGCTGTCTGCCTTCCTGGAGGGCTTCTACGAGATCATCCCCAAGCGACTCATCTCCATCTTCACGGAGCAGGAGCTCGAGCTGCTCATCTCCGGGCTACCCACCATCGACATCGACGACCTCAAGGCGCACACCGAGTACCACAAGTACCAACCCAACTCGCTGCAGGTACCTGTCTGTCGCCTTCCCCCCACCATTCCTCGATCATTTGCATCATCGGCCATAATCTGTGGGTATTGGTCCTCGCCTCCCCAAGCCCTTCGGCATCACGGTTCTGTAATGTATCCACATCGCTTATTCTATCACTCCATCGTTCAGAAAAATGCTTTTAAAGTAGGTATTCTTATTCTTGGTTCTTTCGGTAAAGTCACGTAGAAGGGAAACAACAAAATAATACAAATCTAAAATAAAATTCTCACGATGTTTCGACTGCAACACAAGCAATCATCATCAGGTGTGAAAACCACAACAAGAAAATTTGAAAAAAGTGGCGGTTATTTTACCGAAAGAACCAAGAATATGAATCCCTGCATTCACAAAAGCTTTAAATATAAATTTTTGGTATTCTTTGTCATGGGACCTCTCCTTTGCCACTACCAACATATGAGAATAGGTTTTCCCCTTTTTTTCTGGCAACAAAACGGTGTTAAGATGTTAAAACACAAAACTGAAACCTTGTACAAGGAATCATGTCTGCATTAACCACAATACTTGTGGTCAGAATGCAAACAAAAAACGTACTCTGATCAAATATACATTGTCTTTGAAACTGATTGGTCCACACAAGAGACAGCTTTCTTTTGAGCCTCGTCTCAAAACGATGTTAGACCAGAGGACGCCTTTTGCACGTGATATGCCACTTCGTTGAGCTGTCGTTTGTGGCCAGGTCTCTTCTGAAACGGAAGCTAATAGCTCAGTGGGCTTTACCTGGGAGAACCAATAGTATTTTTGCTAGTCATTTGCTTACCTTTCCTATACTTTGCACTCCTATCATGTTTTTGTATTGTTACTTTTTGAACTGCCCCCTTACTGGACATCTGGCAAACCACTCTATCGTTATTCTCAGCACCACCAGCCGCCATCCCTCCTCGCAAGTTGTCCTAGCCCCAAGGCCACTGTTTTTTTTTCGTAAGTCAGAATGATGTCTTTAACCTGTTCCAGGACTCGATAGCACCTGTTACATCCATCCCAGTACATCAGGACCCTCCTGAAAATGGAGTCTTTAAACTCGGCGTTGCTTTCCCAGATAAACTATTTAACGGTCAATTCCAATTTGACACCTCCCTAACCCCCCATCGCCTGTGCTCCACTGCCGTCTTGCACGCAGATCCAGTGGTTCTGGCGGGCGCTGCGTTCCTTCGACCAGGCGGAGCGCGCCAAGTTCCTGCAGTTTGTGACGGGAACATCCAAGGTGCCGCTGCAGGGCTTCGTGGCACTCGAGGGGATGAACGGCGTGCAGAAGTTCCAGATACACCGCGATGACCGCTCCACCGACCGCCTGCCCTCCGCTCACACGTGGTACGTGCAGTCGCCGGGGGCGGTCCCGATGATAGGAGTTTCAAGTTTTTTTTGCAGAAAAAAATATATAAAAAATTAGTTCGTGTGTCCATGGCAATCTCGTTCTGGCTTTACTCTTTTTACACCACGTACAATAAATATATAATATTGTAGCCTATTACAATACCCTTAACGCTATTATTGTTATATGGAGTGGAGCAGTGACACGGCCGTTAATTTGCTGCAGGGATTGATGCACTGCACTAGAAACCCGACTACCTGAGTTCCATTCCTAGCCATGGCTAATATGAGTGGCAAGTATTATCAGAACCTCTAACTAGCCCCCGTTTGACAGTCTATATCTGGCACCTTTATCTAAATCCGTGCTCTCTCCCTGTGTCTCGTGCAGCTTCAACCAGCTGGACCTCCCCGCGTACGAGACGTACGACAAACTGCGACACATGCTGCTGCTCGCCGTGCAGGAGTGCTCTGAGGGCTTCGGCCTGGCCTAGTCACCGGCGCCCCCCCCCCCACCACTCCCCCTGCCTCTCGCCCTCCCGCTGCGACACGCTCGCTCGCATGAGCAGGAAGAGGCGGCGAGAGAACTGCTCGCCCGGCGGCGAGAGAACGCCTCGCCCGCTCACTCGGCCGCTCACTCGGCCGTGCGTTTGTAGCCCTCGATCTCGTCTCCCCCCCTCCCAAGTCGCGCCGAGCGGGAGGGTGGAGGTTGGGAAGTGTGCGTATGGAACCCCACCTGACTCGATGCGAGCAGCAGGGAAGGGAGGCTGTTGTGTTGCCGACACGATGTGCAGGTGGAATGAGAGGGATCCGGTTTTTGACTCGAGACGAGGGTTGTTGGTGGTTAACCCCCTATTGTGCATGCGTCATCCGTTGTGCTGCATATAAATATATATATAAAAACCCACACGCGCAGGCAGAAAGCACATAGCGCTCGCACTCGTGTCACGTTCGCTCTTCACGCAAGCAAAAAAAAATTAATGTCGTCCGGCAATTTAAAAAGAAAACTCGAGAAAAAACAAAAAAAAACATTTCACTCGCATTTATGTATAAAGGTCCCCTCAATAAACCCGCCGCCATGTTTCCCACGTAAGTTCACATTTGCAAAGCGACTCCAAAAGATGAACAATAGACAAACTATACTATAAAGAGTAAACACTTGTAAATAAGCGACAGGCTTCGTTATAGAGTGTGAGACCGATAAGAGGTGGGGGGGGGGGGTAAGTTGTCGGGCGAGAAGTTGGAAGTTGGGCGGGGGGGGGGTGGAGGGGGGTGCAGGAGGAGGAGCCTCACGGTCCCTCGGCACAGCCGCGCGGGGATTGTGGCCGGTTGACTCGGTCGTTGGGCGCCGGCGCAGTTTTGGCGGTGACGCGGTCGTAGTTTGGCGGCGAGGGTAAGGGATGCGCAGCACGTGCAGAGCCACGGCCGTGCGTGAAGCGAAGAGTTGCAGGGGCAGGGCGGGGGGGGGGATACGAGTCCGGAACGTCCTTGGTCGGCGTAATTCTCACGTGAAATAGAAATTAAATGGCGGACGGGTCAACTGGATTATAATCTCAAGGCACCGGCAACCGCACTGAAACCTGTAAAATAGAATCCCACGGGGGAGAGATGCCACCAGGGGAAAAAAACGGGGGGGGGGAGGGGGGGCACGTGTCGAGGAAGAAGGCAACTGTTCCGTAATTAAGCGTTTTTTTTTCTTTTCTTTCATTTTGGTATTTATTCACAAATGTTGTTTATGGAAACCTGAACGGGATTGTTGCGTTGTTGTTTTTTGGAGAGAAACACGTTTAAAAAGTAATAACATTTGCGGTTGGATTCCAGAAGGCTGCTGCGACGTTTGCTGCGGTACGGCCAGATGTTTTGCTGTAGCCAAGCTCCCCCCCCCCCCCCCCACGCGATCAGTCGTTGCCCGAGGCCTCCTCGACGGAGGTTGCGCTGACTTGTCGAGAGTTCATGTATCGCTATTTTGGTTTTTTTCTTTTCTCTCTTGTTAGGTTTCACTTTTTTCCCAGAATGCAGTTTAAAAAAAAAATCTAGAATTCGAGTCATTAAAGAATGAAGATTGAAAAAAAATGGAACACTTGACTGTTTTGTGCCTTCTTTGTGTTGCGTGGTTTTGCCCCACCCCCACCCCGCCTTTGTAAAGACAAGGTTTATGAATGAATTAATTTTGAACTTGCGAGCGTTTTCAAGAACCGGAACCTTTGCGAATAGAGAGGGTTTACTGTGTAAAAAAGCGGGGGGTTTTTTTTCATTCTTTCTGGCAATAATACAGGAGATAAGATGTTCAAACACCACATTATTATGACAAGGTATCATCGAGTCTGCATTCACCAGACTTGTGGTAAATTGGGCTTTTAAATCGAGATTTAAAACAAATTTCTTTAGAACTGCTTTTTGTGTTTAGTTGTCCTTTCCCCACACCTCCGATTAGCAATGGTTGGCTACGTACGGTGTTTAAGAAGTTCAGCATACACACAAGGGCCAAGGTGTTGTGATATTTGACAGTAATTTAAAAAAGGTGCAGCCCTGCAATTGATTGCTCGCGCCACGACCGGCAAGATGAGCGTCCACTGGATGGCGCACGAGAGGCTCCTCTGGAGGTTATTTGGTCTACTCTTCCACACCGGCCAGACCTCTTGAAATAGGTCAAAGTACCCGGCCGATCACCTAAATTTCAGCAGTAATGTTAATGTATCCAAAAAAATGAATCTGCTTTTTAATGTTTGACCGTTTTTTTTTTGTACGGAGTGTTTTGCACATGGAAGGAAACTGGAGGAATCGTAGAAAATCCTAGACGCCTGAGGGGGAATAGCGCACAGACACGGTCACAAACCCTCGTGGTCTTGCCACCTCGCGACCACCTTTGAGCCAGGTCTGCATGGCAGTTTCGCAAATCTCGACGTTCCACCGACCCTTGCCACCGACGGCTCGGGGAAGGGTGGCGGGGGGTACGTACTGCCTCGCACCCGCAAGCCGTTCGGCACTGGATCCCAAGACCCATTCGAAGGACTTTTGCCGACCCAAACAAAGAACTCGGTAAGCCCCAAAAAGTAACAGAAAGGCAGTTTTATTCGTGTACATTACAGTGGTCTCAAAACAAGTTCAATTGGTGGCGGTTGCCCAGTTTATATACATTTACCCATTTTATGTTAATGATCTTATTGTGCATGGGGTAACCACAACTAACGTACAAAGATTAAAACAAACGCCAATGCAACTAATTAAAAGTGCAAGTAAATAATGTAACGAGGCAAGGTCAATCTTGATTTGAAGCTTTCGTGACTGCAGGAATCCATACTCTTTGGTTCTTTCGGTAAAGTCACGCAGGTAGAAAAATGATCTTATGCTTCTACCTACGTGAAAAATTATCTATTATTTTTCTACCTACGTGACTTTACCAAAAGAGGCAAGGTCACTCGTTCGGGTTCTAACCTGACACTGCACAGCTTAGATGGGCCATTGACCATTTTCGGTTCCCCGGAGTTTCAAACATTTTCACCCCATATTTGCGGGTCCCCAGAAGATCCAAGGTAGATGCAGGGCAGAGTATAACCACCTACGACGTGAACATCCGATAGTCCTGCGGGAGACGACTGAACGGAAATGTTATGCGAAGCTTGCCGTGTGGGACCATGGCGCCTTCACGGTTGAAGATTTTTGCCACCCTTTGTTCCCTGTGTTCGAGCGAAAAAAAACTGGCATCTCTTCCGGCAGCAGGAATTGATGTGCGTCGAGATCTGGTACCGGTTATTGTGTTTAACTATTATACACATGTAAGGGGTGTCGGGGGGGGTGGTAAGGATTCCTGCCAAAGGAGGGGGACAGTGGAGTGGCAACAGCGGAAGGGGGAAGAGCAGGCAAGGAGAGACCTGGCGGGGAACGGACAGAGAAAGGCTGGGGACAAGTGTGGACTGGGGAAATAAATAAAAGGACGAACCCCCTGCTGCAACCTCGTGTCGGCTCTCCTTTAAACGCAGTTTTGATAACGATGGACCGAGGTCGACTGAGAAACGCCTGCGTTGGGACTATGGTGGAAAAGTTGGCAACCCCAGTGATTGCCTCTGTTCCACGAAAATAGTGCAAATGCCAAATGTACTCCCTCACGTGTATTATCTTTGAGGCCTCAACGTAAGCACCCTCTGACAGCATTCCTCCTTAACGCCTCCACTTGGTGGTCCATGCAAACACCGGGGCTTTGTATGAGAATGCCCCTCACAAGCCGAAGTTGTAAGCCTTGAGAACGTCCCGTCCATTGTTGGCCTGCACCACGCCAACCACGCTGCTGCAGTCGCTGACCACGTTCCTGAAGCCCCTGTGGGATGCGCATGCACACAGACGCATAAGCACACAAGAATGGACGTGCCAAAAAAAGACAAAGATCCCCCTTGTAGCCTTAGCAGATTGTTGCAGCAAGTGCTGATGGCGAGCATCTACGAAGGCCGGCACACCACACGAGAGGGGAGGTGGCCAGCACCTCCGCCTGCCTTTGTCTCCCCAGTGGTGATGTTTACACAACACACCAGGAACTCATTTAATGCGGAGTCGACCTGGGGGAGGCCCAGAAACGATTCAGATAATCTTCACTGGTGTTGGCCGCCAGGAGCAATGTAACTCGGGTCGTAGCGCTGGACGTGAACCATTGCACTACCGCTCCCCAGGCATGGATATGCCCACGCATGAACACACAGACACGGGCATACGCACACACTATTCTTACGCACTTTAATACATACATCGAATCATGTCATCGATTGTTCACGATTTGCGCAAACTATCACGCACATCATCGTTGCCGTTACAGTTGGACTAATCGAGCGGACGGAACCGATTCACAAAATTGTTTGGGTCAGAGAAAGAATCGTTCGCTTCCGCAGTGTAAATTGTCGCCGCTGCACCGCCACGCTGGTGGGCCGACTCACCGCGAGCAGGTCAGCGACCCCCCCAGCAGGGTGTACTTGCTGACCAGCTGTTGTCCCGCCGCCGCTGCCGCCGCTGCCACCTCCATTCCCTCCGCCGCTTGCGCCCAGGTGTAGACGCGCAGGGACAGGTCAAGCGAGCAGCTCACCACGCGGAACGGGTCCTGCGGACCGCGCGGCCAGACACAGGCGCAATGAGTGTGGCAGTGCCCAGGGTAAGGGGCGGCTTGATTTTATCACAGAGTACTTTCCGTGTCTGGCTGTCGCCTGATGATGCTGGTTGTAATTACTGGTGAAACTTCGTCGGTTTACTCTCCCAGCACACCGGTGTGCTGTCCTAAGTAATGAATTAGCATGTTTTGTCTACGTGACAAACATTAATTGGCTGTGGTGGGTTTAACGACGCATTTATATTTACGCGATGTAACCCAAAAAATCCCAGATAATATCGGTCGCGAAAGCCCTCCTACGTGTTAATCTAGACAGGGAGTACTTGCCACGTGGACTGGTGGCCGTCAGCAGCCATTGTGAGAGGTTACGCTCGATGTGGCATGTCATTACGAAAGAGCAAGCCAAACCATTGTCTCAGTTTGTCGTAGGACATTTTGTGTATAGTGTGGTGGTGTAATGTGGTGGTGCCGTGTATAGTACGGTGGTGCCGCCAGGCCCGCACCACGTGGATGCCGGTGATCTGCTGCTTGTGGTCGCTGAACGTCGCGAGGCGACCCCCGGTGGCCGCGTCCCACACGCTCAGCTGCTGCCCGAGCGTCGTGAGGACGATGTTGTGGCTCGCTGTGCGCAGGAACGGCGCTTGCGTCGCCCACTGCTCCTTGGGAATCGTGAACCGCACCGCCACCTCGCTCACTGGCGGAGAGAGCGCGGCGCGAGGGGAGAAAGATCGGACGGAATCGGGTTCCGCTTCGGACGCCGACGCGACCAGATACAGAGCTGCAACTGATGGCTGCACCTCAATGAGGGAGACGTGAAAACACAAAAAAACGAGGCGAAAAACCATCGGGTTGAAACTGCGAACCATTTAGGCGGCTCATCGAGCCCGCCGTCGTTGCGCGGCCCACGAGGCGCCCCGCACCTACCGGCGATGTGCTCCTTGGCCCTGGCCCTGCCCCTGGCCTTGTCCAGCGCCACGTCGAAGCAGCGCACCTCGTGCTGCCCATCGGCCAGCTCGACGGCGGCGGCGAGGCGCGCTGGATTGGCGGGGAACCACGCCGCCGCCAGCACGCCGAGACCGGCGATCTCCGGGAGCGTCGCCGTCACCATCGCCGCCATGGGATTGGGGCGCCAGTTGGCGGGGCGCGGGGGCAGAGGCCGGCGGGGGTCGGGAGGTGCCTCCTCCTCGTCCACCGTGCACAGCGCTCGCACGCCCAGCAGCTGGTCGCGCCGGCGCCACCGCACGCAACGTCAAATCCATGTCGAACGGTGCCAAGCGGAATTGTACCAACGCCAGCCGCGTCGTACGATGCCGGACGTGTTAAAAGAATGGCTCTGTATGTAAGACTATGTAAGTGCATGGGCCTATACAAATCTATGGTTCTCGTTGCAAGTCGATGGATCTCTGCGCATGGGCGGTGTTTGCGAGGACGAGAGAAGAATTGAACACGGAGGCTTTCTCGGTCAATATTATTTATACTAAAGGTTTTTGGATTAGATTGCGTAAATATAAATGTGTCGGAAACCCACCACCACCCAACACAGCCAATTGGTAAGGTTTGTCACGTGAACAAAACGTGTACACTGGCGTGATGGTGAGTAAATCCACAACATTTACAATTCAGCACGACGTTTTGCTGGTGATTACAATGAGCTTCATCAGGCGATTTTACATAATTGTGAGGAAGTCTTCCTGCTTCCGATCTTAAATACAGCAATATTATGTCATCACTGTGAGCCTATCAAGTGCAAAGATCAGAGGGTGGTTTATTATGGTCATATAAATAATAATGGATTATATTAACCTGTAAATAAGCAGTGCATATTACTATATGGGTTAATGACAGTTCATCAATATATACGATGCCTGGAATAGGCATGCAATTAAAAGGTGTATTACTTAATAACATGCTGGATGAGAGAAGAGGCGCACGGTAGAAGCGCACGAAGAGAGAAAGTCCGAGCAGCCGATAGGTGTGCAGCGATGGGACCTTTGGCTTCAAAACAGCTCTCGCTGTACTCACCTGCACTGGCACGTCAGGGCTGTGGGTGGCACCCACCAGGATCACGGTGCCGACCGGCGCCGGCGACAGCAGGTTAAGAGTGTGGTCCTCGGCCAGGAGAAGGCTGCGCACGGGGGCGAGGGAGGGCAGCGCCAGTACCCGCAAGGTGCCCATGTTGCCGCCCGCCTGGCGACGCACAGTGGCCGCGTGGCCGCGTCACCGCTCTCCCCCGATCTACACCCCCCCCCGCCACTCCACCCCGGTCCTGTCCCAGGATTGACCTCAAGGTCGCACGCGCACCGCGATTACGACCCTCCACGGACTCTCCCCTGCCTGCCTCTACCCTCTCCCCTCTCGTCTTGCTCTGCTGTGCCCCACGCACTCACCTCGCTCTTCTCACAACCCACACGTCGCGGGGAGGTCCCCGTCCAGCAGGGCGCTTCACGAAAGGGCTGTACGCTTACAATTGAGCGCGTGACAATCGCGGTGCAGATCGTGCGATCGCGGACTCACAAGCAGGAAGTGGCCGTCCTCCAACGCGCACGTCGCGAGCACCATGACCCCGGGCGTGGGGTCAGCTCGGGTCGCGACCTCGTGACCTCCGGCCGCATCCCACACCGTGACTTCTCCGACCCGGCTCCCCGACACCACGAGTCCCAGCGTCGGCACAGCCACCAGGCACTCCACGGCCGTGCCGCCCACTTGCCCAGCCACCCACAGCTGCTGGCCCTGCAAGCGATCGTCGGAGGGTGAGACTGGGTCCCGGCATGGAAATGAGGAGTGGTCGCCTCCAGCGGGGGCACATCGCGGAGGTCGGGTGGCTCAGAGGACAGAGTGCTCAGCTGGCACCGCTGCATTACAATTAAACGAAACTTTTTATTTTACCAGATAAGGCCCACTGAGCTATACAGTTCTATTTCAGAAGCGAGCTCGCCAAAACGAAGTGGCTTATCCCGTGGAGGGAAAACAGGAGTACCACGGGGAGAACATGCAAACCCCAAATATACAAAGGTGAGGGTCAGAATCGAACCCACGACCTCCTGCATACCAGGTGAGGTAGTTAACATCTCGCCACCGTGGCGAGATGTTAATTAACAGTTCTATGATATCCACTTCAGAATTAGGGTTTCCACCTGTTCACATTTGCCCAGGATCGTCCTCTCGTTGAGGCAACCAAAGCAACAGCTGTGCTGGGAAATCTGGAACTCTTCCCGCGTCGTTAATGGTCCTGATTTGTATCAGTTGTGTAATAACGATGATGCAACACGACATAATGTATTGACGTGTTGTTCTCCACTTGTTCCTGGTATCGCGAGATTATTATTTTTTGTATTCCCAAGATGTGTCCCTTTGTTTCTTGAGGTGAAAACCTGACTTCGAATTCAGGTTCCCAAACGTCGTGAGTTGGTGGTCTCAGCCTGGTCACCAATGACTGCACAAATAAAGCATTAAACTGTTTTAACGCACGTAACTTTACTTTCATATCCGCACACAGCCCGTGGATCAGCGGTGACAGAGCTAGTTCTGTGATATCCACTTCTTTGGGCCGTTCTCTAACACCAAGGGTTACGGCCACAGTGATGTGTGGATGTATGTCGGTTGAAATTATTTCGCACCGTATGTAACCAACCGCGCTAATCAGAGGTGCGGTATTTTATCACCAGGCCGGAAAGTTAATGACGAGCCAATCTAGTGCGATCGTGGCTATGCAACCCAAGCTCTGGACCAAATAATAAACCACTGTCGTCTGCGCTCCTTCAACGGAGGAGGAACAGCAAAACGACACAAACCCTCTCTCTGCTGAAGCCTCTCGTCATGGCCAGCAGATCCCGACATTGGCATTGAGCTCCTGAACCACATTGCTGCCACCAACCGCAAGGATATAATAAAACGGTAGATTCGTCCCTGCCATTACCATGAGCCATGGTCAATCCACTGCTGGATGAAGGCGTACCGTGTGCACGTCCCACGCTCGCACGCTGCCGTCATTGCTGGCGCTGCACACGCAGGTCAAGGGTCGAGTTTTCTCTGGCCGCGGCGCGCTCGCTCCGCTCTTTCCTCTCTCCGTGTTCTCCTGACCATCGTCGTCGTAATCGTCGTCGCCCTGTGCCGTGTCGATGTGTGGTTCTCCGTCCGTGAGGTAGCACACGGCCGAGATCGCGCCTAGAGAGGAGGGCGAGGGGATAGCAGTTGCCACCGCAGTGAGATTCCGTGGTGTCGTTTGGTACCTGTCTACCCAAAACATCGTGCATTCCTTAACGTGCTCAACAGCCTCGCTGTGCTCAAGAGGCTCGACTGATGTGCAGGCCTCAGCAGCTATACTGGAAACGGGAACCCGGTGCTTGTATGAGGCTGAGTCGACCTAACAGAGGCCCAGGACCGCGGGTTTGTAGTGCAGCACGGTAACCACTACACTGCCGCTCCCCAGACACGCACACGCACCAACACAAGTGAGGGTTATCTAAACCAGTCGTGGGCCTCCGCTAAGGTCGAATCGAACTCTGATGAGTATCCAGGACGATGTGTAAACATCGTCACTCGGGAGACAAAGGCGGCCGGGCGTGGTGCTGGCCACCCACCCCCCTGGTGTGCCGTGCCGGCCTCAATAGGTGCTACTCGCGAACAGCACTTGCCCAGCCTGTTAAAGGCTATGCGGGGGATCTTTGTCTTTGTGTGCGGGCACCGGCGTGGCCCCTCAGCGTGGTGCAGGTGTAGTCGGCGCCCGGTCGCCCGCAGCCCAGCGCCCTCTCGAGCCCCTGGCGCCGCAGGTAGTAGCGCTTCCACTCGCTCGCTCGCTCCACACGGCAGAACGCCCAGCGGCGCCGGCACAGGCACCTGTGCGGGGCGGGTGACAGCGCGGTTGGGTTTCCACTTCTTCCACTGCTGGATGAAGGCTCACCGTGTGCACGTCCGCCGCACCTCTGATGAACATGGTTGGCTACGTACGGTGCGAAAGAAGTTCAACATATACGTATATACGAAGCCAGACGCGCTCTATCTCTCGGTCAGCACGAGGTCTATCATCAACACTGCGGTTTACGGCCGTGAAGTTCAAGGCAACACCGATAGCAGATCACAGATGCCAAGTCCTGGATTGTCTGGGTCAAACCTGGATAGGTAGCGACCCTATCACTGGGTCATGGGGTCACAGGTTTGTTCGTTTTTATTTCTTTCATTTGCAGTTTTATTTGTGGCTCATTCACCTAATTGTAAAGGTGCAGTCCTGCACTTTCTTGCCCGTACCACTGCTGGCTAGGGCTCTGTTGTAATTGTGCGAGTTGCTCGCCGGGTGACTGAAAGGGAGAGCGGATGGTCAGGTGGGCGGACAGGCAAGTGGACGGGTGGCAGTGAAGGTTGACAGGTGTGAGTAAGAGTCGAGAGCTGGGTTCTTTACCTCCACAGCGCGGGTGAGTTGGCCACAGCATTCCACAACTGGTGACAGGAGGGAAGAGGACAGACACACACGTGTACACACACACACGTGTACACACGCACAAACAAACGTGTACGCACGCACGCATACACGTGAGAATATGCACCCCGCACATACCAATATACAAAGATCTCCCCAAATAGATTGTAACAAGCTGTTGGGAGGGTATAAGTGCCATTCGCAGCTACCTATTAAGGCTGACACCCGTGATGTCGTCAGCACCACACATGGCCTCCTTTCTCTCCCCAGCGCTGCACACGCCCGATGATTGTTCAACAAGTCCCAACGTGACGCGCTCAGCAGTTAACGCCGTCTCCCTTAACAGAGCCGACTGCAATTAAGACTGTGGAGAAACTCGGCGTACGTGTTCCGTCCGTCCGTCCGTCCGTCCGTGTGCGTGTATGCACGCACACGCACACGTGTTCCGCGTGACGTAGACCGGCCCGTCACGTGGGACTTGTTTAACGATCATCGGGCGCGTGCAGCGTGCCACGAGTTAATTTGTACAATTTGAACGGTGCGAGACGGAGCGTGGTGGCTGGGGCGGTCGCGGGAAGTCGAGTTGGGAAAACGCCGCGGATAGCCACCGATGGATGCCACGCGTAGTTGAGGAATTGAAATTCGGCATAACCCCACACAAGCACAACCCAGAGCCCAAGCCTGCTGATGGCATCATAGGCCTTGACCAGGTCAATAAAGCAGAGATGTAGGTCTTGTTGGAATTCCATACACCTCTGCTGTAGCAGACGGACAGAAAATATGGCATCCGTGCAGGACCGCCCTTTCCTGAAACCGCATTGGGGCCTCTGCGAGCCTCTCCTGAGCGTGCCTGGCAAGGCGATGTTGAATAATCCTTGCCAGGACCTTTCCCGGCACACTGAGGAGTGAGATGCCCCTGTAGTTGTTACAGTCTGTGCGGTCCCCCCTTTTTAAAGGAGGAATTAAAGAGCGATTTGTGATCGCGGGCCATTGAGGCAGATTCCATCTCCCTCAGCAACCCGCGACCACCACCCATCCTTGAAGCCAAGGCTGCGGTAAGCCTCCTCATTCTCCGACGTGAGATGCTGTAGCAGATGAGAGTGGGCCTGTCGCTTTTTTATTAACTCACTGTCTGTTCTAGATTTAAAGCTTTCGTGACTGCAAGGATCCATACTCTTTGGTTCTATTGGGTAAAGTCACGTAGGTAAAAAATAAAATAACAAAAATCACGACGTTTCGGCCACAACACAAGCGGCCTTCATCAGGTGAAGGGACGAGACTGTCTGGAGGACAGCGCTGGAGTGAAAAAAGCCACGTTCAGATCACGACCTTTAAGCTGTGTGAGAAGAAACAAAGCGCCTTGACAAAGGAATTAGCATATAATTTAGCATTGAAATGGCTGAGTGATTAGCTTGTGACTGGTCACAGAAATGGCTATGTTAAAGTTAAAGCATACGCATCCGCAAAGGCACCCCTTGACAAAGGAATTAGCATAGAATTTAGCATTGAAATAGCTAAGTTAAAGTATACACATCCGCAGAGGCACCCCTTGACAAAGGAATTAGCATAGAATTTAGCATTGAAATAGCTGAGTGATTAGCTTGTAACTGGTCACAGAAATAGCTATGTTAAAGTCAGAGCATATACATTCACCGAGGCACCTAGTACAAATCAAACAGGAGAATTTAGCGAAACACAACCACGCTCAGACCGCGGACCTTTAAGCTGTGTGCGAGCAAACAAGGTGTCCTGACAAAGAAATTAGCATAAAAATTTGCATTTGATTGGCCGATTTTAAAAAAGAGGTGGTGTACGTGCCGGTGGACTTGCCATTTGGCGCGGGGGGGGGGGAGTTTACCTATTGATGGTGTGAAAAGGGAATTTATAAGAGCTGCGAAAGTTTGGGGTACCACTACTTGAAAAATATACTGTACCATTGAAATTAGTTTAATGTTTAGTTCGATTTAGAACATCTTTCCACTGTCTGTTGTTGTATCATCCTCAAATCTTGCAACTCAATTTTTACCCACTTCCCAATGTGGTATCGACTGCAAACTTGGTATACTTATGTTATATTGATGACAATACTATATTCTATCATTAATATTTTAAAATATATTTTTAAGAATTATTTTTTACGTGTTTATGTTTCGGCTTGGGTCTAATTGTCCATGGTCAACTGACGTTGGCTGTAATTGACCACGGTTCCCTTACGTTGTGGCAAGCCTCGGGGCCACTTCCTGGAGTCGTGGAGTTCTACCATTACCAGTACGGTACATTTAATTAAAGCGTGCTTTAAAAAAAAGTATTTTTAAATATTACTTTTCTCAGCCAGCCTGAACACCTCCTCTGTCAGCCAGGGTCTTTGGGGTGGTCTGAACCGTGTGTGTACCCAAAGCAGCCATTGCAGCTGCATGAGCTTCACTCGCTCACCCCCCACACACCCCCACCCCCACACTCTCTCATCCCCACACACACTCACCCCCACACACACTCACCCCCCACTCACCCCCACACACACTCACCCCCCACTCACCCCCACACACACTCACCCCCCACACACACTCACCCCCACCCCCACACTCTCTCATCCCCACACACACTCACCCCCACACACACTCACCCCCCACTCACCCCCACACACACTCACCCCCCACTCACCCCCACACACACTCACACCCCACACACACTCACCCCCCCCCCACACACTCACCCCCACACACACACACCCCACACACACTCACCCCCCACACACTCACCCCCACACACACACTCACCCCCACACACTCACCCCCACACACACACTCATCCCCACACTCACTCACCCCCACACACACTCACCCCCCACTCACCCCCACACACACACTCACCCCCCACACACACTCACCCCCACACACACACTCACCCCCACACACACACTCACCCCCACACACACACTCACCCCCACACACACTCACCCCCACACACTCACCCCCCACTCACCCCCACACACACTCACCCCCCCCCCCACACACACTCACCCCCCACTCACCCCCACACACACACTCACCCCCACACACACTCACCCCCACACACACACTCACTCACCCCCACACACACTCACCCCCCACTCACCCCCACACACACACTCACCCCCCACACACCCTCACCCCCCACACACACTCACCCCCACACACACACACACCCCCACACACACTCACCCCCACACACGCCCACACTCACTCACCCCCACACACACACACTCACCCACCCCCACACACACTCACTCACCCCCACACACACACTCAACCCCACACACACTCACCCCCACACACACACACCCCCACACACACACTCACCCCCACACACTCACTCACCCCCACACACTCACCCTCACACACACACACACACTCACCCCCACACACACACTCACCCCCACACACACACTCACCCCCACACACACACTCAACCCCACACACACTCACACCCACACTCATTCACCCCCATACACACTCACCCCCACACACACTCACCCCCACACACACACTCACCCCCACACACACACTCAACCCCACACACACACTAACCCCCACACACACACTCACCCCCACACACACACTCACCCCCACACACACTCACCCCCACACACACACACACCCCCACACACACTCACCCCCACACACACACTCACCCCCACACACACACTCACCCACCCCCACACACACTCACTCACCCCCACACACACACTCACTCACCCCCACACACACACTCACCCCCACACACACACTCACCCCCACACACACACACACTCACCCCCACACACACACACACACTCACTCCCACACACACTCACCCCCACACACACACTCACCCCCACACACACACTCACCCACCCCCACACACACTCACTCACCCCCACACACACACTCACTCACCCCCATACACACTCACCCCCACACACACACTCACCCCCACACACTCACTCACCCCCACACACACACTCACCCCCACACACACACACTCACCCCCACACACACACACACACTCACCCCCACACACACTCACCCCCACACACTCACTCACCCCCATACACACTCACCCCCACACACACACTCACCCCCACACACACACTCAACCCCACACACACTCACACCCACACTCATTCACCCCCATACACACTCACCCCTACACACACTCACCCCCACACACTCACTCACCCCCACACACACACTCACCCCCACACACACACTCAACCCCACACACACTCACCCCCACACACACACACCCCCACACACACACTCACCCCCACACACTCACTCACCCCCACACACACACACTCACACACACACACACACTCACCCCCACACACACACTCACCCCCACACACACACTCACCCCCACACACACTCACCCCCACACACACACTCACCCCCACACACACACTCACCCCCACACACACACTAACCCCCACACACACACTCACCCCCACACACACACTCACCCCCACACACACTCACCCCCACACACACACTCACCCCCACACACACTCACCCCCACACACACACTCACCCCCACACACACACTCACCCACCCCCACACACACTCACTCACACCCACACACACACTCACTCACCCCCACACACACACTCACTCACCCCCACACACACACTCCCCCCCACACACACACACTCACCCCCACACACACACACACACTCACCCCCACACACACTCACCCCCACACACTCACTCACCCCCACACACACTCACCCCCACACACACACTCACCCCCACACACTCACTCACCCCCACACACACACTCACCCCCACACACACACACTCACCCCCACACACACACACACACTCACCCCCACACACACTCACCCCCACACACTCACTCACCCCCATACACACTCACCCCCACACACACACTCACCCCTACACACTCACTCACCCCCACACACACACTCACCCCCACACACACACTCACTCACCCTCACACACACACACTCACCCCCACACACACACTCACCCCCACACACACACTCAACCCCACACACACTCACACCCACACTCATTCACCCCCATACACACTCACCCCCACACACACTCACCCCCACACACTCACTCACCCCCACACACACACTCACCCCCACACACACACTCAACCCCACACACACTCACCCCACACACACACACCCCCACACACACACTCACCCCCACACACTCACTCACCCCCACACACACACACTCACTCCCACACACACTCACCCCCACACACACTCACCCCCACACACACACTTACCCACCCACACACACACTCACCCACCCACACACACACTCACCCACCCACACACACACTCACTCACCCCCACACTCACACTCACCCCCACACACACACTCACCCACCCCCACACACACTCACTCACCCCCACACACACACTCACTCACCCCCACACACACACTCACCCCCACACACACACACTCACCCCCACACACACACACACACTCACCCCCACACACACTCACCCCCACACACACACTCAACCCCACACACACTCACACCCACACTCATTCACCCCCATACACACTCACCCCCACACACACTCACCCCCACACACACACTCACCCCCACACACACACTCAACCCCACACACACACTAACCCCCACACACACACTCACCTCCACACACACACTCACCCCCACACACACTCACCCCCACACACACACTCACCCCCACACACACTCACCCCCACACACACACTCACCCCCACACACACACTCACCCACCCCCACACACACACACACCCCCCCACACACACACTCACTCACCCCCACACACACACTCACCCCCACACACACACTCACCCCCACACACACACACACTCACCCCCACACACACACACTCACCCCCACACACACTCACCCCCACACACACACTCACCCCCACACACACACTCACCCACCCCCACACACACTCACTCACCCCCACACACACACTCACTCACCCCCATACACACTCACCCCCACACACACACTCACCCCCACACACTCACTCACCCCCACACACACACTCACCCCCACACACACACACACACCCCCACACACACACACACACTCACCCCCACACACACTCACCCCCACACACTCACTCACCCCCATACACACTCACCCCCACACACACACTCACCCCCACACACACACTCAACCCCACACACACTCACACCCACACTCATTCACCCCCATACACACTCACCCCCACACACACTCACCCCCACACACTCACTCACCCCCACACACACACTCACCCCCACACACACACTCAACCCCACACACACTCACCCCCACACACACACACCCCCACACACACACTCACCCCCACACACTCACTCACCCCCACACACACACACTCACACACACACACACACACTCACCCCCACACACACACTCACCCCCACACACACACTCACCCCCACACACACTCACCCCCACACACACACTCACCCCCACACACACACTCAACCCCACACACACACTAACCCCCACACACACACTCACCCCCACACACACACTCACCCCCACACACACTCACCCCCACACACACACTCACCCCCACACACACTCACCCCCACACCCACACTCACCCCCACACACACACTCACCCACCCCCCCACACACTCACTCACCCCCACACACACACTCACTCACCCCCACACACACACACACTCACCCCCACACACACACTCACCCCCACACACACACACTCACCCCCACACACACACACACACTCACCCCCACACACACTCACCCCCACACACTCACTCACCCCCATACACACTCACCCCCACACACACACTCACCCCCACACACTCACTCACCCCCACACACACACTCACCCCCACACACACACACTCACCCCCACACACACACACACACTCACCCCCACACACACTCACCCCCACACACTCACTCACCCCCATACACACTCACCCCCACACACTCACTCACCCCCATACACACTCACCCCCACACACACACTCACCCCCACACACTCACTCACCCCCACACACACACTCACCCCCACACACACACTCACTCACCCTCACACACACACACTCACCCCCACACACACACTCACCCCCACACACACACTCAACCCCACACTGATTCACCCCCATACACACTCACCCCCACACACACTCACCCCCACACACTCACTCACCCCCACACACACACTCACCCCTACACACACACTCAACCCCACACACACTCACCCCCACACACACACACCCCCACACACACACTCACCCCCACACACTCACTCACCCCCACACACACACACTCACTCCCACACACACTCACCCCCACACACACTCACCCCCACACACACACTCACCCACCCACACACACACTCACCCACCCACACACACACTCACCCACCCCCACACACACTCACTCACCCCCACACTCACACTCACCCCCACACACACACTCACCCACCCCCACACACACTCACTCACCCCCACACACACACTCACTCACCCCCACACACACACTCACTCACCCCCACACACACACTCACCCCCACACACTCACTCACCCCCATACACACTCACCCCCACACACACACTCACCCCCACACACTCACTCACCCCCACACACACACTCACCCCCACACACACACTCACCCCCACACACACACTCACCCCCACACACTCACCCCCACACACACACTCACCCCCACACACACACACTCACCCCCACACACTCACTCACCCCCATACACACACTCACCCCCACACACTCACTCACCCCCACACACACTCACCCCCACACACACACTCAACCCCACACACACTCACACCCACACTCATTCACCCCCATACACACTCACCCCCACACACTCACTCACCCCCACACACACACTCACCCCCACACACACACTCACCCCCACACACACTCACCCCCATACACTCACTCACCCCCACACACACACACTCACCCCCACACACACACTCACCCCCACACACACACTCACCCCCACACACACACTCACCCCCACACACACACTCACCCCCACACACTCACTCACCCCCACACACTCACTCACCCCCACACACACACTCACCCCCACACACTCACTCACCCCCACACACACACTCACCCCCACACACTCACTCACCCCCACACACACACACTCACCCCCACACACACACTCACCCCTACACACACACTCACCCCCACACACTCACCCCCACACACACACTCACCCCCACACACACACTCACCCCCACACACACACTCACCCCCACACACACACTCACCCCCACACACTCACTCACCCCCACACACTCACTCACCCCCACACACACACTCACCCCCACACACTCACTCACCCCCACACACACACACTCACCCCCACACACACACTCACCCCTACACACACACTCACCCCCACACACTCACCCCCACACACACACTCACCCCCACACACTCACCCCCACACACTCACTCACCCCCACACACACACTCACCCCCACACACACTCACCCCCACACACACACTCACCCCCACACACTCACCCCCACACACACACTCACCCCCACACACTCACTCACCCCCACACACACACTCACCCCCACACACTCACTCACCCCCACACACACTCACCCCCACACACACACTCAACTCCACACACACTTACACCCACACTCATTCACCCCCATACACACTCACCCCCACACACACACTCACCCCCACACACTCACTCACCCCCACACACACACTCACCCCCACACACACACTCACCCCCACACACACACTCACCCCCACACACACACTCACCCCCACACACACACTCACCCCCACACACACACTCACCCCCACACACTCACTCACCCCCACACACACACTCACCCCCACACACTCACCCCCACACACTCACCCCCACACACTCACCCCCACACACTCACCCCCACACACTCACCCCCACACACACACACTCACCCCCACACACTCACCCCCACACACTCACCCCCACACACACACTCACCCCCACACACACACACTCACCCCCACACACTCACCCCCACACACACACACTCACCCCCACACACTCTCCCCCACACACTCACCCCCACACACACACTCACCCCCACACACACACACTCACCCCCACACTCACTCACCCGGTTGACGGCCGCTGCCCTCAGCAGCTGCTCTGCTTGCAGGAAGGTGAACACGTGCGCCAGGCAGTCAAACGGCAGCTGCTGCTGCTGCTCGCACTCCATTGCTGCCCTGCCGCGCCGGGGATAGGACTCGAACCGTCGGCTCGCACCCTGCGCGGCCACGAAGCCTCCCTCAGGTGGCCCCGGCTCCGTGAGCGGCTCGAAAATATCAGCGGAGTCACGGGGGGGGCTCGTTTGCTTCCGCGTGAACCCTAAGAAACGCGCGCGTGTCTAATCCAACAGTCGGCATCCGGGAGGTGGCGCTATCCGCGTGCCCACTCCACATTCCCGCGGGCGAGGGCACGGCCGTACCCCGTTTCGCTTTGCCACGAGCGGAAATTCCACATTCCTACGGTCGAGGAACAAGTCCACCCTTGCTCTGAGCCCGCGTTTGGGAATTCTCCAATTCTCTGGTTGAAGCCCAATACCGAGTGAGTTTGTTGCTTCAATTCCACATTCCCATGACGAAGACAAGTCCATCCATACTCTTGAGTCTGTGGTGTAAAATTCCACAGAACAGTATCATGGCCGGGGCTAGTCTGTTCATAAGGATGACCCGCTGTTGACCTCCCACAAAGTGGTACTGCTTGTTTTATCCACCCTCTTGAATGATGATTGATGTTAAATCTGTTAATAAAATGATACTTTAACTACCATATTAGACTCGTGGATTCATATCGTTGTTTAATCGCGTGGTTTAAGAATCGAAGATTTTGGATTCATATCGTGTAGTGGGTGGCCCAGATGTCTTGTGACACCCATTTAATTAACAAAAACTCTGTATTTTTTAAAGTACGGTTTGTTTAAAACACAAATGAATATGCAATGGATAACAATGTTGGGGGTTAATTCATTGGTGGTCAAAAGACATCTGGACCACACTGTACGGCGGTTCAGACAGAATGCTCCCCCGAGGGGCTCCTACCGAGGAGATGGAGCGATGGACTCGGCGCGTGTGCGGGGCGGATTTTTAAAAAATCACATTGCAGGATCGTGAGAGGTGGCGACGGCTCGGGGGAGGAGGCCTTCATCCAGCAGTGGATGGATGACGGCTGACGACGACGATGGAGAGAGTCCAGCTGTACACGCGCACCTCCGATTAGCACGGTTGGCTACGTGCGGTGCGAAAGAAGTCCAACATGCATAGACTCACACAGAGACCCATAGACACCACACAGACCCATAGACTCACACAGAGACCCATAGACTCACACAGAGACCCATAGACTCACACAGAGACCCATAGACACCTCAGATAGACCCATAGACTCACACAGAGACCCATAGACACCACACAGACCCATAGACTCACACAGAGACCCATAGACTCACACAGAGACCCATAGACTCACACAGAGACCCATAGACACCACAGATAGACCCATAGACTCACACAGAGACCCATAGACACACACATAGACCCATAGACACCACAGATAGACCCATAGACTCACACAGAGACCCATAGACACACACACAGACCCATAGACACCACACAGAGACCCATAGACTCACACATAGACTCACACGTCCGATTAGCACGGTTGTCTACGTACGGTGTGAAAGAAGTTCAACGCATACGTGTGCATACATAGCAGTAGTTGTGTTCAACGGGTTCACGTGACCCCTGCAGCCACGAGGGAGCGCTCTGCTCACCGCGATGTTTAAAAACAACGATTCTGTGGAGGGTCGGTAAACATCCCTGAAAAACATGCAAATCGAAGAAAGTTTTAGGGACTTAAAAAATACAAAGAGAGCAATTTTGCAATGAACGCCGCTTGCAATTGTCAACGCGTTTAAGGAAAACTTGGGATAAAATGGCATCCTTATAAGTTAACGCATTCACACGTAGGCTTTCGGGACCAATATCCATAAGAGGTATTTTTTGGATTAGATCTCGTAAATGTGTCGTTAAACCCGCCACCACCCGACACAGCCACTTTAGTAAGGTTAAATGTCGATTTAAAGCTTTCGTGACTGCAAGGATTCATCTTCTTTGGTTCTTTCGGTAAGGTCACGTAGAATGAGAATATAATAATAATTAGTAAGGTTGTTTTGTTGTCGTGACAAACCTTACTAATTGTCTTTGTCGGGTGGTGGCGGGTTTAACGACACGTCTCTATTTAGACGATCTATAACGCCCAAAAAAACCCCTCTGTTACGGCAATGAACGCATTCAACGTATCAAATCGTCGTCTGCATATCCAGCAGTGTGGGTGCACCACGCAATGACCTCGTGCTCCAAAGCGAGACACACGGGGGCCATCGCCATGGGCACGTGAAGTGCGATTGATACATCATGATAACACGTGCCTCGTCGGTCTGGGTGCCAACAGCACCCAATCCTCAACTGCGCCTTGCAATCCCAGACTCACAAACCTCGATAATTGCATCTATCCCCCTCCAACACCACCACCCCACTAACCAGAACCGGCACGCACCGTCAACACCGAAGTTGATTAGTGCACGCGCTCCACGCACCTGGGTGCATTGTGACTCGCGGCTTTGCACGTGCGACGATTCACCGGCACCGCCCCACGCGTGGTGGCTGTGGGGTTGGGGGGGGGGGATTTGCTCATCCAAACTCATCGCGCCCGCTCGATTGGTCGAGCCGGTTGCCAAATTATGTAGCTCCAAAAACAATCATCCTCGGCGCCTCCCTGCCATTGGACAGCTGCCGCGGATGACATCACCGACAGCGCGGCATAAAACCCCGCGCTCGCTTCAAATCGTCTCACACACACTTCGCCAGCTGCCAACAACGCACGGGGGCTTGCACCGGAGTTGTCGCCCTTGGCGCGGCTGGGGCTCCCCGCCGCCGCCACCAACTCCCGCGGGTCATCCGTCCAGGTTCATCATAATGGCCACCCGCGTCTTCTCTCGCTTGCTTGCCCCACTGCAGCGGCAGATTTGGCCGCTGGTGCGGTTTTCATCCTCCGCGTCTGGAGTCACGGAGGGGGTCTCAACCACCACCTCTTCTGAACCCGGCGCCAACACCTCTACACCATCTGCTGAACCATCCGCCCGGCCTCCACGCCCGAGGCCCGTCTGTAACGTCAGCGACATCAGCAGCTACCTGTGGACGCGCTACGACGAGACCAAGAAGTTGGTGAAAGGTAAGGCGAGGAGGGCCTTCTTCGCCAATATGAAGACCATTTTTTCTTGAATCTTCTAATAACACTAAGAGCTGCGCTTAGCGCGGGACTGGGTCTCTGGTCTTCCATTGTTAGTGGGCTAGCTCGAGGCGATCGTCTGGTCGGGATGATTTGTGCGCTATGGGACTGGTCCTGCTTTGGTGGTCCCCACGCTGCTACGCGTCTAGGGCTGGGTGGGTCCCCGACCCCCTTGTGTGTTTGAGTCCAGGCCACGGTTAAGTGGACGGTGATGTTTCGACCAGTCCCTTGTCTGCTTCTTCACCGCTTTGTCGTCCCCCCTCCCCTTGGAGGTATAGATTTATATATACTCTTTGAGTCTATTCGGTAAAGTCACGTAAAAAATATAAAAAATTCACGACGTTTCGATTGCAACAAGCAATCATCAGGTGTGAAAACCACTTTAGCTGCATGGTTATATACCAGTACATATCAGCAAGTGAATGTTTAATACCATATGTTAAAATATTCCTATGCTGTGGTGGTCAATCCAAACTTCACAACTTTTCAAGCCAAGGCTTGTGGATAATTGACCTTTTTCCTCTTGTGCCCCTCCAATTAGGCGGCAGTGCGCATTACAACAGAACTAACGATTACAGGGGGGGGGGGCATGGAACAATTCGGAGCTGGTCTTGCTTCGCTTCCAATACGCCTGACTGAGCCGATTTGTAAATATCGGCCCGTCTCCTGCTCCTAGGCGAGCGGAATGCGTGGGATTGTGGTGGTGCGCATCCATCCGTGGTGTGTTCATTCGATCACGTCGATAGCGGCGTGGTTTGTGTTACCCTCTGGCCAAGTCCCTTTCACTCGGACTTGCCGTTGTGGTTCCATATCGTTTACCCCGTATTCTTGTACAGAAAAAAATTAGTTCCCAGGTCCGTACGGCATACAGCCGTTTCAATACTAGCAATAAATATTGTTATCCCCTTTTCTGCGTGTGGTGGACTCCGTAGGATGACTGGTCAGAGTCTGACTTGGTCAAACGTTAGAACATCAATGAGGGATTGACGATTGTGGTGGTTCATTTTACCGCGGTGGTTGCATGGAACTTGGCTGTTAAATTGATGGTGCTTTACATTGACGACCATAGTTCACTGAACGTTAATTGTAACCATTTAACATTTATTGATTCGTTCTACTTGGGTAGTTGACTTTTCTTGTTGAGCGACTTTGTTTTTTTCTTGGCTAGCTGCTACATTTTATTGCATATTGACAGTGACGGCATTCCTTGTGGCGTTTGAGTAAATGCAAGACCCCAAACCGTATTGCACCGTGTGCTTGCAGGATGTAACAACGGCGCTGGGATTTGTATTCGTGTAATCGCACCCAGCACTAATAGCAAAATCGTACCAACGTTAAACTGCTTAAACGTTGCATTGCCAGGTGGTTGTCACGCAAGCAGTTTTAAATTGCCCGGCGAAATGCATTTTTAATCTTTACACCTGACGATAGCTCCGATGGTCGCAGCCTTGCCGTTGAGTACTTGATGTGGGCTGGACAACACAAATTGCCGCATTGGTCCCGGTAGCGATGTCGCATTACCGATTTGACCTTGGCAGCTGCCCGTTTACCGCGAGTTGACTGTTACCGACGACCTGATCGTTTTTACATCGATGTTAGTGTCCTAAAGTTGCCCGCGACGTGGTGGTGGTGCCAGCTGCACTGATGGTGGCGCGTCGCCTAACGTGCAACGCATTCCAGTCACGCGCATAGCCCACCGAGGGCGAACCCCGTTCACGAACGCCGCTCTGAAACTTGACGGTGATTAACACTTGCTTGCACGACCCTTGAAAAATGTACCACCGATGCAGTCTTTGTTTTGTAATGACAAATGTGTTTTTTTTAAGTGTCCTTATGTAAAATATAGCGCAGTAGAAAGTGTAAACAATTTATTTGAACACTGCACCGATTTATTCCGTCGCGTAAACACGTCTGCTGAAGACCGACATTTAGGTATTGGCCATCCGCTGCTAGATTTCCACCAAGCCATTGCGATCTGTCACCTAGCATGTTTACATAAGTAGGATTTTTTTAAATCTCAATCTCCGTTGCCTCCCCCTCCGCTGTCATTCCGGCCTACGAGGCATCCTGCCCAAGCCCGCAAGTCTCGTGGCAATAATTGGAACCATTTCTTAGACCCCCCCCCCCCTAGAATTCGGTGGGTGGGGGGGGGTTTCACTATGGATGTAATCAGCTGGAGCGCCCGCACCAGAACTTCCTGCAAACAATTTATAGCAACTGCGGCAAGAGGCGATCCTGCCGCACGCGCTGCGTTAAAAGCCGCCGCAGGGCTGCGCCTTTTAAAAACTCCATGCCTAAAAGCCCACAACGCTCCGACTGTTCCGTGATCGTGACTCGTCCATGGCCTGCCACTGCCTGGCGAGCCGTGCTGCCGTTCACCTCGAGCCGCCCCCCGCCCCCCCTGGCACCGTTATGGACTCGTTCCTCGTACGGAATATTTCTGGCTTAACTGGAATAAGGCGATCCCCACCCGCCGCGTCGTCTACCAAACCCACGTTACCCCACACCCCCTCTCCCCCCACCCCTTCTCGTGCCAGCTGTCTGGTAAACATCCTTCTCCAGAACGACGCGCTGTAACCGGTTCTAACCGGTTTAGTCGTAAGGGTAGCAAGATGCGCGGTTTGGATCGGGTAGGGAAAGTGAAGTGGTGGTTTAGGCCTCTTTATTTAATGCTGCTTCGGGAGCATTGCGGTTCCACATCCACCCTGCATGTCTCCACAATGGTGGAGCAGCTGGTGCCTGTGACCCTTCCCCCCCCCCCCCCCCCCCCCCCCCTATTCTTATGCTTGATTTGCCTAACACCGGTGGCGTGGTTTCTCATCTGATCATGCTCGTTCAATCTACGTGGACCTGCGTAGTAAAGTGTTTTTTTTTCTTTTGGTAATCCTCTGTACACGGTAGTGCCATCTGCCCTGGCTGAAGTTAAACCTAACACCCTAGCTTCCTCGTACCCCGTGCAGACATCGTGCCCCCTGGGCAATGCCACCTGCTGAACCACAGCGCCGTGTACGTCAACAACGAGCTGTGCCTGGACGACATCGGCACCTACGGCTTCGACTACGACTACACGCTGGCGCTCTACTCGAGCGCGCTGCACCACAAGATCTACAACGCCGCGCTCGACATCCTCGTCAAGCAGTACAAGGTGCATGACCGGCCACGCCGCAAATAACGATGGCAAATCCCTTGCTCCCCAATATCCCACGGTGAATGCACGTGGGAACGTTCACACCGTATGTAGCCAACCGAGTAAATTGGCGGTGGACCATGACTAAACGCATGTAAGCTGAAGCCTCTCCCCAGCAGTCGTGGTAAACTCGTGACTGTGCCATCCACCCTCCCCCTGCAGTACCCGGATGAACTGAAGAAGTACGAGTACCGGCCGGACTTTGCCACCCGGGGCCTCCACTATGACATCCACAAGGTTAGAGATGAACGGGTGTGGAAGGGGGGTCGGGTTGATGCCTGCCTGTCCACGTGTTAACTTGTCATTAGACAAGCATCTCCTGAGATGGCACTTCATTGAAGACATTCACTTGACATCGGGCAGAAACCCCACTGTAACAGGCCCCGAGTCTCTCCTGCGCATCTCCCTTGTATATCAACACAAGTCCACGCCACCTCGCTCATTCTCGCCGACTCTGAACGCTCGCACTACCGGCGGACTCCCGTCGCCTAACCATGCTCCTTTCTGACATTCCCGTAGCCACCAAGTCCCTTCGTGCTCGCAACTGATAACCATGTCATTACTTCCCGTGGCCATTAGTCCCCTTGCACAGCATGCAGGCTCTATCATTACACTTGTGAGAGCTAGAGTTGCCAACTCGGTGCGGCTATTCTGGAATGGTTTTTCAAATGTTTTTCACATCTCCCGATTTGCTTTTTCAAAAGTTGCTTGTAGATGTCATTTCCAAGAATTGTGGGGCAGTCCGGGCATGTTGGCAACCCTGTGACCATCAGTCTAGAGGTAATTTAAGCTTTTATGTAATGCCAGGTGTGGGGTCCATCCTGCTAACATGCATCACAAACAGTGGTTGACATTTACTGCAGCCTGCACCTTTTGGTTCTTGGCATCCCAGAGGGGTAGGTGCACCCCACGGATTAAGAACCGCTTGTCTTAAAGTGTGCCTGGCCAAAAGGGGTGAACAACCTTTACCAGCCAAGGTCCACTGACCTACAGTATTGCTTTATTTTCAAAAGCAACTTGGCCAGAAATGAGCTCCACGAGTTGGATTGTGGAACTATAGCAGCCAGATACTCTAAATGCACATTGTTTCTAAATGGAAACTCAACACGACCACTGAGGCTGTGCAAACTGCAAATAAACATGTTGGGATCGGACCAAATAAATCTGAGGCAGTTAAAATCTTCCCAATGTGACCACCACCTAAAGCTCTTGGCATGGCACAATTCGCTACAACCCAGAAACACATGATGGTATACAACACAACCATGCGCTGTCACGACCACAAGCTACGTGGTTGAGTGCCACCGTGGTTGGGCCTGACATAGATTCTAACTTGGCCAGGGGATTTCTGGGACTGGAGGTTTGATCAGGCGGCGGAAACTTAAAGCAGGGGCTTGTAGATTGGACCGACCCAGACCTGTTGTCAATTCTAATTGCAACGTGAACTGAAGCGACATTGCCACGATGATCATTGTGGAATGCACACGAGTAATTGGCCCCTGGGGTCTGGTACCGTTGGTCTATAACCGCCGCCTGTGTTACCAGGGGCTGCTCATGAAGATCGACGCCTTCCATCACGTCCAGCTGGGCTCGGTGTACAGGTGCGCGAGCCTGGCGACCCATCGGGACCTTGTTATTGTAGTGCCTGTCGGTTTTTTGATCTGACTTTTTGGGCTGTAATAATTTGCACCCCACCCCCTCACCGTGAAAGCCAAGGTTTGTCAGTGCAGTTCTAAGATCTCAATTCGTGACTGGTAGGCCGAAAAATTAGATTTTTGGAACACCTTGTAGAGGCCCTAACACCATCTGTAGCCGTCTGCTGCTATTGAAGGCTGCCCCACTTGTCAATGGGCGTTTTGACATACATCATCACACTGGACTGTTTTGCAGGAAGGGGTGGCAAAGGACCAGTTAGGGGATAATCGTCTCTTTGGGGATCCACATGACTTGTAATGTGTACTGCTGCTCAAACCTGCAAAAATATTCTGCATTTCAAGGTCTTGCTCTGTTACACGATGTGAAATGACCCAGGTTTGGCAGTGGGGACAATTGCTAACGGTATCTAAATATTATTTTTTTTTACTGGAGAAATTTGAGCTATGAAGGGGAATGTAACAAACAATAGAATCGAAATCCAGCTTGCATTTGTGCTGGGATGGTCACAGTCGGTGTTACTCTAACGACCATTGTCATCCACCACAGGGGCTACTCGCCGGTACCTGACGACGAGGTGATGAGCCTCTACAGTGGCACCCACGTGCGCCTTCACCAGATGACCGACTTCTACGGCAAGGTCGGTTAACACACCTTAGATTTTTTTTTCGCCCACCTGTGCCGAGCCATTTACCTGCTGCGTCGCTCGTACCAGGTTCTTGTCCCGTGCATTCCCCAGCTTGTCAACCAGTCGCTACTGTTTGCACCCAGCGGCTGTGCTGATAGCTTGCTTGCACCCTAATAACCACAAATCCCTTTCCCCGACTCGCATGATGGCAAGCTTGGAGGGTGTTTGTGGGCCTGCAGGATTTTGTCAGAGGGAGGCATGCTCATTGTCATCCTAGGAAGTGTAGGGAATGTCTGAAGTCTACATTTGTGAAGCTGGTGTTTTTCCTGAGCTTGTTGGTGTTCTGCCAATAACGGCTTGTTTGTGAACTACCCGCAGCAATACAGTCTGGGTAGTTCCCCTCCCCCATCGGAGTACGTACTGCCAGATTGAATCTGCTCGTGCACGTGTGCGAGGCACGTGTCTCCACACGCAGGCTGTGGTCTGCCTCTGCGCTAAACCACTCCCACAAACGGCACCCCTTGGGGTTGGTGCTGCCCCAATGCTGGTTGTCGGGGCTCTGCAGTAAGGGGGCAAAAGTTGTCAGGATTCCCCTCGCGTTCCATACGGCTGCCGTCTTGTGGACTGCTATAGTATAGGTAAATAGAAATTGTTAATATGCGTTTTAAACTCTCACCATTACTACCCTCTGCAGATCCTGCAGTTGTCATGAATATGTCTACGATAGCAACTCTTTGCATGCAAATATTTTAATGATGCCCCTGACTTTGTAGCACTGCATGCACCACCCATGTAGTTGTGTGTGCAAAGCACTAAAATGGCTCGCTCTGTCACAGCAGCTGCCACGTGACTGCAGGCCTCATCCGGATTTGAACCAGTCTGGCTGCGTGCCTGCCCCCTTATCAGACTCGGGATGCTTAAATGTCAAGATGGGACCTTGCATCATGGCAGACGAATCCTGGGGTTGATCCAATAGACCAATGTTATATTGCCATTTTTGGATGGCAATTGCATTTTTTTAGTGGGCGATTTGCTGATTGTCCAGGAAATAAAAAATATTTTCTCATTGGAAATTTAGCATTAGTCTCGATTCAATATTTGCCTTAACATTGCAGCTGAACGGTAGCACCTTCGGTGGCCAGAAATGTGGAGATATTTTAGAATGACTATTGTTCAACTACATTTATACCAGTTGCATGGGAACTCTATCTAGACTGCGTCCAACAAAGCTGTCTGTCCTGAATGAGCCAGGTTGCACCATCGCTATTTAATTTCATGTCCCACTAATTTAACGCACTGCGTATTGATTATTCATATGGTACGCCACCCTGTTTAAAACTGGGTATTGATTTTATCTTGGCCTGGAAACTGGCCATGTTCGTATCTCAATGCCCTTGACCCTGGTTACAATCTGGCTATACAGGCAGGTGACTCACTGAATTTCTGCAGCATATAAATCCATACAGCCAGTTTTGGTAACATTCGAAAAAGTCTTGGCAGTACTGCAATTGCCTTATGTCCAGGTTCTCACGTGGGTGCTTGTTTACCTCTTTCAAACGGGCAAATCGACAATCGTTTTTAGTTGGCTGCAGGAATGTGTGCTGGCCTGCATATTCATTTCAAGGCTGGGTATCTACAAGGAAAAATCCTGTAGATACATGGCACACCACTGCGGTCCATGATGGGTGTTTTGAACTAACTGCACGTCCAGCGTTTGCTTTTTTGACACATTGGAGACTTGCAGGCAGTGTCTTAACAGTCTTTTAGAAATTGTTTAACCCATCACACCTGTCCGTTCCATGATGTACTCGATGAGCAGGACTGGTAGATGCATCTGCCAGCTGACCAAATAACACTTTTTGGTGCAGGGAAGCCGCATGAAGCAGTACATGGATGTGTTCTCCATCCCGGAGATGACTCTGCTGTCCAGCGTCAACGACCACTTCAAGGACAACCGCATTGAGTACGACCCCATACACCTCTACAAGGATGTGTCGGTAAGTTACCCATCCGGCACTGCCAACCCCATCCTGGTACATGCGCCAATACGCGACAAACCTGCACTGACTTTTGTTTTGAACTGGGCCTGGTTGGCTCGTCTCCTCTAGCACCCTACATTTACCCCCTGTTTTAGTGCAACTTGCCACAATTTGTAGTTTATGTATCTGATCTTGTGGTATTGCTGTTCTGGACCTCAAGCTGTTGCATGGTCCAGTGTTGGTCAATGACGACCTCACTCTTAACTTTGTTCATTGGAGGGGGGGGGGGGTTAACGTTGTGCATGGCCAAACTGCTTAATTTGTCTATGCAGTGCTTATAGAAGGGGGGAGGGGGTCACTGAGTTGTCTGGGCAGTGCTAAGGGGGTCAGCTACTTGAGGCTTCGTTAGTCCAAGCATGGCATGCATTCAACCTGATCCATTATGGTCAAGTTTGCCAGCTCCCACTGGGCACTGAGGTAGCTTGGGACCGTTCCCATTCCGACCTGGGATTGCTTGCAACTAATTTGACACTGACACAAGGCTCCTGGCAATTGATAAATTTTCACCCTAGACTTTACATGGCTTGCTGTTGAAGATTTTGATCTCTTGGCATTTGCTTCCCACAATGAAGTTTCTTTATGCTTGCTAGACCACTTTTTTTATCAGACTCTTCTCAATTCCGTTTTTGTTTTTGTAAAATTCCTGGTTTCGCCTATTTTAAAGATGCCCAAGTGGCTTTTAAATGGACTAGCAAATTGGTCCAAAACGAAAAACAACCTACACTGACACCGCTATTGATGTTAACATGGATATTTGCAGCAACTACAGAACATAACGGTGTAACGAGTGACTTGTTTCCGACTCAGTGTTTTCAAGACTTGGCACAATTAAATGGACCCAACCATTGCACGTCACCAGGGGGGAGGGAGGTAGGGCATCCGTAGCATTCCCCCCCCGCCCCCAACTGTTAGTTTGGAATGTTCTGCTTGTAATACAGTCCAGCTGGTACTCTAAGACAATCACATGATTTGGTCAAACAGTGCTTAACGCCAGTTGCCTCCGTGCATCTCATGTGGTCACAACCCAGTTGCCCTGACACGGTGTTGCTGTGCGCAATACGAAGTCCACAATCGCGTCGTACCTTTTGGCATTTGCAGTGATCAATATTCTGGACGTGTTCTTAAATACGTTCCATGTAGTGTTGGTTCGGACTTGCTCCATCTGATCTATTAACTATATACCATCCTTAAGAGCGGCTTTCAGTCGAACGTTAAAGCCCGTGTCTTGGTGGTACTCTGCCGCACCATTCCTGCCCTAACCCCAAGTACTAGCAAACTGCACATGACAACACTCTGGCGTGAGCAATCTTCCTCTACACAATCTGTGCTTCGCCATATTGCCCGTGACTTGTGTACGATTCAGTTCCAAGCTTTGTGAATGGTGCCTGTGCCCCCCTACCCATGGATGAGCACAAATGGGCCCTGTTTGCCTGGTGCAAAGCCCTAAAAGGAGGGAGGAGGGGGTGGAATTTCATATAAATCTCCTACAACTGCTTGCAATGCTCAATTTGCACGAAATGGCCATGATCTAGCAGCCCTGCCCTTGTACGTCTGTTCATGCCTTTTTTGTGTGCAGCATTGCCACTGCATGTTTGCTAAAAGCGCTCCAGACGGCCATTCTGCAGCACATTGCAAAATATTGTAACAGCCAGATCCTGGGAGTGCCACGGTCTGTATCCTGGCTCCCACACAGTGAAAAAAGCATGTTTACGTTGTACGTCTAACAATTTAAATAACTATCTGTATACATCGCCTAGCTTGCTCCCTCGGTGTGCTGCATGATCTTGCCTTGCATCGATGTGTAGCATTAATTCGTTGTGGTGTAACAGGGAGAATGATGGGGGGTGCCGCATTTTGACGGTGGGGTGGATGTGGGTTCTGCTTGTGAGGGTTGTGGCTCTAACATGCAGACATACTCGGATAGATTCCCCCCCCCCCCCCCCCATGCAGCCTATACAGACTGGGGGCTTATGCTGGTTGCAGAGGGCCTAATTAAGGCCATGCAGTGCACAAGGTGTCAAGCATCTGACCAACTTGTTGGTTCAATGTTGACGGCAGCACCAGAATAGGGGTAGGCTTGACTGCGTCACAGTAACTGGAACTTTTTTCATTGACTGGTCACCTGGATAAAACTGCCAGTAAGTCTTGGGCTACGTCAACCAAGGGGGGGCATCTGATCTTGGTTACATCAGGAGGGAGGTAGTGCAGGCCCTTCACTTACTAATTTGGGTAGGTCAATACTGTTCATGGTTGTGCTGGTAGTTAAATGTGTTCAGGCTGGAAAGGGGCAGGCAGCACAATATTTACACTGCAGTCACACTGTTTAAATTAGCGTCTAGCATTAGGTAAACGTTTAATGGTGGTTTGGCCTTGCCCTGGAATTGAACTCTGCGTACTCGGTTCGTAGCACAGTAATGCACGTCTTGAACAGACATTGCAACACGAGCACACTGCATGACTGCACACGCAGAGGGGATGAACTCTCCATTCCAGAAGAGCAGTTGTGCAAAAGAGCGGAAGGAAGTGGGGGTAGCAGGGGTGTTACTGAGCAGGGGTTGAAGAGCAGGCAGTGCTGACGGATTTGCATTGTTTTTGGCTCTTAATGCTGCTGAAGATGCCTTGTCTCGTTGGGTCAGACCGAGGTGTCTAGCAAGTAAGGATGCATGCCTGTAACGAACTGGCCATGCAAAAAAATATGCGGCTGGACTGTGCCAGTCGGTATCCATCGGCGTGCATATGTAATTGTGCAGACTGGCTGATTATTAGGGAGAGATTTCAAAGCTGTATGGGGGTGATCCAAACATGTAGAGGGTTGTAGTCTGTTTTGGAGGCTTTACATGGCCTATAGCTCCCAAAAGGGTTGAAGTCATCTGGCTTTGCCAGAGCACGTGCTAGTTGTTTTTTTTGAAGTTGCCACACAGCACGTGCCCTTGTGCAGACATGGTGGCAGCATAACAGTGGGGTGGTGAGGATGAAGAATAAGTGGCCTAGGTGTGACAAGAGTCCCAGACTTGTTCAAGTTGTTTTTTGATCGATAAAAACTGACTGACTATATGGCAACCAGCCGTGGCTGTCACCAACTTCTGCTAAGAGGGGGGTTTAATTGAACTTTTCACTTTTACCCAGGTACTATTAATACATGCTGGGAATCCATTTACCATTCTCACAGCCGTTGCCTCAACCTTTGGTGTGGCTTTAATGCTGAACTAATCCAGTTGCAAGATCTTCCCAATCCACTGCTGGATGGAGGCCCTTTTCCTCTTCCATACGAGTGGTTTAGCCAAACGTTGCCAACCCTGGTAGATGGGAGGGAGTTGACATAAGGTGGGTGCCTGGAATGCTTCAAATGTCTCCTACTGCTGGCCATCGCCTGTAATTGAACTTGTTTGTTAATTGCCGACTCCAAAGCATCTGCTCCAATTTTTAGGCACAAACAATATTGCTTAATATATGGATTATTCAAGTACTTGTTCTTCATGCCCGACTACAATCGTTACAACCTGGTATGTGTGCCAGCTGGCGTGTTTGGCTGAACTTGCCATGTGTAACTGGCACACTAGGCAATTTGGTTAGCATGCTATTCTACAAACCCTGTGACTTCCCTTTTTTTTCCAAATGGCTGCTTGCGGCCAATGGACAATTATCTGAATGCATTTGGGCCTCTGAAATCTGCCTCATTCGTACTTGATGTGATTATTTAAATTGCTGCTGGGGATATGAAGGTGGCCTGGCCTGCTTCTGACCACCCACCTTTAGCTTTACAAGTTTGCCAACAGCTCTTGTCCTAACATCTCTTAAGGCTATATACAAGGTATCTACATTTAACTTTATACATAATGCATGGCGCTTCCTGCAAAGCAGTTGCCTCCATTGCTGAAGTTTTTTTCTGCATGAGTGGAAGATCGGGCATCCTTACAAACGAAGGCATGCTGACCCCCCCCCCCCACATTCCTGAGGCCCTGCCTTGTACAGGGTGGGGTCTGGGAATTCTTAGCCACAAAGACGAATATTGGTTTTTAGCCCTTATCCACTGCTGCCTGAGCCCATGGCTAGTTCAAGTTGGTAAATGCACCTTCCTACTAAGATGTAGTTTAATTGAGCTTCAACTAATTTGTATTGTTTTGCTTGAATGTTTAAATCGGTGCCCTTAAAGTTCAGTAAACCTTTAGCAAATTATCCAAATAAAGATGAGACGCTGTAATATAATGGTGCTTAAAAGGCTGGGGACCTTAACAAGTGTACGATACTACTCTTGCTGCATTTAGGGCCCAGTGGTGAGGGTTGAGAGATGCCCTTGGGAGGGATTTGGGATATGAAGTGCATAGTGGGAAGCGGGCAATAGACGTAGTGGGGGGTGTAAGCGGAAGACCTGAGCGCAGTTGACAGCCAGCATCTTTTGTTAGAAAAATCTTTGGGCTCTTGAGGGGGAAGCCCAAAGGACAAGTTGGCCCTCTACGTGCACGTTGTCAGGTCGTGCGCCAGACTCCACATTCTAACTATATCCGTTGTCTGACTTTAATGATCCCCCAGACACAAAACAAATTAAAATAACCCAAAAAATAAAATTTTCACATGATGTCCCACCCTGCGTCATGTGGGTTTTTTTTTAGCTTTGTCGTAACGGATGAGGGGGGGGGGGGGCTGTCTGGAATGGCAGCGCCTTTTGTGCTGTAGCCAGCAGTGCTCTTGCCTGGCCTGAGCACAGATGCAGGATCACAACCTTTGACATGACCCCTACATTGATCGAGTGAGTCGCCCTCTTTGCTTTTAAGAGCTTGACAAAGGTTGAGCTCCCCTCCCATATGCGCGTGAGTAATTGGAAACTTGGCTGCTTTATGGGACAAACATTGTGAGTGGTTGTGCCCCTGCCTCCACTGAATTTTAGCAGCTTTTGGTTCATGTCCAGGCCATCGCTAACATTAGCAAATGTTATTCAAACGTTAGGCCTTCCCTAGGTTCACTCACTTGGCATAACTGTTCATGTGTGCACGGCTATAACCGTGGTTGGTGTTCTGTCTCCCCACCCTCTGTTATTGTGGCTCTAACATTGCTTGTTAAAAGGGACTAAATAATTTAGGGGTTTTTAAACTGACCAAATCTTGACCCTTGCAATTTTCAAACCGTTGCCCTGCTTTAATCTCAACTGGAGGCCCAACATAATCGCTGAACTTGACCATTACACTGTTCTTGACATCACCGAAGTTAAACGTGCATGGCTTGGAAATTAAAAAATAATTGTCGTTTTTGCTGTACAGCCTTGAATCGTGAGGGTCTGTTCTGCCAGGATTTTACAAGTTCTAGTAAAACGGGCAACCTGCAAAAGGTGTTAGCAAGACAACATTTTGACACTGCAACTCCACGTAATTGTCGAATCTGCTGCTGACAGATTCCTCAGCTTTTTTATACTGAAGGTGACTCGTCTTTTCACGTTTCTGTTTTGTGGCCAGGACGCGGTGAGGGATGTCCACGTGAAAGGGTTGATGTACAAGATCATTGAGGAGAATCTTGGTATGTTCACACGTGGCTAGAAGTCCCCTGTGTAACCCACATGGGCTAAAGGGAAAGTAATTATAGTGAGCACCCAATTGGTGGGGGAATGAAGCAACCACACCCAGCCACCTTTGTCTCCCACTACACGCTATACCAGGTTTTCCAACGAAGGCCCAGGTCTAGTGGGTATTTGTCAGATGGTGATTGCTGTTGGCTCTGGCCTGATTTGTAGTAGTGCATTTTCAATGGCTGCACAGCTATTCCCCATGGTGCATAAACAAACGAGGAGATGGGTAGACACTTATAGGGCTAAACACTGACATACAGAAGGCCACATCTTGTAAAATTCAGTGGCCAAACCAAGTGGTGTTGATACTTTTGAAATCTGCTCGATGGGCGGCTATTGACTTTTCCTGCCACACTTGCCGTGTGGCATTTCAAACCCTCTCAGGCAGTTGTGTCGGGAACCCATCCTACCCGTGCCACTTCTTAACGTGTACATGCGTGTGTTTAACATGACCCTTGCCGGTATATGCTAGAGGTGGGTTGATGAATTGCAAAGGTTGTGAAACCCTCCCGTGAGCATTGGGCAGCATACCCAATAGGTTGCTAGTTCACTTGCTTTACTGCTGTCTAATCTCCATCTGTACGGAGTTGCCCCTTCGTGGATGTGGGCTTTTTCTGTTGCTCTGTTCTGCTAAAGTGTGCATTTTAATTGGCTGAACATTTTAAAAATAGACCCAATACAGCAGGAAACCCCTCTCAATAATCCAAAGATGCTGGCTCTTCTGGGTCAAAAAGTAACCATTCAAGTCTATCCATTTCTACCCTGTTTCCATGCTTCCTCACTGCCAGCCTGCATTCACCCCCTCTGCACTCCATTTCAGCCTAATTGCTATCACCCCCTCTTCTCACCCTTTTCACTCTCCCAGAGGAGTACATCCAGAGTGGGGAGGAGACCTATGCTGTCCTCCAGAAACTCGTGAGCTATGGCAAGAAACTCTTCCTCATCACCAACAGTCCGTTCAGCTTTGTGTGAGTTAATCCCCCTGGGTTTGGCTCTTGCCACCCCCAGGCACTGCAACTACTCAAATCGACAACCTACATTTGCATTTAATCAAGGCCATTGATGATTATTTTCTCGACTTTGCCCAAATAAGTCTACAAGTTGACATGGCCACGATGGGAAAAACTTGGTCTGAAATCAAATTGCGGGGGGGGAGTTATGGGCGTTCCATACCTGGTGGCCAATGTCTCAAGTTGAGACTGGTGCCAGGAAAGCTGGTCCCATCGCTTCATCCTGTTCCAGCAGCAGGGGACAGAGGTTGAGCCAAGGCGAATTTGTTCCATCTTGAAACAATGACCATGGCGGTGCTCTGTCTGTGTTGGTGCCGTACATCCAATAGTTTGTTATTTTCATGTCCACCCTGCGTTTTTATTGGAGCCCTGGGAAGCGGATGCAGAGCCAACTGATGCCAAAACTACTGTTTCGGAAGATGAATTTCTTTCCAGGTCGTGTGAACCGGAGTAGGTGATGTACAACGCATGGCCATGGCACTTGGAGTGGTTTACTTGCTATAAACATTCCCTTCAATATGGAACCCATTGCCAAGCCCCCAGTGGGCCCCATGTTTTATGGAAATGTTTGCGTTCCAATTTTTAAAACGATACAAACTTAGTCCATAGGTTGTGTATTTGGTACCAAATGAGACACACATGCTATTCATGAAACACTGGCCTTTGCACCACATTAACACGTTGTGGTTGATGTTAGGGCACGGAACCAGTTGGGTTTTAGACTGGAAATTGACCTGAGGGTATTAGTTCCTCACAATGTTTTAAATTGCTTTAGAAAATATCGAACTTTTGCAACATTGCTTAAGGACAAACCATTGATTGTGACCCAACTCTCTGTCCTTGGCTCTGCAGCAACAAAGGGATGCTGCACATGGTGGGCGAGGACTGGCGCGAGCTGTTTGACGTCATCATCGTGCAGGCTGAGAAGCCGGCCTTCTTCACGGACAGCGCCAAGTATGAAGGGGGGCCCCCTCACCCTCGCCTCCTAAACACTCGCAAGCCGGGCTTTGCACTTGTGTTGCTTTTTTAACACGTGGCACACCAGGGTTGGCAGGACCATGCAAATAACATGCTGGGAAATGCCCAAACCTACTGGGCTTGGTTATCAAATGGAAGTGTATCAAGTGGACTTGCCCTATAGAAAAAAATGCTTGGCCCAACAGTTGATGGGAAAGTCCTATGCGTGCTTATTAAAAATAAAAAAAAAAAATTCCTGAACTTTAGCACAGTACGTAGCCAGCCATGTACCCCAAATCTTTCCGTTCAACTCGAGCTGTGTAGACTGGTTTCTTCCCCCAATGTTGAGGTTGTGATCTCTGATCGACTCCCAACCCTTAGTGACCATGAATAATGTAGAGACCCAAGATGCGACTGCTTGTTTTGGATCGGCGAGGCTGCGCTCACTGCCAAATGTAACCAGCACCACAGTCCAAACAAACTCGAACATTGCTTTAAAACGAACTTTATATTACCACTTGGATTCTCCAACTCTCTCATGGCTCTAAACATGGGTGTGGCACACTTTGCCAGGAACCTGTTTATTCTTTGATCCCATTACATCAATACTGCCAGTTAACTCTATCCTGCCGTGTGCTTCCCCAGTACCATTAGTTTCCAAATGTTTGCACTCCTTTCCATAACCAAGCTTGGTAATCTTTTGGTGTAATGTACTTTGTCAATACCGTTAATTTATTTACAAGGTTAAAATGTTTCCATGCTTGAGATTTAATATGTAAAAAAAACTTTCTCTAAGCATTATCTGCTTCGTGCTAACCCATGAAAGCCACTTTAATCTCAATCCAAAGTCGCGTGCCACTAGCTTTTTGTGACTCTGCTGCCTCATGCCAAGATATAAATGTTTTTTGGAGTCTTAAACTCAGCTGAGTGCACGGTCTGTCCTCTGAATTGGATAAACACTTTTGCATCTAGCCTGCGGCCTGAACTTTAAGGGTACATAATCCTAATGTTTCTCTGCTATTGACATCCCTGCTTGTCAATAGAATAACAATCTTAGGTTCATGCTGTCTCGACTAAGCAAATACCTGTTCCCCCCCCCCCCTGTTTCAGCTGGGGGCAACAGTGGAAGGAAACAGGAGTGAGGGCCAATGTGCTGACCTTTCAGGAAAACAAATAGAATCCCTCACTTGGCACAACGCCTTTTTTACCTTGACCTGCCTGCTGGGGGGTGGGAGGGGGGCTGAACAAAAAGGAGGAACCTGAATGAAAACCTGGCTCTCAAGTGTGGTTTGTGGCTTATGAGGGAATGGAACTGGCAATGACTGCTGTCGCTGCAGGCGCTCTCTTCACTTGACCCACCCAGAGATGCATCCCTGTTGTCAAGCCATTGCCAGAATGAAGGCCTGGGCCCCCACCCCCTGTCTGCCCCACCCAACAGCATGTCACCTGGATACCACCATTCTGTATTATTTTGGCATTGCTAACACCTACTCCTGCAAGAATCTCAATCATGGCTCTTTTACCTCCTTTCCCAGTTGTGCCTTTGACCAAAGACTCATTGAACAATCAATTTGACTTTAGTGAATTTATTCCTGGTCATAGTACCCTGCTTGCAGAACTCTGGGGAAAATCAACATTTTTGGGGTTCCATTTTTTTTCGTTTAAGCTGTGGTGCGATGTTCACGTCATTTATCTCCTGCAGGCCCTTCCGCCGCCTAGACGACTCTGGCTGCCTCCAGTGGGACAAGATCGACAAACTGGAGAAGGGCGAGATCTACCAGCAGGTAAAACGGCCTATAAGCTACAAACTTTTCTTTTGCTGCTTTTGGGTCAAACCTTTGAGGCTGGGTGGCTTTGTTCAGATGCTGTTGCTGGAACAACTTTCTCCTATTCTGGATTTGACCTAGCTTTTTACAACTTTAGTTTTGCTCTTTACATCTTGCACATGTTACACTTCATGTTTTACACTTGAAGTAGCTTGAATCAGGACGACTAAAAATTTATTTCGGTTGCCCATAACTTCAACTGGTTTCCTAAGTGTCAATGCATTAATCTCGACCTAGTAACCAAAATTACAATCTCAAATCCTGAGCTTAAACCCTATTGATGTAGCTCTGAAAAACAACATCTGGGATAAATATTCCTACCCCTCCTCCTTGCAGGACTTCTCACCTTTAAGGCATCTTGTCAGATTCTATGTGTCCCTTTTTTAGAGTCATCTCAAAATGATGCTCATGTGCCGATTTCCAAATGGATTTAGTCACGTGACAACCAAAAGTTGGAGGTGCACGTTGCCTCAACGGCTACCATGGCCGTTGTCCAAGGTCATTGAAACGTGGCAATGACCAGTTTACAATCCGTCTCCCACGGGCACCGTGCATGCTGTTGCCAACCAGTGCCTCGCATGGATTTGGTCGGTGGGCTGTTAAAGCTGGCAGCACAAGGCCTTCACTCGTGGTGATGGATGAGATTTTTGTAGTGGGGCACATGAGGTTTGCACAAACCAATGGGTGTTCACGTCACCCCTGTTTTAACGGCTTGCACGGTACTATCAACCGCCATGGTCAAATTCAATGATTAACGCATTGAATCGTTAATTGGGGCCAGTTTATTCCATGCCTGGCGGCAAGACTTCATTTTTGCCATCTGGGTAGGGTGACCTGCGAAATGTATCCCTGAACCCGGCACGCCACGTCCAGTAACGTTTGCATGATGGCTGGTGGTGTCGCATACCACGTTCTACTCGTGGGGTTTGGGTGTAATTCCGTTTGGCTCGAACCAGGGATTTAATTTCAGCTAGGGTCTTTGTCCTGTTCAGTGACCCCCCCCCCCCCCCCCCTGCAATGCTCGCAAAGAAATTAATCTCCTGCCTAGCAACGTCCATATGCTGCAGCCTCCGCTGTCTGGGGTGTTTTTTGTTTGGACCAGCAATCCCTGATGGTGCATGCAGCCGTGGGGGGTGAGGTTGACGGGGTAGTGTGACTGTCGGGATGAGGCTGCCTACGTGCAGGCTCGCACGTGCCGCTCCAGACACTGCCCCACCGCTCCCCACCAATCCCCCCCCCCCCCCCCCGATTTTAAGGGGGACGTGGCGGTCAAAGCCATTGCCAGCCCCGGTCACCCACCCATCGCTCCCGTGTGCCTTGTCGCACTGCGGAGGCAAGAGCGTTACAGGGGGCTGTAGTTTAAAAAATTAAACCTTAATTGCACACGACGCATGTGGCTGAGCCCAGGAGGTTTATCAGGTACCGCCTTGTGTGTTGCATATGGGCCGTTGTCCATAATTTACATTTTTGCAAGGGAGACCTGTGGATGCTTTGTGTTCACACACCTCGCATTAGCACTTGGCTACTGCGCACGCCGCAACCAATTTGCATACCGCTCCATCTTTCACGCTCCTGATGCTTTTGCTTTTTTTTATCAAGCTACCGGCAGTGACTTTGCAATAGCTAGAGCTGAACGTTGACGAAAAATCGCTGGTACACGGCTTTGACACCAAAAGCTTGTAATGTGGCTCAATGACTCAAAAGACCCATTGATATTCATGGATGTGGCTGCGGTGCTACGCAATGATCTCCCACCCCCCTCCCCCGTGTCTGCGAATGGAACATTCTTGTCGCTGCCTGACGACAAAATTCGTGTTGCCGGATTGAAGCTTTTTACCTTCAGATGGCGGGGGGGGGGGGGGTGTAGCCGATTTAATTCCATCCTTTGTATTGGAGGGGGACGGTGGTAGAACAGAACGGTTGGGGCAGTGGCTTTTTTCTTTACGCAACTCGAGTTCAGATTAAAATTCATTAGATGAGAGATTTTTTTTTTTAATCTGGAGGTATCGTCCTTACAAATGCCCCCCCCCCCCCCCGACTTCCTGCCCAAGACCATGTGTTTTTGTTAGCAGCCCTGCGCTGTTTACGGAACGTCGAGTCCGTAGGGGGCGGGAAGTTGAAGCCGTTTGTTTACGTGAGATATTTAATTACTGCTGCTGTTGCGTAAGGGCGAGGGGGGGGGGGATCTTGAAAAGTCTGTGCCACTCTGGCCTCGCTGGCATGAGGAAGACGATTTATTAGATTAAGAGCCCATGCACTTGCTAGTGGCCACGTGAGCACTTTACCAGCATGCACAAAACAAATTGGGTTGCGGTACAGTGAAATTAATTCAAGATTAGTTGCGTTATTTCCATGAAAGCAGGTCCTTTTAAAGGACGTACCAAGTTTTTCCAAATACATTCGGCAAACTGGCCAGGTTGCGATTTGAGTTCGCGTGACTTCGCAATTTGGAAAGACCAAGTTCAACCCCCACCCCCCACCGACTAGGGTCTAAAGCTTTTTAGGCGACGAGAATGGTTTTTTTTTCCTGTGGCACGACTGGCCTCTATCGGCCAGACGTGGAATTCTCACTAGCTGGGTATCCCCTACAGAAGTGCTACCCCCCCCCCCCCATGCCTGTTTTTGACCGGCAACTCTCCACGTCGCATGAGACACTTTGTCTTTTAACACTGCTGGCGACTCGCGTTTTGAAACTTGGTCCACGTCTTGCCTGCTTTTGGACATTTGCCGTGTACATTCTATTGTTAAGATTTAAATTCTTAACCTGCTTGGTGGCATTCATCCGCTGGTACCCAACGGTTTAACCTAATCTCATCGACTATCGGTGTAGGCAAAGTGCGTAATTTGGCTTTATCAGGTTACAGCTTGATTTTGTGTTAAGCCTCGGCAAATAATTGCAAAATATCCCGCAGTCACTTGGCGTTGATTTGATTTCAATCCCTTAAGCCAATTTTTAATTGGCTTAACGTGCTAACTGTAGTCCATCAGTTTTATAAAACAAGCTGGACTTAAACCAGGGGATTCGTTTGTGGCCGGCCAAGACTTGCAGAACTGGTTTGCAAAATAGGCATGGCATTTAATGATGTGTAAACCGTAACCCACTTGGCATTTTGGGCAAATGGAGTTCGACTGCATAGCACCCATGGGGGCTCTGCGAGATACCCGAGGGGACAATTACTGTACACACGGTGCACAATCTACTCCTGTGCAATAACCACATTGCTTGTCCTGGCATATCCTGATATGCACCTGCTTGAAGGCGTTCGTGCAACGGGTGGATGGAATATGGTTGTCGTTCACACCCTTTACGCTCTAAAGGGTTCAACCAGCAGCAGTTGACAACGATGGCACTTGTAATGCTCGGTGACATGCAAGGCACCCCTGTAGCCAAACGGCAGTGGTGGTACACCAAACCGTTACCTTTGTCTGCTTGTGCCCCCCCCCCCCCTGCCAGGGTAACCTTTATGAGTTTCTGCGTCTGACTGGCTGGGTCGGCACATCCGTCCTCTACTTCGGAGACCACATCTACAGCGACCTTGCCGTGAGTAGCATTGTGCTCCTTCACGCTTCGCTTATTGTACCTTTTTCTCAACGTGAGGCCTCCAGTTCTTGACACTTTCCAGAGGTTCCTGACACGGTGCAGTCAGGGCTGTGATCTCAACGGAGTTTTTCAGTGTTACGATTTTTTTCTTTTTTGTAAAACTCGTTGCTATGAGAGGAACTTAAGAACCTCAGGAAAATGCGTGTAGACCTAAAGGAGAAAATACAAACAAGCGCCCAAAATTGTACCCTAGCCTCAAAATCCCCCTTAAGCAAGTTTGCAAGAGGTCTGTGGTGTAACATGTGACTGTAATTTTTAGTTGCACTATTGTGGCACCCTGGCTTTTTCTTTTAATTGTAGTATGTTTGTGTAGTGTGGCAAATTACAGCAGCTACAACGCGACTTAACTTATGGACACTGTCGTAATTTAAATTGCCATAACATTTATACCGTAGCCAACAATGTTACTCCTGCAATCGTGGGGGGATGGCCTAATCCTTGATCTACAGCCTCTGCCCTGCTACCAGTGGCCACAAACCCACACCACCCAAGTACCTGATTACACTTTTACCTACCCACAACTTGCTCGTCTAACTCTGCTTGCGTCTCCCATGCCCACCCTTGGCGGTGTTGCCAGGACCTGACCCTCCGTCATGGCTGGCGCACGGGCGCCATTGTTCCAGAGCTGGAGGGGGAGATCCACATCATCAACGGGCAGGAGTACACGGACGCCCTCACCTGGCTACAGTCTCTCACCGGGCTGCTGGAGCGCATGCAGGTGAGGCATGGCTGTGCTGTGAAGGCGGTGGCGATTTGCTGGAGGTCGGCTGTGCTTTTGGGGCTTGTAAGTAGTGGCATGATGGCCGGGTGTTTGCCTTTTTACTAGTTCTATAATTTTAATGTTTGCGTGGCTCATGATTGTTTAAACAGGTGTAGTGCTGAACACCACACGGTACAGTAGCAAATGCCGAGAGCTTTGGACCAACTGAAATGCTCATTCCAAACGTACTCTAGGCCAAGTGGCACTTGCCATGGTCTCGGATTATCTACCCCTATCCCCAAATGCGTAGCTATTGGCACTAGGTACACGTTTGGCTTTGATCTGTGCAACGGCTTATCTGGATAACGGTTTGGGCGTCTTGTTTCAATGATGACATTGCCATTCCAGTTGGTTTAATTACTGTTTTTCCTTCGTGTTGTGCTCCATTACTTAAACCTAGTTTGTGCATTCCCATACGTGCTGCAGCCTTTCACCTTGGTACATTGTTTTTACTGTTGCTCATGCCATAGTTGTCTGCATGTATGGTGTCTGCACAGATGTACCGTGGCCAGGAGGCTCAGGTTATCCTGACTAAGTGGATGGAAGAGCGAGAGGAACTCAGGTGAGGAGAGCAGTGATGTAATGTGAATTTTGGGTGATGCTGGCATTCAAACTGCGTTGTATGACCCTTCAATCTCTCTGCTCCAACCCGTAATGTACCACCACTCTATGCTTATCCCGACACAAGTGAAACTTCCACCTTGCCATACTGTGCCACCCAAGTTTTATATAGTGGACTATAAAATGGTATTATGGCACATGCACTTCTACTAACTCAATGACCAGATGTTTTTCCTAAACATGGCTAGTATCAGCAGTCATAACGTCATTTTTCTGCACCATATCTTGACCATTAACGGATGCGCATGAAGTTCCCTCAAACGTGCTCCTTTTTAAGGTGGTTCATACAACTGACTAACATGTACTTTAGCATTTAGATTCGGTGTCCAACACTTGCCATGTTGGACCGTTGTCCAGTGCAGCACTTCACACATCTGCCCCCAACCTTGATTGACTTGTCCTGAGCAGTTGATCACCCTCTGCTCTGGGAAACGTCCAATTAAATGGCCTTTAACCATTCTATAGGATCCTGAAAGCAACCTTTGTCTGGACCAGGAGGCAAATTCCCACAACTAGGCATCCTTAACCTTTTTATACCTAGATTCCTCCCAGTTTATATACATCTAATTCTGACGTTGCCACCTGCAGGGAACTTCCTTGCATTGTTGCTGCTTCAAACGTTTTTTGCAACCTGCCCAGGAAGTTAAAAGTTAACGTTTTCGTTTTTATTTCGGGCACTTACCCCCCCCCCCCCCCCCACACGCCACCATTTTAGATCCAAGACCAAGAACCTCTTCAATCCGTACTTCGGCAGCATCTTCCGTACGTTCCACAACCCGACGTACTTCTCGCGCCGCCTGTCGCGCCTTGCCGACGTGTACATGGCGTCGGTAAGCTGCCTCCTCAACTATGACATGGGTTACACCTTCTACCCGCGCCGCATGCCACTGCAGCACGAGTCTCCCCTGTGGATCGACCAGCTGTGCACCGGCTGCGTCAAGACTCCCTACCTAACCGAGATGTCCAACATCCGTTGAGTGCCTCTCCAAGCCTGCGCCCCCACCACCCCTCCCCACTTACACCCAGATTGTCTCTGGACGTGCTGTGCTGCTCTCTTGCTGCCCCCCCCCCTTCCCTGGCTGCCTGTCAGACTGGTTGGGTGTTTAGGGGTCACTTGAGCAATCGGCAGATTGTTGGTAAAGATCTGGCAAAGGAAATGGTCTCATTTTGAGGTGGGTTAAGTGTAACATCTGTTCTTAACTCCATTGTTGGCCCGTGACAAAGTTTGAAAGGATAGATGGGTAGTTTGTGGAAGAGGGAGTGTAGTGAGTCTGTCTGCCAGAGATGGCCTGACTTGGGTGCTGGGCAAAGGAGGTGTGCTTTGGCAGGCAGTAGAGGGAGCGATGTTGGTGATGCTGATGAATTGGAGACCTTTGACTCATCTGTCTCGTTGGTGCTTTGGAACAGAACTGTTTGACCTGGGTAAGTTTCAGAGGGGAGGAAAAATGGCTTTGCCGCTTGGAGGTAAGCGCAGTAACCATCCGCTCGTGTGGTGTTGTCGTAGCCAGACTGCATGGCAAGGTCCACCTGGCTTCAGCTATCCTTGAGCAATTTAAGCGTTTCCTCAACCTAAACTTCCTTAACTCTATCCCTAACCTCGTACATAACCTTATCCCTAAAAATGTTATCCACCTCTACAAGGGTTGTTTGAATTGGCGTCACAACCTTCACCTCTTCTCCCCCTTCATTCCTCCTACCCACGTCAAACTTTCTGTTTAACTTTTATAGTGTTCCCATCCGTAGTATTTTAGTCTGATGGTAATAGTAGTAGCGTGTGATTTTTACCCCCCCCCCCCCCCCAAGGGAATTTTCGTCGTTTTAACTGCCGCTGTAGTCGTCTCTGGACGGACAGACGCACAAAGGTGGAGCTGACGGGTAGCACGAAGCCTCCCGAATCCCCTAATTGACAACCAAACTTGGGTGGTGACGAAATTCCAGAAACTTTATCAATTTTTGAAAAACACTTTTTAACTTTCGCATTTCCTTTTTAATTCATTGTAGCTGGCAAAAGTGTGTTTGTAGTTTTTTTAGAACGGGTTACACTCTGGATTTGACCCCAGTGCTGGGGACTTCAAAACTATGACTTGTACCTGCTCCCTCCCGTTAAGTTTCATATTTTGTATGCTTAGTACCCCTCGTTAACTAGTTGACTTGGTGATAAACCAGAATGAGATGAAAGAATGTTTATCGTAATGGCTGCCTTATGAAATGGAAATCAAGTTATATACCCAGGTATCCAGATTATTAATGTATCCGTGAGTATGAATATCTGATCAGTATACGCGGTTACCTATCTAAACTACCAAATGCTCGTTTTTACCATATGACAATCCTGGAACCTATGTGCATATGCTAATTCACCTGCAAGAAAAACTAATAGAACCCAGTCTGCATACCAATGTACCACCCAAGTTCTGTATCCCTACCTGAAATATCAGTCTTAACACCTTTGCACCAGCATACCCAAATGTGCACATATACGTTAACTGGATGCCTTCTGGGTTAGTTTAAGTTGTCTAACGGCAAACGCTAGAACCCCCCCCCCCCCCCCCCCCGTGATTATCCCACTCATGCCTTGTGTTTACAATAGATGTATTACCTAAAACCTCGCAGGATGTATCCACAACCATCGTTGTGTAACTTTAACTAAAGACACGTTTGCAATTTTTTTAATGACTTGAAATTGTCTGCGGGAAGATGAAGCATTGCTGCCCAACTGCATGCGGATGGGCAAAGATGAGACTTACAGGGTAATGACGATGCAAGTGACTTGTTTTTAAAGATGTAGTTCACATGTCCACCGGGTGACTCGAAAGGTGTTGTCGATTGCTTTTCGTTGCCGGTAATTTTGTAGACTTCTTGCACTCGGCCGTCTCGTTTGCTGTAATTGTATTGCAGATCGTTTCCTGCTTGACAAATTCGTCAATACCCTGCGCGAGTTTTTAATTCCCCCCCCCCCCCCCCCCCCCCCCCCCCCCCCCCCGTGGTCTTTCTGCACCAGATTTGTTTTGACCACGATTCCCAGCGTAAGTTTGTCACGGGACGAGGGCTCCCATGCCCACAAACCCATTTTTCCCACCTGTGAGATTGTGCCAGCGTGCTACGGCACTTGCTACATTTTCCATTTGGCACATGCCAAGCACCACCCTGCCAACGCCAAACTATGGCAGACTGGTGCATGCGTAATCTTAATCTTGACGGCATAGATTCAACTGCTGCCAAAACCCCAGGCTGCTCAAAATCCCACGGCTCGCGACAACTCGTGCTACCCCATGTGGTGCCTTGGGCTGCACATTGGAGGTGATTTTATCCACCGAGCCTGGAAGGTGGCAGCAGCGGGAATTGGCGGCTTTGCTCCTGGTGCAGTGGTAACGCAGATTTAAAGTGGGCCCTCTCAGATCATGACGGTGTTTGTGTGCAGTGTGCTCCGACGGTGGTGGTTTTGACGCGTTATATCTCGCGATGCCGCAGTGATTGAACTGTAAACGGGGCGACGTCCAGAACCGAATGTGGTCTCGCTTTTTTTTTTTCTCCCCGGGCTTTCAATTCATCTCGTTTTTGGCTTTTCTTTGTAGCTAATACAATGGTGAATTCGGTATAGGGCAATTCCATACGCAGTAACTGTACAAGTTACAGGTACTGCCAACCAATTCAACTTTTGGAATAATGATGGCAGTGTATTTTGTCCTCGTGCTACCGCAGTGGATTTTGTGGCGCGCCGCACTTGTAATGCAGAGGTCGCCGGTTTTTTTTATTCAAAAATATTTTCCCCAAATTAAATTGCCAAATTTAAATGCTTCATATTTCCCCTCCCCCACCTCTCCCCTTGACTCTGTCTCCCTGAAGTGTGCCCCCCCAGCAGTAGTGAGTAATGTGCAGTGCCACTTTGTAGCCCCCCCCAGTCACAACAGCCCTGTGGCTTTTGCGAGGCCCTGGTGAGATTTGGTTTGCAGCGTCGACGTCCCGTGGAGTCCTGTTGTTTCTCGAAGCTGTTACGCGACTTTCCATTCAATAAAGCTGGTTTTCATTCTCTTTGACGTGGTATTTCCTCTCTCGCGTGGAAAAAGTATTTGCGAAAAGTGCCGCTCTAATTTATGCATGAGAACATTGTACATGGGTTGGTTAATATGTAATCTTCGAGTCGGCATAACCCAATGGTTTTGAGTTGCTTAATGTAACTTTTATTCGCCGTGTCTCCACAAATGTAGTCGCAAGAAAATTTTGGCATAAGGCTTGCTGTTTATACGCGACCTTGCCCTGTTTTCACCTATCGGATATACGAAACCAAAACGATCTGAATTTGTACTCTGACCCGTCTTGCATTATCACTCAAGATTGCCTTCAAGAACTGGTCCAGGTCCTGCAGATCCTTGGCCTTTCCTTCCCACTCGATTAAACGTAGCCAGACTAGACAATTGGCTTCGTCTTAATGTGTCCCATTTACATTCCAAAACTTTAACAGGAATAGGTAAACGCGTTCTCAGTGCGCGCTAATTTAGACCAGGAGACCTTTATTTTGACCGACTATTCAACGTGACGAAATAAGTGGCTGGCTTCCTTTAGATACATGACGTATGAAAGCTACCCACTTGGCACATCAAATTTGATTTAATTCTGGAATCATTTCAAGTTTGGAGTGCAATGAGTCCATTGGACAAGTGTTCCGCCTGAACTTTTGTCGCCTTGTCCGACCTGGAATCTAGTGGTTCCATTTGCGTCCATTTTTATTTTAAGCCTTGGTACAGTTTGTATAAAGTTGGTTACGAAGGTCATATAGTTCCCAAATATTGGCACCAAGTGTTTCGCTTTAACGTGTGTATAATCTATTTCGACGTTTGGCTTGCTTGGATGCGTTGACCTTGTGTAATTCCTAAACGGTCACGAAAGCTCAAGTGTTATTTCCAGCCCTGGGTAGAGGCTGCCGTCATTCCTCAACCTCGCCTCCGTCTGCTGCGCGCGCGTCCTGCCGCTAGGGGGCAGTCTCAGACTTCACGGAGTGACATCCACCCCCTCGCCCCCCTGGCCGGCTGCTCGCCTCTCCAGCCATCGGTCCGGTTGCGAGGGCCACCAAGCACCAGCGACTCCTGCTGGGAGTTGCAATGAGGCCTTTTACGAACTTTACCGGCGTGGGGGGGGGGTCTCGAATAGTTGAGCCATCGTCTGCGGTGCCCAATCCACGTGGGCCTGAAGGCGTCCCCCCCCCCCCCCCCCCCTTCAAGACGCTACCATCCTTCACGGGATCTCGCCTTGATGCTCCACGAGGCGCACGTGCGTCACGAGCTCATTTGAGCGCTCCGTCTCCTCCATCGACGTCCCTCTTGGACATTCTTTACTCTGCTGTACCGGAGCAGTGGTTAGCGCACCGCAATACGAACCCGAGTACGATTCCCGCTCACGGCTAAAAAAAAAGCGGCATAGTTGAACCGACCTCGGGCGTCCCCTAGGTAGACTCGGCCTTAAGTGAATGCGGTGTCTATAAACATCGCCGCTGAGGGAGACGAAGGTGGCATGGTGCTGGCCACCCACCCCCTCGTGTGCCGTGCCAAACTTCATAGGTGCTCGCTAACAGCACTTGCCCCAACAGTCTGAAGGCTATACGGGGGATCTTTGTCCGTGTAATTTCCAGTGTGTGGCCACGCTGCTTTGCGCGTTTTAGTTCCCTCTGTTAATGGCCATCGGCCGTAATCGATCCACTGCTCGGTGCAGTCCTCTCCAAGGCGTGAGTAAATTTTGCATCTCACCACAACTTTGAATCCCTGCATGTCGAGACCAAAACAGCGGTGTCCTGGGTGCAATCGTGAGTTTGCTTCCAGAATGGCGAGACCTTCATCCAGCAGTGAATCTCGCGGTTGATTACTTATTTATTCAACTTCGTCGTACGTTTCCAAACGAAGTGTGAATAAATACAAGCATCTGAACAACAAAAGAATCGGAAAATAAAATTAGGGCGTAGCGTCGTGACGAGTTCACTGTACACTCATGCTCGTGTCTACGAATGTGTTTGTACACGGCAACTTGGTTGCTTTCAACTCAAGTAAATTTATTTTTGAGTAGCACGCGGCGCTTTTATGGCTCTGTGTGTGTGTACCCACGGTGTTTGAACTTCTTTCACACCGCGAGTAGCTAACCGGGAGGTACGGGAGAAGGACAACAAACGAAACAAGCAGGTCTAAAGAAATGTTTACAATCTAGATATAAACGTGCATAGCTCCCAGTGACTTCCTAGTCTCGGAAAGAAGAGCTTTCCAGACGGACTGCAGAAGCGCATCCGAAAGTGCGCGTCTTTGCCAAAAGGCGCTGCTGCTGCAGCTGCGATGATGATGATCGGAGTGCGCGCGATGGTTCTTCATAGCTCCTTGACAAAATCGGCACGGTTCTTTTGTGGCAAGCACTTTGTGTGTAGTGAGTGCGACCTTATAACGTGTTCGTTTCGACAACGGGAAGCCAATGCAGCTCGGCGAGCACGGGACGGACACGGTCGAATCTTGCAATACCCAAAATCGGCCACCCAAAACGCCGTCGCGACATCGGATGGCAACGATCCAAAGGTTTCCCGGGTGGATCTCCGGGTGCGGCGGTTTCAATGATTGGCAAGTTGATTTGAATCCCACGCCTCTGGGCCCTGCTCCCAGCACTGGAGTGTAAACGGCCACGCCACTCGTATGGCAAGCCGCGTGAGGCGGGGTAAACGTGGGGGGGGGGGGGGGCACCAGAATTCCCACCGCTTCCGAGACGTCTGGCCATCGCGGAGGAGTAGGCCAAATATCCTGCAGAGTCTAGAGGGTACTCGAGCGCGCTGTAGTGAAGCCCCACATCCCACGGCTTTCCGCCAGCAGTGGCGTGAGCCAGCACGTTGCGGTGAAGCGCCTTCACCTTTGTGTGCACCCGTACGTACAATCGAACTCGTGCCGGGGGACGCGTAGTATTGAAGCAGGAATGTCACGACTCCGCCACCAACCCTTCGCTGGCATGGCCTGCGGTCACATTCTGGTTGTTTGCCAGATCAATCATCACGCAGGGATCTCTGGCAACTAGGGGGGGTGAGTAGTGGTTGTGTCGTTGGTGGTGACTGAAGATTAAACAAAACAGTATAGCTTTTACACAGCCCGTTGGGGCAAGTGCTGATTTGCTTAAAAGAGTTTGACACGTAGGCTTTCGCGAATGAATATCATCTGCCACCACCCGACACAGCCAACTAGTAAGCGTTGTCACGTAAGCAGAACATGACAATTCGTCACTAGTACAGCACTAACCGGTGTGTTGGAGAGCCAAGCCACAGCATTTACAATCTATTTTTAGGTCGGCACGAAGGGTGAGTGGCCAAGCGCCGCGCCTGGCCGCCTTTGTCTCCCCGGTGCCGATGTTTTACACCGCGTGGAAGTTGTAAATACCGCGACCCCCGTGACCCTCCACTCGGCGCGGCATAGTCACGGCGTGCGTCACTGCCGGGGCACGTGGTGGTTACGCGTGGTGGTTACGCGTGTTTGCTTAGAACACGGAGCTCATAAACACACACTCGCGCGCGCACACACACACAGATACACATACTATAATACATAAACATACACAGATACACATACTAAAATACATACACACTCGGATATAAAGACAAAGATCCCCCCCGTATAGCCTCAACAGACTGTAGGGGCAAGTGCTGTTAGCGAGCACCTATGAAGGCCGGAACGGTACACGAGGGGGTGGGTGGCCAGCACCACGCCCGACCGCCTTTGTCTCCCCAGTGGCGATGTTTACACACCGCACCAGGTACTCATTTGAGGCTGAGTTGACCTAGGGGAGGCCCATGACTGGTTCAAATAATCCCAATTGGAGTGGACCGTGAACGGGACTCGAACTCGGGTGGCCGGGTTCGCAGCACATCTGCGCTACCGCTCCCAATACACTCACACTCAAATACAAAGATCCCCCGTATAGCTTTCACAAACTGTTGAGGCAAGTGTTGTTCGCGAGTAGCACCTATGAAGACCGGCACGGTACACGAGGGGGTGGGTGGCCAACACCACGCACGGCCGCCTTTGTCTCCCCAGTGACGATGATCTGAACCGGTTGCGTTGGGCCTCTCCTCGGTCGACTCGGCCTCAAATGTAACTGGGCAGACAAAGGCGGCCGGGCGTGTTGCTGGCCACCCCCCCCCTCGTGTACCGTGCCGGTCTTTATGGTTGCTACTCGCTAACAGCACTTCCCCAAACAGTCTGGTAAGGTAGGGACGGGGGTCTTTGTCTTTGGTGGCATTCGTGGCTTTGGTCGTGATGACAATCTTGGCCTTTGATAACGCTGCTGACGGTGAACACAAAAAGTGTATGCCAGGTTAGTGTCGGAACAACGCGCGGCGGCAGGCGCGGCCACTTGGCCCTGTGGTGAGTGATGAGCAAGGGCACTTAACGCGTGCCCATGAGGCACTGCGCCCCCCATGATGCACTGCGCCCCCCATGATCCAATCCACTGCACCCCCCATGATCCACTGCGGCCCCCATGATCCACTGCGGCCCCCATGATGTACTGCGGCCCCCATGATGTACTGCGGCCACCATGATGCACTGCGCCCCCCATGATCCACTGCGGCCCCCATGATGCACTGCGCCCCCCATGATCCACTGCGCCCCCCATGATCCACTGCGCCCCCCATGATTCACTGCGCCCCCCATGATGCACTGCGCCCCCCATTATCCACTGCGCCCCCCATGATGCACTGCGCCCCCCATGATTCACTGCGCGCTTGCACGGACCCCCGCGGCAAGCGGCTCCCGATGCCGCCATCTCAATGTGTGTGCTGCACTGTAGTGTGGAAGAGTAGACCAAATAACCTCGAGAGGAGCTCCGGTGCTGCCTCCAGTGGAAGCTCATCTTGCCGGTCGTGGTGTGTGCAACTAATTGCTGCACCTTTTTGTTTATTACCGTCTACAACCACAACACCTTGACCCTTGGGCGTATGCCGAACTTCTTTCGTACCGTCCCTATGGCCAGCCGCGCGAATCGGAGGAGTTGAATGGATGAACAAACTCAACACACCTATA